TCTATCACCAGCGTGTGAGAGCTAAAAGGTAAATGCAATACCTTTGAAAGCTGTGGAAGGACAGTACATAAGTAATCTCTTTCAAACTGAATATATGGGCTCAACATATCAACCAATTGTTGGGAAGTAGCCAAATAAGTCTCTGATTCAAGGAAGCTGAACACTCCACGTGCCACATCTGATTCTTGAATTTCATTGAGTTCAAGAATGTCTTTCTTAACCCTGTCAACTATATCATGGATTAACCCAGAGTCTAGGGAAGTGGCCGAGGCCGGACAATTCTTATTCTTTAAAAAGAAATCTACATTGTCTGTGACATTAGATGAGACCCCAGACACTACCGTATCCACAATTTTATTTACTACATCATTAGTTGCTCGCTTATCAAAGACTTTTAGCAGCAGCTGCAACAATCGCTTTACTTCCACAGGCACATCTACAGCAGCCAGGGGGAGAGATACTATGTCTAGAGAGGATAGGCATTCCTCTATTGTTCTGTTAACTGAGTGCAATACCAACGGCAAGTCCTCAAGATTACCTTCAGTGGAACTCACAATATCAGTTACAGAACGACCTTCGAGAATGATATTGTACTGCCCCAAATCTTTCACGATGTTCCCATAGACGATCAAGCTCAAACAACGATAGCTACCTCTAACCACCAGATGGTTTGTTACAACAGCCTGCAATTTCGATGAGAACAGTCTTTTAAAAATTTAAGAATTTCCCAAAGTAATACAAGGAACTGCAACTTAAATATGGAAATGATTGACCACTTTTCTCATAGCAGAGAGGGGGACTTTTCGTCTGCCTTTTGACACACAAGATGGCATAATTAAAAGGTATTTAATACACTTAACTCCTCTCATACCCGACCAAATTAAACCCCTTACCACCTATGTCATAAAGCCTATTATCATAAGACAAATATGTGACCTAGCAATTTACATATAAAACATCTCTAGGGGAGTATGTACATATGTAAACCATAATTCCAGCAAACAGCTCCTTATTCCCAAAGGAATCTGAGTTGTCGTAGCCATTTACAATGGTCTAAGGACAGGAAATGTACATAAGAACCATTCCCTAAAGTTATTACCAGCATCAGTCGCAGAATACTAAAATAATCAATCTCAACAACCGAAAAGAAAAGAAACAAATACCAATCTACAGATAAATCAAGTCCTATTTTAGTAGTTACCTCCACTTCCAAAGGGTAGGGCGCTGAAGGAGTGTAAAGAAAAGGATTACAAAGTCGCTTAAACTTTGATTCTCCTTCACATCGAACGAACACTTCCAATGCAAATGAAGGAGGTGAAGTTGCCCTAACGAAAATATTGCCATCATTTAGATAACCAACCATAGATATCAACCACACTCAAAGAATGTTGTCGGATTCTAAGTCACTCACAAAGAACATTAAAACGGTAGTTAAGCTAACAAATCTAACTATAAGTTGTTCAGCTACAATATCCCTTCACTATTTTTGTTTCTAGAAGACGAAATGACTCAAAATCTAGATTTCTCTGAAAGTGACTAACATCGAAGTTTATTTAATGAAAAGAACCTGAACTTTAGAGTCTGGACATTTCAACCAAATCACTGTTTCAAAATATAATGTCTGCAAAGTTCAGTTTTTTTTGTTACAGTTACAAGTTTTTCAAAATTTCTACACAAATTTAAGTTTCTTATCATTCTCCCTTACAGTGACAAGAAAATAGCTAATTGTGGACTCTTACATCCAAAACAAGGCTTAACATCATGGGACCATTTATTTCAAAAAGACTTCCAATGGTTGATATTACTACTTCAAGATCCTCAGTAGTTAAATTTAGGAACGAAATGTTAATAATACACATTCAAAAAAAGGACATACCCGACAAGAGAAACAGCTTGAGAAGATGATGATGCATTCTGCTCCAAAAATTCGCAAGCCGTGATGATTACTGGCTCAGCAAAGATCACCTATAAGATTTAAAGGAAACATTAAAGAAATCTTCATTAAGCATGAAACCAAACAAGCAACTTCATCGAATGAATGACAAACCACCATATTAAGTACTTGTTCCGACCAATCCAGTACAAGTAGACTGTAATACTATTCAAGCAAGCATGTTCTACCAGGTTTAAGAGACTCAGATAAAACAGAACCCTAATCCAACATAGATACCCCTAGAATCTCAGCAACAAGAACTAAAGATTTAAGGTTACCTCGTCGACATATTCGTCCAATTGAGGATGAACAAAGGTCTGAGCGAACAATACACAAGGCTCAGATCGTACCATGTCTACAGGATGATGGCCGGTCTTCTGGGATCGTATTTTCCTCTTAGGTCAGCATAAAACTGATTCAGCCTGGTCGCTAAAATCTGAGATTGTTAACTTACGCGTATGAAATTTGATTAATCACTCAAAAGCAACTTAAACACAAATTTAAAAACCCATAACCCCCCCCCCCCCCTCCCCCTATGACATTGGCATACAGAGCTCACAAACACCAGTAGCCACTAACCGACATCACCCAGCAAAGCCCGTTTCTGAGGATGTGCGAACTTAAAGCTTTCTATGTCAACAGCAACAACTAGATCACGACTTAATCTATGTAAAGTCTCTACAAGAAAACCGAACAGTTAGGTTTAAAAATCGCTCTACTTGGGAATCGAAACAGACCTTAGGGAAAGGAGAAAAGTTGCGCATGGAAAGGAAGCCACAAGGGGGAATGCCAAGGCAATATATGTTTAAGAGTATGAATCGAAGTAGCTTACCTGGGAATTCGAGAGAGCACGCACGACGCAAGGCGAAGAAGAAGAAGTAAAAAAACAAACGCCGTTGTGTTTTGGGATAACCCGGCGGTAGGCTTTTTTTTGTTTAACCGGCGTTAAGCTTTTAGGGTTTCCCCGGTTGGTTGGTTATGCTGGAAAGAAAAAGAAAAAAAAAAAAGGCTCATACCGATTTAAACCAACGATATCAAAAATATTTGTTCGACAATCGTTTTTCTTTATTTTTTGGTAGTACTTGTGGGACAATTGTTGTTAATCAAATAAATTGCTTGCCCACTAAATTTATTTTTGATCCTTTTTTTTTTTACTTATTTTTTTTTTTTAATCACAATTGTTTCTCAATTTTTTTGATCAAATAAATTGCTTGCCCACACCAAAGAGATCATGTGGAGTGTGGAGATCTAAAGATGATTTTCGCAAGATCATGCTGTCAAATGCCACAATCAACCAAAGTTAAGTCCCCATCTTGGTGTCGTGAGACTGAGACACACACTGACAAGTTACAGTATATAGCTAACATAGAGATAGGCACTAAAGAAAACAGAGAAATTGGCAACACAATAAAAGTGCTTTTAAGTACTAATTATGTTGATATGTTTAACACACATGACTTCATATTAGATGACCTCCTCAATCCTCGTGCAAATTCCGTCTTCTCCATCAGCCAGTCTAATTCCAGTTCCAGAAGATCACCCCCTAGGTAGATCAACTCCTATAGTAGTATAGATGAATTAAGACACCGCACTAGTAACAAGACATGCAGTTTAGGTGGTCATGATATCCTCCATGTTAGATAATTGTAGTGACAGAAATGATCGTCAGCCAATACAACTTTTTTAGATAGATATTTTGGTCTATATATATATCTTTCTAACAAACATGAGACTGAATGCCCGATTACCTAGATCTAAACATGTTTGAGATTTGACATAATATATATATGCACAACTTCAAGCTATGATAAGAAGTATATATCACACAACAAACAAATTATAGTTGGGGCCGAAAAGCATACCCCTTTACTAGTTTTGGTTTGAAGGCTTTGCCGGACGAGCCGGTCTACAGAGGATGGGATAGTTCTCGTGTTGAACGACAGTACACCAAACCTTAGCTTGATACTCAACGAGAGGTCCATCAGGTTTCTCCCTAGCCATAAATGTAATGTACGACTTTGATCTATATTCTGCTGTATATACACCTCGCACCACTTCCACAAACTCCACAATGAAACCCTTGAAACAATCAGAAAAAAAAAACACCAGATTTAGTTGCATATATAGTCGTAAAAAGAGTAGAGTGATAAGAAGCCAAAACAAAACCAACATTTTTGGTGCTGTTCTCTTCGTTGTACTATTGGATTTAAAGTAGGTTTAAAATTCATACATTCATTTACAATAACTGGTTACTCATTTTACAGTCCAACGCATGCATAAAAATATCACAGACTTTCAAATTTTACAATCCAAGACATAAAGGGATGAAGATGGTCTCATACTTCCAAATTAAGTTGTGTTGTAAACCAAAAACACTTTAAGATTTATGACACATCACTAGAACAACACAATAAAAGTGCCAAGTTGAAATGTTTTTTAACACATATGACTTCATAGTATTAGACCTGGTGCGAAACTCTATCCTCTGCATCAGCCAAAGATTCCATATTCTCCATCATCTAGTCTAATTCCCAGTTCCAGACGAAAGAAAACAACAATTAACAAGTCAGCAAAGACTCTAATTTATTAATGACAATGGCCGTCTACAGATCACTTTTAGTACAGGTAAATATCTTCCAATCTACCCACACCGATTTCTTCTTCTGAAGTCACAGAGATTTAACAATTCCAAATAGAATTAAATAGTCAGAAACTACGTCTCACCATTAATCTCTCTCTCTCTATATATATATATATATATAGTAGTATAAAGGACTTTCACACTAGCATGGAAAGGAGTAGTAATAACTAATAAGACGTGCACTTTTAGCTTGATACGTCAACAAGAGGTCCTTCAGGTATATCCTGCCGTAAATATACCTCTCACCACTTCCACAAACTCCACATTCGATCCCTTTTATGAATACAGAGTTTGTTTATTCGGCATGGGTGATGGATTATTGAAATAATAATTACATAGTTTGGGCCAAATTTTCAAAATCACACGTCTACTTTTTTGTGTTTTTTTTTTACATCATCACACGTCTATTATACTGTATATGTTACATTTTTTTTGGTAGAAACTGTATATGTTACATTAGCCACATAACTTAAAAGTTCTTACAGTTACGTTGTTTGAGATACACACAAAAAACAGAGAGAGAGCTACAAAGGAAATCAGATAACAAGAGTTTTACACACACACACACACACTACTGGTTTGAAGTTTAAACAAGTGGGGTTAGTGACCAAACCCATCATTGTTCTTCACCAGTTTTAACTACTTTTACGCTGAAGATAAATCAAGGTTTTTTAACCTGCCGGCGAAGAAACCTCAACAGAGAATGAGCCAAAGATGATTTGCCTGTTCACAGCCAATTGGGTTGGCAAAAAGCCAAGAAGAAGAGAAAGAAAAAAGCTCATTGTCCTTTTACAAGGCAAGAGTTTCTCTTTCCCCCCTTTGACTGTGAAACGGTAAAGGATCAGGTTTTGAAATTGCAGCAGCTATTATCCATTGCTGCTATCCACTTGCTAGGCATTACCATGCCACCAAGAGAATGGACTGGAGAACTCAGAAAGTAGTTCATGCTTGTCACTTCTGATCCCGTGACATTTAGTAGTCCATTTGATAAGTTGATGATTCCGCTTTCCGGATGAACAACTTCAGAATTCTGAGAATTACTCTGCTGAGGCTTAGGCTCAGACTGAATCTGCTGCTTGTTCCCATCAGCTTTCTTTCCATTGTTTCCGCTTTTGTCCAAGTTCTGACTTTTAGTGTTCAAGAATCTCCCACCGGATCCTCTTGGACGGCGCAATGCATGGAGATGGCGTGAATGGTGCATATATGGCTGCAACACACATAACATAAAACAAACACACTGATTGGAATTCATTTACTACAAAAAAAAATATATATCAAAACAGTTTCTATATTTTCTGATTACCTTGCGGCATCTAGTACTCAATTTCTTCTGATCAAGAACAGCAGCCGCCTTTGCACGCGATTGACGTCTTCTTATGATTCCATGATATTGCTTTGAGTTCACATAGATGGTTCCATCTTCTGTTTCCATGTTTAGAGGAAGCATTACTCGGCTCTGAGATCCATAGGCTGAAACAACTCCATAGTATTGCTGTTCGCCATAAGGATACTTTGCGTAGATCTAAATAGCCAAAAAAGAAAAAAACCAGCAAGCAAAAAACTACATACTCAGCAACAAGAAAAAGGAAATGATCATATGGTAACTTTTAGACAGTATGTTTCTAAATGCAGAAACCTTTACCGGTGGGTGAGTGAATCCAAGTTCCAAACTAGGCGATTGCATTGAGAAAACAGCTCCATGAGACTTTGACACAACTCTTGAACTCTTTACATCACCTAATTTAATACACAATCAAATAATTTCCAAGTCAGAACTTATGTGCAGTTTATTAGATCCACAAAGAAAAGAAGACTTTTAAATTTCTATGATTCAGAATTCCAAGCACAGGAAATATCTAGGCCTTTTTAATCATCTTTGTATCTTGAAGAATAGTGTCGGAAGAATTTTGGATTTTACTTTGAGACAATGTAGCTCAGATAACATTCATTCTCAAATTCTAGGACATTCCACAAAAGTCCACTGTGGACAATTCAGGTATTTTCCACTAGAACCATCCGTCTGAGGACATTTAAAGAGAAGACAAAAAAAAGTTACTTACCAAGTGAGAAAGCTAAGTGAGTTGCAGAGTTGCTCTGTTTAACCACGCCTTGTACTGTCTCTCCCGCAGATCCGGCCTTAACTCCGGCGAACGAGTCAGAATCGCCGGCGAGGCTCTGCTGAGCCAGCGGCTGAGATCCAAAAGCATTCCACCAAGAAGTCTGTGGAGCAGAGAAGAGACCTTCTCTCACAGTTTGCATAGCCATCTTCCAAATGATGTTGCCGAGAGATTTGTTTCTGCGGAAGATATAACCGAACAAAAAAAGAAAAAGAAAGTCAACAAAGTTAATAGACTTGGATGTGAAAATCTTTGTCGAATTCCAAACCCGATTTAGAAAACTTGGCAAAGAAAAATGAAAAAAAAAAGGTAAGATCTTTGGGATTGGGTATTACGCAAAACCACACGAGTGACCAAACCCATATGTGAATCATCATCAAGAGACAGACTTGTTGTCTAAAGTAAGATATAAAGATTGTGAGAAACGAGAAGATAAGACCACGAGAACTGAAATCTTTCTCTTTCTTTTTCACAGACAAGAAGAGTCCCCAATAGCAAACAAACTCCAAGAAGAACCCCATAAATGTTGGTCAAAATCAAACACACCAAAACCTATGTGAATTCCTAAAAGAATAAAGGGAGAAGAGATTGAGTAAAACTTACACAGATGGAGTGATAGAGTAGAGAGTATAGAGAGAGTAGAGAGAAAACTTCAGATTCCTAGGAAGAGGCAGAGAGAAAAGCCCAATTGTTAGGAAGCCATATCGGTTCCAAAACAAGAAACAGAGATTCATTCACACACATGAGTATAGAGAGAGAGAGAGAGAAGGAGAATAGAGATAGAGAGAGACTAACCAATATATGAATTACAAGTGTAGCTCATCAACCAATCACCTTCAACTTTTATGCTACTCTGTTTTTTTTTTTCTTTCCACTTTACTTTATATTTTTGGGAGATAATAATTTAAATTTAAATTAAATATCTAAAACTCTTGTGTTATGTTTAACTGTAGCGTTGGCTTGACGTGCTTTGTGTTAAAAAGCTACAATGATCCCACTTGAAACCATTTTTTTTCTCCCATTAGGTAAAGAGTAGTAGTAGTAGTGCTTGGGTTGTCAACTGCATCGTTTATTATTATGATTGTTGTTGTGGTTCTTCCTTATAAGTTTTTTTTATATTTTTATTTTTCTTTTATAATATGGGGAAAAAATGATCACCACACAAAAAATTATAAAATAATTTAAAAATTAAAAGTAACACTCTGACAACTTCAACAATGACATTGCTGCTATTATAAAAAGCTCGTGACTCATTCCCTTTACCAAACATGTAATAGAAAGTCTACTACTAGAATGAATCAACCTTTGTATAATTCTGTAAATAGACCAAACATATTAACACAAATAGAGCGACACTTGTTTGTTGAGGTTTGTTAGTTATTCTTAACTAGGTTTTCCAAGTGGTTTTCACATATTGTCCTTTTGTTTCCTCTTTTGTTCGCTATTTCCTTAAATAGTTCAAGTTATCGACGGACGACGGTACACACACACACACACGTGTGTTATGACTTACGATGGAAGTTTACAAACGACTTAGCCATATTAATGCTCTATCAATATTATTTCGAATAAGTGTTATTATTACATATTGAATTGAACTTAAACTAAACCTAAGTTAACTTTATATATATGTCTAATCTAATGGAAATTAAGGTTGAATATTACAATATAGTGAAAATACAGTATAGTATAGTTAATGTCACAGTACAGTATATTGTTTTATATGTATGTAGTGCCGTACTAGTGCTTAATTAGGCTTATCCCACTACCATATCTATGCTTTTATTTCCCCTTAAACACAATAATTAATTGAAATGTGCACTTGTTAGTACGTACAATATCTTAACAAAATAAATCTACTTTCATTATATATATAATATACAAAGCACAATCTTTTATTTGTGGATTAGCTAGTGGATATATTATCTTATAGTGTAGTTTACAGAAGCACATTATATATAGCTCATTTTCAAAATATTTATACTCAACATTTAATAATATATATTCACTATATTACTATTTTAAATCACATTAAAATTTCATCATCTATTATTGATATTGATTACTCTTTAATGTTTCTCAACTCAAACAGATACAATAGTGTATTATATTCTCTAGATATAAGTTTGTGTATATATATGAAGAGTCATTTAACAAGTTCAACACATGTAAATTTGTAATTTTAAGATGAGTATTAGTACGAATAGAATACACATTTAAAATTGTCTATTTTTAAGATGAGTATTACTAAGAGTGGAATTGTCAATATAAAAAATAATAATCTATTATAGCTTTCTTAAAGTGATTTTGCTTTTCTTCTGGATTTTTGTTTTGTTAAACAGTCGCAATAGATAGATAATTATTGTTCATTCTAATGCCCTATATGCGATTTATTTGTAAGTGAGTAAGTCACTCAAAGGCTCCACTTTGTTCATAATCTTATCACCACCTATACAGTATGCTCTTAAATAGTATATATCTATAGTATACCTTTTTCCTAAGAATAAACGCTTTAAAGACATACGAATTTCGACAATCCAACTTTCAATATATATATGCAAGGATTAACAAAACTATTAAATGAACTTTGAGCTACATATGCATTCCACTTAAATGCACGAATTACATAAGGAGAGATTCAAGTGGGTAGGTTTACTGTAGTAAATGAATTATATAACCTTTGCTTACGGCAGTAAAGGGATTAAAAGAACCTTGCTTTTAGGTCATCGCCTTTTTTCTCATCGTTTGTTTTACGTTGGCAGACTAATCTTGAAGATGAATTGACCTTCGAAAAGCATATGTCCACCATATACAGTGTATTAACTAAGCCGAAGCTAAGCACATGCATGAACTACCACCACCACCATTGGGTTAATTAAAGACTTTTGTTTTAATAAGCTCTTAAAAAAAAAAAAAAAAAATCAACTTTAAAAGTACGTCATACTATAAATTATATAATGTTTTGTTGGACATGCAATCCACATCACGGGTGCACTAATTCCCTTATGTAATGTAATTTAATCCCAAAAATTTCCTTTATTTTAGATTTTTTGAAAAACTTAGGTCTGTGCCTCAATTATTAGTTCTGCAATGGATCCAAAACAAATGATCAGTGAAAGTTAATAATTTAATTTGTTAATAGCGACATCAATGTTGAAAAATGAAATGGTCGAATAATATCTATGTTGAACTATGCAGCTTTTTGCTTTCTTTTCAAACAAAGTCTGAATTCAGAGATATACACAACTTTATTCTTGGAGATTTGCATGACTCATTTACCTTTATTAATTATTGTTGCTTTTACAAACTTGTTAATTACTTCTATAGTTTCAGGCCTTTCCCAACAGGCCCAATACTAACTAACTAACTAACTTGGTTCTTTGCAGTTTGCATTACTTGATGATAATGCTCCGCTGGACCCGAACATGGTCATTGTTCTCTGCCTCTGAGTAAATAATGTACTTTGGGCCACCAAAGAGTCCGGTCCAGTTTTGAATCTAAACAAAACCAAACACGCTGTTCACGTTTACAAAGTGAGAAAACGGCGAAAAGTGTGGAACTTGGGAAAATGTCCCACATCGGAAACAAGAAACGAAGGAGGCTCCTGAAATAGAGTATAAAAGAGAGACTGATGGCGAAGAGCAAATTACTTACCTGGACGGGGTCAACTCGCGATCAAGAAGACGAGTGGCCTAGGCTAGTGACTTCCATTGCACACTAAGGAAGAGTGCTATGCTTAAGGTCTTCCCAAGAGGAAGAGCCTACGTCATTATTTGTGGCAGCGGGGGTTTGCGTTCGCGCAGCCCCTACCATTTCTCTCAGTCTTCAATCTTTTTGGTGTCGTGGCATGGGAAGGACTTCGAAAGCCAAGTTAAAAGAATCTAAGACATAAATGTAGAGTCTAGATTTACACCAAAACTAGGAACCCAACACGACATTTCGTTTGCTAAGCAATAGAACAACATAAGATTAGACTAACCAAAGCGTAAACCAAAACTAATTAAGGAATTGTGAAGGAAGGATTGAAGGCAAATATGATGAAATAGATACATTACCTACAGACAAATCGAACGTTAACTATAGAAGCTAATGTGTTACACTCATAATCCCTCCCTCTCTCTCTCTCTTTCTCCCTAGAAAGCACTCTCCTTTATTTGCTCCACACAAACAATAATTCCGTGCATCTTCATTGCTGAGAAGTTACCAGAACAATACTCCATTATAAGCCGTCATCAAGAATTGTGGAACTCATTAGCTCTTGTACAAACTTGATCCGTTTCAACTTCTGCTTGTGATCCTCAGCTGAAAGTGACGGTTTTATTGCATTCCTATCATCCACAAAATTTTCATCAGTGATCCCCAAGTGCATTGGAGTATGACTCAACTTGATCATATAGTTTCAATTTTGCTCATAAAATCCCAAGTTCCCAAAAGCAAATCAAATGATACTAATGATTTTATCCAAATATTAAAAAACATAGTGAAGGAAACGAAGAAGCAAATGATCCAATGCAAAGTTGTAGAGCAAACACTTGAATGAACCAAGAATCATTATCTACGTTCAGTCAGATCTTTAGAGACTCATCAGTCTTTGAAATACCAACACACTTTTAGATTTTAACTAACAAGGTGACCATAAGAGGTTAGGCACAGCATACCGTTCAGTTAAACTCTGAACTGATATTTTCTTGCTACGACCTGTTTCTGTAGGTATACATGACTCCGAAGTGAAGAAACCATCAGCAATAGGCGAAATGAACGACGATAGCAATGGATCAGCCGCTACATTGGAGGATGAGGAAGAAGATACTATACACGAAGACCCCCCAAAAAGACTCTGAAAGTTTCCATCAGGAAACTCTCTCCTCAAGATTGATAACGTGGAATGTGACCCAACTCTTCTTGATTTTCTCTTGCGGTGCATGTAATATCACGTTAAGGAATGTTACAACACAAGATAACAGCGGATTGTAGAAACACTACTAGAGAAAATTGATTGTTATATATGACTTGAGAAGACAAAAAGGATATCTTGAATATATTAGCATGCTGAAGGGTTATATGAGCAACCATATCAACACCCACCCTAACCGCACAAACAGGACATACCTGCAATAATAATTCACTAGATTAACCGCTAAGTTGTCATTTAGAATCCAAACAAAGTGCCCCATCAATAGATTCAATAGACACAAGCTGATTCTATTCTCAGTTGCCTTTGTCATATAAACAACAAAGCTAAAACCTTACTAACGGTCCAATTCTGTGGTTACAGAAATGTATAAACACATGTTTTTTTTTTCAAATGTCATAAAAGAAATGAAAAGGAAATTACCGCATTTTTGGCTTCCATAGGATGATCTTCATCTATGTGGCAGCAGAGAGATACAATATCAAAATAGTCAGAACAGAAAGGGCAAGCAAACTCTTCCATGAACTCTTCTTCTCCATCTCTCTCTTCAGGCCCTAAAAACGTATCTGCAACTCCATATAAATCCATCAAATACATACCCAAAAGCTATAACAAAAAAAAAAAAGAATAATCAGATATACTAAAACCTTACTCCAATAGTCCAATTCTGTGGTTACAGTAATATGAAACTGAATTTTCTCATGTTCATAAACACTGAGCATAGTAGGCATCACAGGAGTAACTAAACAACCAACAAACCTCTAAAATTTTCTTATCATAATCAAACTATACTCTACCAATCAAAATATAAAATTCCCTATCCTTCATTTTCTCAAGTACCAATCAAATGACCAAATCTTCCAACCAAAATCATAAAGTTTCTCAAACTTTCATACAAAATCAAGCTTTCTAAATCGGTACAAAAAAAACACAAAGCCTATCACCTACCTTCACCCATCAATGGTTGTCTCAGCCAAGAAAGATCAAATAATAATAATAATAATCTTTTAGAACAGAGGAAGGGAAAAAAAAATCACATCTTTTAAACTCACCAGATCGTGATGGAAAGGCTAGCTGGTATCTCCTTGTAGCTGAAGCAAGACGATTACTCCATGAATCAGAATCCATTACTGACAAAAATTAATCAAATTAAAACCCGGAAAAGAAGAGAAAAAAAAAGTCGAAATTTTTTTACTTTTTTCCTCAAGAAAAAAAAAAGCTATGAAGAAATCAATCGACTTAGGAAAGGAAAAAATTCCGATGATTGTCTGAAGAAATCCAACGAAAAGGTAAAGACAGATTACAAAGACCACGATTCTAAGGTTGGTTTTTTATAACAAAGTTTTGTCTTTTTTTTTTTTTTTCTTCTTCTTGGTTTCTCCTCGTTTTAATTATTTTGGATAGAGAGTGAGAGACAGAGGAGACAAGTTCTATAAAATAATTCTCTTTTATTTCGTTATGTTTGCTTTCAATGATGAGTCTTTCGCGGAAAAAAAGAAAAAAAAGTGTTGGGCCTGCCACTTTATAAGACTAATGGATCCTTTTATTGTGTAAAGTCTACGGAAAATGCTTGCCGTTTATTACTTTTACCCGACGTGTAATTACGTTCACAAACATGACGTTGTCGAGCTTTTTATATAAAACGTCATGCTGTTTGTTCTTCTGGACACGTGACCAAATTTTATTGGTATATTTTCTAAGATGTAGCAGCTAAAAAAGATGTACCCAAAAGCAGCAGATTCTTAGCTGCGTGTCTGACTTGTAAGTTGTTGTGACTCCAGACTCAGCTTTATGTCAACTGTTTATTTTTGATTTTACCACTTTTGCTTTATTTAATTTTTCGAAAAAATTAGTGAAATTTTCAATTTGTAAATCTGAGAACTGTTTTTAAGCCGTCGGAGATTTTTTATCCCGCCGGAGATCGGCCGGTCTCCGCCGTTGTGTTTGTTTATTTGGCGCGTTGTTTCGTTGCTTTGTATATGTTGAAACCGAGATTTGATTTAGATCTATAGCTTCCGATCGGAGGAGAACTGAAGATCTAATCTAGACGTCGAGATCGTGGTTACTTGTCACTGTGATTCTTCTAGGGTTTGTACTTGAGCTGCTATGGCGACTAGGAACCGTACGTTGTTGTTCAGGAAGTACAGAAACTCTCTGAGGAGCGTTCGTGCTCCGATTGGGTCGTCGATAGTGACGACGGAGAACAGTTCGTTGACGGGAGCTAAATCCGGCTTAGGTCCAGTGATCGAGATGGCGAGCACATCTCTATTGAATCCGAATCGGTCTTATGCCCCAGTCAGTACTGAGGATCCTGGGAATTCGAGGTACTTCTCTTCCCCTCTCTCTGCCTTTGAAAATGTTAGAAGCTTGGTGATTGCGTTAGAAACTTTCATCACTTCATGTAGCTGTTAGTACGAGGGATAGCTCATGAAGTTTTGAAGTAAGTTTTTGAATTAGCAGAAGATTGGTAATCTAATCAAACTGAGCAACAAAGTGGATTTGGAATTGGTAGCTAGATGTTCAAATCACTGTTGTTTCAGCCTCTTATTGATTATTGAGAGCACAGCTATCTAATACATTTTCTGTGGCCTCTATGTTAAAGCTCTGTGGCCTCTATGTTAAAGCTGAAAGTTTTGCTTCTTGTTTTCAATGTCCATGTAGAGGTACGATAACAGTGGGATTACCACCAGATTGGGTTGATGTATCTGAAGATATTTCAGTTAACATTCAGCGTGCAAGAACCAAAATGGCTGAACTGGGAAAAGCTCATGCGAAAGCTTTGATGCCATCGTTTGGGGATGATAAAGAAGATCAACATCAAATCGAGTCTTTGACACAAGAGATAACTTTCTTATTGAAGAAATCTGAAAAACAACTTCAGAGGCTTTCTGCAGCAGGGCCATCTGAAGATTCAAATGTCAGGAAAAACGTCCAGGTTGGTCTACTTGACTTGATGTGTCTCTTGAAGGCGTTTCCTTTTGTTTTTCCATCACTATCAAAAGTTTAAGTCTTATGTGTTTTATAACAGCGATCACTTGCTACTGATCTCCAAAACCTTTCTATGGAGCTTCGCAAGAAACAGTCTACATACTTGAAACGCTTGAGACTACAAAAAGAGGTATGCTTTATGACTCCATGTACATTTCCTATGCTTGAGCCTTCACTATTTGTAACGCTGAAGTTGCTCATTTTTCGAGTCTCTAGTTATGTTCTTCACCTGCACTTTTGTTTATATGAATTTCATTATTCTCTTGTTAGTTGTTTGTATATTTTATTTTTGTTTCTAAGAAGCTCTAACTTATGATGTAAATCAGGACGGAACGGATTTAGAAATGAACATGAATGGAAGCAGATATAAAGCAGAAGATGATGACTTCGATGATATGGTATTTCCTTTGTCACTATCTTATACCCATTATTCATCTTATTTCTGTAATAATGCAATATATGAATTTCACTACAGGTATTTAGTGAGCATCAAATGAGCAAGATAAAAAAGAGCGAGGAAATATCGCTAGAGAGGGAGAAAGAGATTCAACAGGTTAGTGTTTGCAACTCTTATTGCTCCTTATAGTTACTATTTTCATACACAATCTTAATCTTCTCACTTTCTTTTTGTTCTGCGTCATCTACAGGTTGTTGAATCCGTAAATGAACTTGCTCAGATCATGAAGGATCTTTCCACGCTTGTGATAGACCAGGTATACCTCTAAAACGGTTGTCTAATTTCTAAGTCACTGATTCTAGAAATACTATAATTTGAAAGAAAACTTGTCTTGACAGGGTACCATAGTTGATCGGATTGACTACAATATCCAGAACGTTGCTAGTACCGTTGACGATGGTCTCAAACAGCTGCAAAAGGTGAACTTCTTTTAAGACCAGTGTCTATACTCTTGATAAGATTTCATTTCATGCCTATATCTTTAAGCGGAATCACTTGTGAATCTCCGCAGGCGGAACGTACACAGAGACAAGGAGGTATGGTGATGTGTGCGTCTGTTCTTGTCATCCTCTGTTTCATCATGCTAGTACTTTTAATCCTTAAGGAAATTCTCTTGTGACCCAAGAAAAAGTATGATCCCTCATTCTTTAATTCTTTTGAAACGCGATCACCACATTTTTGCGTTACTAAGTGTTCTGTATCCTCAAATGGTCTGAAGAAAAAACCGAACTGTGTTGTCTCTCTCCCTCTCCCTCAGTGGCTTTTGCTGCAGCCTGCAACTTCTTCTGCTAGTATTTTTCACTTCTTACGGTGTTCACATAGATGGACATCATCACTTTTGTATTGAGTGTTTTGTATCTTGGGTTTTGACGAGTTTATAATGGTTTATTTACATGTAAAGAAGATATGATTTTTGAGAAATCTGTGGGGAAAGATAATATAGAACTGTAAGGTTTGTCGCAGAATACAAACTACTACTACTGACCAACATTGTCATTACTATAGAAAGCAGGCAATGCAATCTCTAACCTCGATTTACAGGTAGTGTATGAACAGATGGGCTGAATGTACGATTGCCAAGGCTGCTTGTCCTGATTCATCAGAAAAACACCAAACAAGAAATCAAGTAAATTGAACTCAAGTCAAATATATAAAAACCAAACCGAAACAAAATTGCTTGGCTTGAGTTTCATAAGTTTCTCTCAGACTAAACTAAACCAAACCAGACTCTGATATTCAACCAACGCCTAATCCTTAACGTAACAAGAGCTTGTTCCTATTTAGTCAATAATGAGTAAACAGAAAAAACAAGTGAAGTTACCGAATATACATATAGGTATTACCTCTTAAGGTCCGCAGTACATCTCACTGAGAGTGCCTGAGGGTGTTGGCATGTTTGCAAAGTTGCCAGGTGGGACATATAGCATGTCTTGTTGCACTTGAAATCCTTCTTCTTCTTCTTCCTCCATCCAGTATGTTTCTAGAATCTTCACCGCTGTTTCGTAGATGTTGTTGTTCTCATGAGATTGCAGGCCCTCGATTTTCTCCAGTCCCTCAGCCTCTTCTATTAGCTGAGCATGTGGGTTTACATTTGTTTGAGAACATTGGTAAATACCTTCAGCGTGTCTTGTGCTGAAAACTTCTCCCACCTTCAGTATTTTATCGAGTGCTTCTAAACAAACCATAACAAGTTGAGTATCTGAGGATGTAAGAAGATCACACAACGGTTTGATGCATTCTTGCTTTACTAGAAACCTGTCAAGACATTGGCAGATCGCTTATAAGAGTTGAAAGGAAAGAAACAGACCCACATGCGTTTGAGAAGTATGTAAAGTAAAAAAAAAAACCTGCTGAAAACTCTACCAAGAGAAGTTGTAATAGATTCAATGGAATGAGAACCATCAGATTTAGTTCTGCTGTTAGAACTCTATTCATGACTCTATATTCAAACTACTGAATATTTGATTTTCTATATAGGTATAAGTTTTGTATTAGGTTATGTTCTACGTACATGATTTGCTTGTAAGATCCTCCGGCTATAGCGTTGCAGATAGTCCAGGCAGCTTCTTTCTTGATATCGAGTTCAGAATTTTGGAGCAGATTAACAAGTGCAGGACATATATCAGCATCAATTACAGCCTATGAAAAAATTAAAACAGATACAGAATATATTCAGCGCAAGTCTTACTTAGATTATGATTAAAAAGAGAAGTCCAGAGACTATATATTGGCAAACCTGAATCTGTGACTGACAACCAGCTGTGATATTAGAGACTGCCCAACAAGCATCCTTCCTGATGATCTGGTTATAGGGTCCCCTTAGAAGATTCAACAAGCATGGGAGCGCTTGAAGATCAATTATATGCTAAGAAGATCACAAAGAAAGAGTTCTGAGAACACAGTTATGATTAAAATCAATATTATTTAAAATCTAGTTGAGAAAGATAAATAGCATAAAGCCAGTTATAGTAGTGCTAATACTAAAATTCTATCTGTAGCCTCATATTTACCTGAGTTTGACTATCGTTTCCAGTAACAATATTTCCAATGGTGCGAAGAGCGGGAGTGAGAACTGAAGGCGAACGGTGTCTATTCAGAAAGCAAAAAGCCATCAGAATATATGACTGGATTTTCTTGGTTAGCTAATGTGATAGTCTCAGAAACTCACACTGAAAGACCAATAAGTCGCGCACAAACATTGGCTTCTATCACGGCTTGTATTTTTTCAGTTGAACCATCAGAGAGATAGACCAGTGCCCAACACGTGTAAGCCAAAAGTTCCTTGTCATCTAATCGAATGAGTTGTGCAAGAGCTGGTAATGCAGCACTCACCTGTGGGTATATATAAGTGAGATGGCTGAAAGAATACAGCATTCATCAAATCCAATCAGAAAAACTTAGTAGGCTCATTACAGTAGTGTGGATCTCAAAGTTAAGGTCAAGCAACCCAAAAGAGATCGTGAAAGATTTTCAAGATGTATTTATGAATGCCATAACAAAATCTTCAAGTGCCCTTGCATAAAATGGTCATATGAGAAAAATTATCTGGGGGCTTGTCCTCACCCAAAAAACCAAACCTTGTTACCAGAGTTTTTACAGTATTAAATATTATAGTGTTAAACAGGCGGTGATCACCATAATGTGGGCCAAAACCAATTTAACACCTCTTAAATATGCTGGACGAAAAGATATTGAGACTGCAAGTAAAGAAGCTATTACAAAACTCAGATTAGTTCAAAACATACCTGATCAAATGGAGGCTGCGGTTTTCCTCTGCAAAGATTAGACAAAGTCCAAGCAGCGTTTACAAGCATAGAAAGTTTGGCTCCTTGGTTTAACTGCAACAATAGAGAAGGTAGAGCTCCATGTCCAAGAACTATATCACGGCATCTAGGAGAGTCTCCAGAAATATTTCCTAATGCCCAGACAACCTGATTGTCCAAGCATACGGAAGAGCTTAGTTGCAACTGTAAAGTGGGAGGGAAACAACAAACTAACATATTAAACCTACAACTATATGAAGGGAGGTTTAAATTTATCCTCTATCAGCAATAAAGTTAGAAGTTTTTCTTTCTTTTAACTGATCTTTTTTATTTCCTATATCTTATAAATTTATCAATTACAGAAGCAATCTCATAGCATTGGTACATTATGACCAAATCATCACATCATATACCTGCTCACGGACCCCATCGTATGGTGAGCTGAGAAGTCTCACTAGTATTGCAACGGCTCCATGATCAATCACCACTTCAGTGTTCTCAGATGTTCCAGATGCAATATTTGTTATTGCCCAAGCCGCTTCAAACTATAAAATTTGTTCCATGAAACGAGAAACATTGAGCCTGTGAAGCTAGTGATAAAAACAGATTGATCGTACAGATGTATCAGCACTAACCTGAAGCCGAGGAAAATCATCCCATGTCAGAAATTCCACAAAGCGTGGAACCAAACCAGCCTGTATAACTTCTTCAACGTGTACATTAAACATTTCTGCCAAACAAAACAGAATATGGTATTAGAAAAGGAAAATACATTGCTATTGCTTTACTTTCATATTGAACTACATTTATGGGGACTCATGTCGCGGTAGCTACACATTACAGCAAAAACATCATCATACGGCCTGAGTTCATTGCAGTCTAACATTTTTAAAATGGCAAAAAAATGTTGCTGTGACACATGTAGCAAATGTCAACATAGGCAAACGTGGCAGTTTATGTATTAGCAACGAGGTTGTTCGTAAATAAATGGAATGGGATGTCTCTCACCACCACAAAGTAACGTTCTGATTTGAGTAGTAGCCTCAATTCAACAGATCCCTCTTGTCAGACCAGATACGGCTTATCAACTGTAACCAATCGAACATACAAACTACTCAAACATAGAACTAATAATCCGTATACGGAATTGAATTTCCCATTCAAAGAATTTCAGAAAATGAAAATGGCAAAAAAAATCTCCAGATTAAAAGACAAACATGGAAAGTGTTGAAGTGCTCATAGTGGGAATTTCAAGGATTAGCCGATTTGCAGAACATGTAATAGCAATCATGAACATGTTACATATATAAGTAGCTCACTCTGAAAATTTCAAGTCCAAAATCTAGCGATCGCATCAAGCATCAAAGTCAAATTCCACAACGCAACATGTCAAGAAGTTTGAAACCCGATCGTCTGACATAATAACTCGACACGACAAATTAAGAACACCAAATTCAAAAATAGAGACACCAAAATCGATTGAAATTTGATGCATAAATTCAAAAATCTCAACACCAGAAGCATATGCATTTACGAACCACCTGTAGTCAAAATCTCTTTCATCAATCACCAGATTTTACGAAAACACACAAATGATTAAAATAAACGAGAAACCCAACCTTCTGATCAAGAGAATCGGCGGAAGGAGAATGAGGAAGAGCCTCGCGGCGCTTCTTAAGCAAACTCTCTTCTCTCTTAGCTTTGCGGATCTCAACCATGTCGTCCTCTCTTCGCCGACGTCCACCAACTCCGTCAACCACAGCCTTATACCCGCTCCTCCGTACTGACATCGTCCAGCTCGTCCTCATCGTAGACGTTGTTCCTCCTCCCTTCATCGTCAATGTCGCTTCGATACCAAACGATTCCGACGGTTTTTATACGACTAAAATCAAATTTCCACAAAAAGCAACGAAACAAGCCCACACGCTATTAACCAGAACAAAATAAAAACAAATTTTAACTTTTAGGGTTAAATCGGATATTTAAAAAACATTAGGGGTACCGATTCGAATTAGTGAGACAACTTGGGGAGAACCAGAAAAAAACAAAAAAAGCGAGCGCAAGTTGATTCGCTCCCGCCTAAATTCTGTTACAGATATTATTTTATCAAATTTCACTATTATTTATTTTGAACTTTATGATATCAATTATCAAATCGAACTAATTCAACGAGAGGAATATGGTTTGGACCCTTCTTATGCTGTTGAATGACCCGTTACCAAAACAAATCATTATTGAGATGGAAGATAAATAAAAGAAGCCATTATCTATTTAAGGTCTCTATTGTTCGCTATAATATTTTTTTTTCCTTTTCCATTTTTAATAATTTTGTTGTAAAAACAATTTTTTGTTTTCCACCACATTTTTAACTCTTCCGAGATACAAGGCTTTGAATACTAGAGAGATTCTATTTATTTGGAGTATAAAAGCAGAAAAATATTTTTAAAAGAAAAAGAAATAGGAGAGAAAAAAAAGAGAGGGAGAGATAAAACCGAGATGGAGGATTTCCAATCTCCTAGAATACGATCTTACAAATCGTATGAAGGAGATAGGAACCTTCAACTGGTTGATCCTGCTGATTTAAAACCGGTAAGAGGTATTTACGTCGTCAGAGAATCAAAGCATAATCGATCTCCAATGACAGCAGATTTATGGCGTAAAATTTCTTACAAAGACTTGCCCGTTAGACCTACCAAGAGATCTTCTTCTCATTCTACGTCGTTAAAAGGTAATTAAAAAGGATGTGTAAAGCATATGTAAATGTTGTGTTTTGCATTTAATTGCAAAATATACGAGTAAGGATTATATAATGTTTTAAGCGTTATGAAATTTGTTTTTGTAACAATCGTAGGATGGTGGAACGATCCGGAAATAAAGAGAAAACGACGAGTGGCGAAATACAAGCTTTATTCAGCCGAAGGAAAGATGAAGACATCTTTGAGAAAGAGCTACAAATGGATTAAGATTCAATGCTCCAAGATTATTCATGGAATATAGGTCTCTCATTTTATATAACCTGTTTAGAAGTTTGTTTTGAAAAGGTATTTAATTTGTTCCATTCATTATGTAATTGTGTTCCTTGTGTATTTCTATAATATTCAATTAACTGACACATCAAAATAAAAGAAAAAATATATATATGTTAATTTGAAAAAATTATCAAAAGACGCCTATATTAAATAATTTTCTTTTAATTAAACACCACAACTTCAAAAAAAAAAATTATTAAGTTGGCTTTTTAAAACGTATGTATGGAATTTAAGAGCTGGATTGTAGAGGCTATTTATGTGCAGAGTTAAACGACGCCGTCGTAAGTAAAGTCAAGTCAACAAAACTTCTTGTTATAAATAGATTACAACCCCCCCTCCTTAAGTTTGAGAAAAAAGAAAGCAAAAGCTACTAAAATGGCAAAGATCTTGGGTTCCATCTGTTTCACCACTCTTTTGCTCGTTGTCTTGCTAATTTCCTCTGGTAATATATAATCTTCCCCAAATTTTTGTATGCATATATATATGCCCGTTACTTCAAATCGCAACATGTATATTCAACTTCATATCATATTAAGCTAAATGGTTCTTCAATGTATATATATAGAAATCCCGAAGAGCGAGGGTCACTGTAAGAAGTTTATAGGCGAAGCCCCGTTTTACCACCCATGTAGGGAAAAAGCTTGTGAAGCCTCATGCAAGGAACATTACCCTCACGTAGCATGTAAAGGAGAGTGTGAGGATCATCACGGCGAAGAGCATTGCCACTGTTACGGTAGTAAATATCACTGAAGTTAACTAATAAAGTTTGTGTCACTATATAATGTAATAAGTGTAAGTTGTTTTCTTTCAAAACAAATAAAAGGACGAAGCTGCTGATGACTGCTTCCTCCATACGTCGACGTCTATAATAAGATCATACTATGTTGTATGCTATTTCGTTTTAATAACATATATACTACTATACTAGCTATCATCGTTTTGATGATTTGATATATACTTCTCTTCCGTTTTTATTAATATATAGTAAACTTCTTTTTAATGTAAAAGTTGATGTGATATTTAATTTATCATTGTTAGTCATAATTAAAAAAAAAAAAGTATAAGAATGTGAAACCATCTAGCTAACATAATATGTATCTGGCTATTGCATGGATAAAGAACACATATTTATATCAGTTTAATCATCTTTGAGAAAAAAAGGTGACATTAGCTATACGACCTTACACATATTCTTTTTGAATGGTGATTAACTAATTAACTTCATTGTACTACCGAAATTCCCTGATCATTGTTAAAAAGTACTACAGAATGTCATATATAAGAACAATTGACGTAAAAATTACTACCATTTATTAACAAAAACAAAACACAAAAAAAAAAAATTACTATATACATATACGGCTTGTTTTATTTCTTTATATTTTTCGTAAATACTCTTTACCAAAAAAAATAAACAATTTCGTAAATACTTAATAAGTCTCACTTAATCGTTAATAGAGATCGATCGAGGCAACCAAACCTGCCCGTAGACATATCTAATTTAGGCAACTACGTATCAATTCTTTTTCTACAATAGTAACAATATTCAATTTTTAGCATCTACACTAAATTTTTAACCTAATAGAACTTGTAAGAAGTAAATAGAAAATTCATGGGGAGAAGGATTTGACTTTAAAAAATTCGGAAAAGTCCAAAGAGTTCTCACCGAGTAATTAGGAGAAATTAATGAGTAGATGACCTTCATTAAGAAGCTAGGTAACCAAGTGGCCATTGAGCCGAGCTACGAAGCAATTAATGGATATTATTCAAAATGCGACTATAGATTTAAGAATAGTATAACATTGAATCTAGTCTTTCACCCCAAATAAACGAATAGTTGAGAGTTGATGAGACATTGAGACGAGACCCATCATTATCAATTTTTACCACTTCCAATTCCATATATAATATAAAATAACCGCACGAGCTCCTCCTTCTCTTCTCTTTTGAAGGCTTCCCCGACCCGTCTACTTCATATCTTCCTTCAACCATGCACCACTTCTAATTCTATCTATCCATTTCCTCCTGCATCTCTCAAGCACTTTATTTTACCACCCATGTCTTTATTGTTTTAATAATCCCCCACATAATCTGGTGATACTTCTTTATCGATTTCAGTAAATCATTTTTTAACCTCTTATATATCTTCAAACTCGACTTCCCTTCTTGTGTTTGGCGTACGTATTTTAAAAAAGAATTATCAACTTCGAGAGTCTTTTAATTCGCAGTTCAACTTCAAATTTTATGTTAATTCCTTTATCTTTCGTGAACGGTTTTCACTTGAGAATGACTCACAAGCCTTTGACTCTTTGAGCTTTGTCAACTGTTACAAAACTAGTATTTTTGACAATTTCTTTTCCTAACTTCACTTTCTTGTAGCATTATCGCTTTTGTTTAGTAACAAAATCGTAGTTGTCAAAAAAATATACACGGTCAGTAAAGTAAAAAGCACTGGGTTAATAGAGGGGTATCATCAAATGGGCTTTGAAACGAAAGTATGAAATTTAAAAGCTGGGCCTTAAAGGCTTATACACGTGAGACTGAAACGGCGATTTAAGTCAACGGAATTCTCCTATAAATAAGATTGGAACACCCATTGAGTAATATCACCCAAAGTTTCCGAGAACAGTAGAGAAACAGTTATTTTAAAGCTTAAAAAGCAGAGAAAGCAAAAAGCCTCGAAAATGGCAAAGACCCTCATCTGCTTCACCAGTCTTCTGCTCGTCCTCTTGTTCATTTCGGCCGGTAATTTAATTTTCTTTCGGTTCTAGTCTAATTTCTAAGTTAATTGTTCATATGCATATATCTTCATCGTACATAATTACATAAGTATAAATTAAGCAGGAAACATATAATTTAGAAATTTTTAATGTAAGTTCTTCTACTTCAATGTACATTCAGAGATCCAGAAGAGTCAGGCTAATGACTGCGATAGGTTTTTAGGCGAAGCCACAGTGTCTTACCCATGTAGGGAAAGAGAGTGTGAAGCCCAATGCCATGAGCATTACGAGCACTCATGTAAAGGAGAGTGTGAGGATCATGACCATGATCACGGCCACCATGATCATGACGACCATCACGATCACGAAGAGCACTGCCACTGCTACGGTCATTAATGAAATGCTGAAATTTTACAATGAATTCGTATCGAATAACAAATAAGACTGTATCTCTAATATGTAAGTGTGGTTTCGGTTCGATGTAATGTAAGGGAATGTGTGTAAGCTGTTTTGTTTATGAGGAAATAGTAGGACGAAGCTAATGACGGCTTCTCTCTACATCTATAATAAGATCATGTTGTATGCTTTTTTCGTTTTAATAATAAATTTGGTTTTGTGTTTTTCTACCTTATTTCGATTATTAAACTATTTTAGGTCAAAACATAAAATCCTCCCAAACTGATAAATACTATCCTCGTAATGATAATTTATAAATTATCATACAAAACAATGAACCAATATAATAGGGCAATGAGGGTGTATCAGGTGTCGCATAATCTTTATATATATATTATGTGTTTGGGATGTTAAATCAATAAATAGACAAGTTTTATTTGAGTTTGATGATGATCCTATATAATTATATATGGGGATAGTGAAACTATATTATAACTGCTTAATTAGTGACGCTAAACTTCTAATAGTTTGGTCGTTATATATATACTTGTAAGTTTGATTATCTTTATTTAGTTTGGTTACTCTCCACGTCGATTACTGCAATGCGCAATTGAAAATGATGATTGAAACTAGAAAACAACATACGAAAATGAAAGTATAAATGCATCAGTACTCATTCCCTTGGTTGATGATTCTCGTTCTTGGGTAAATAAGTTTCACTTTAAAAAAGATCGAGGCAACCATTTTGGTCCAAATAAAGCAAACAACTCCAATTGTGATTGTTTTACAACATTACTTACTAAATCCCAATAAGTATATGTATATATGTGTAGGGTTAATTAAGCCGAATGGAAATGTACTAAAAGGTCTTGTATATATATTTATGCATTAATTCCGTTGAAATGTTAAAATATTTAATGTTTAGATAGTCGAGTTTGATAGACGAAACAAAAGAGGAGAAAGATCATTTGACTTTAGAAACCCTAAAAAGATGTCCAAAGGAAAAAGAAATATTAGAGAGTTGAATTCATAGACATTGGTGAGTAGTGGACCTTATTCACAAATAATCAAGTTGCTAATATGGCCACAAGCTGCGTAGCTATTAATTGGGATCAAGTGACCTCTATAAGTTTAGGAAAATGACCTCCAGTCCTATTACACCGTTGAATTTTTTAAAAAGTTTGCCCCCCCCCCAACTTTTAATTGTTTCGTTGTCTTAAATATCTATTTAAATTGGACCCATTCCGACCTCTATCTTACGTAAAGGCAATCGGACTACATATTGTAAGAACTAGAAATCAAACCGGCGTTTAATAGAAACCAATCGAACCAGAAAAGGGAAACCGATGTCATAAAGACCGGTTATCAATGTAATCCACAAGGATCGGAGAAGATTGGTGAATCGGACTTTAAGCTGCTGGATTTGGGCCTGAAAGCCCATCTAAGATAGAGTGAAACGGGACGTTTTGTAATTGGCGGGAAAAAAGAGGCTGGATGTTTCTCTTTGTGCGGAAAGGGCTCTAAAAAAAAAATATAAACATCAATTAAATTCTCTAATCGCCGTCGGGAATAATCGCTGGTTCCGTTGTCGGAGATGAAGGATCAGGATCTCGAATTGGAGAAAGCTCGATTGATAAGCCTTGCTACAAAGCTCGGATTCGATGATGATTCCGCCAAAAAATGCTTGGATCGATTCGTCGCTCTCTACGGTACCAAAATTATAATCTAGATTCTACCCTATGCTCTCGTAATCGATTAAGTTTCTGTTTTTTTTTTTTTTTTTTTTCTTATTGTGTCTGGTCTCAAAGGCGATGATGGTCGGGATTTCATCACTGTTGAGTTATGTGGAGATGATTTTCTTGCCGCGTTAGCTGATTTTGAGGAGGGAACTGAGGAATGGGATGATATACAGGCTATCGAGTCTGAAGCTCAAGGAACTTTGGCTGAAATGTTTGATCAAGCTAATTCTATTGATGACGGATTCAAGACTGATGATGATGATGATTCAAGAGTTCAAGTTCATGTCATTGAGGATTCTCCTGAGCCAAAGAAAATCCCGGAGATAATGGAGTTGGATTCTTCTAGTGATTTGGAAGATATTGAGAAACGCTTCAAGGTCCCAAGGAGATCACAGACAAGTTCTAGAAATTACTCTTTGAGATCTATGGTAAGATTCAACGTTGCAGTTACTATTTCATGCTTTTTGAAAAGAAGGAAATAAACAAGTTTTCTGTTTGGCAAAGATTCTCTCATTTATGTGCTCAAGGATATATCTATGTTTAATCATGCGTCGAAGCTTTTTATCTCAAAGATTTAACTCTTCATTCATTTGGGTCTGGTTCCTATGACCAAGTTAAAATAGTTTTGTTGTGGGTTCCTTTGACAGCTTCTGGGTTTTGCTAGCTCTCTCTTCACATTTGAATTGTGTTTTTAATGACAAACTTGTACTTTCCTCTAGAACTGAAACTTCTGATTTTTTCTTCGCTGAAGGATAATTCCATGGAAGATTCAGTTTCAACAATTTCAAGCAGAAATCCTTCTGTACAGATATCAGACAAGGACCTTGAAACTCCGAGCTACGAAGAGTTGCAGGCGTTGGATGATCTAGAGTTTGCAAATTTGGTGATCTTTGGGAACAAGGTGTTTCGCCCCTTGCAGCATCAAGCATGTAGAGCATCTATGGAAAAAAAAGATTGTTTTGTTCTTATGCCAACGGGAGGGGGGAAAAGTTTGTGTTACCAGGCAGGATCCCTTAGCTTTATATGTTCCTGAAGGCGTGATTTGAGTTTTGTTTAGGAAGAGTTTGTCCACTAGCCGTTAGTTTATATTGCTACAGTATGCATACTAAATTTTGTCTCTTTTGTTTGTTTACAGCTTCCTGCAACACTAAAAGCTGGAGTTACCATAGTTATATCTCCTCTATTGTCCCTCATTCAGGATCAGATAGTTGCCCTGAACCTAAAGTACGGGATACCAGCGACTTTTCTGAACTCTCAGCAAACATCTTCCCAAGCAGCAGCTGTATTACAAGAGCTTAGGTGAAGATCCTCTCTCGATTTCTTTCATTTTTTACAGTCAAGTGCCTTAGGCATCATTTATCCAATTTCTTTAGTGATGATCTAACCATCTAAAATTCGAAATGCACTTAAAAAGCTCATACGTGCATTGACATTTTGCTTGCAGGAGAGATAACCCGTCATGTAAACTCTTGTATGTGACACCTGAGAAAATTGCTGGGAGTTCATCCTTTTTGGAGACACTAAGGTGCTTAGACCGCAAGGTAGCATGTTCAGTTTCCTTTGTTGTTATTGTTACATAATTTATAACAACCAAATTCTACCTCTAAGAAAAAAGTTAAACATCTTCCATTATTAACAACAGGGACTGCTGGCAGGTTTTGTGGTTGATGAGGCTCACTGCGTGAGGTACAATACCTTTCTCCCCTTCTTCCACACATTCTACCTTGTTGTCTACACGAATGTGTTCTGATTGTTCATCACTAACACCTTAATATCAAAATAGATTTCTGCCTGAGGAAATTCTCCTTGTGATCTACATGAATGTGTTGTTTTTCTTTCCAGCCAATGGGGACACGACTTTCGGCCAGACTATAGGGAACTGGGATGTCTTAAGCAGAACTTTCCCCGTGTTCCTGTGATGGCTCTTACAGCGACAGCAACTGAATCCGTCTGTCAGGTAACAACCATCACCATGATTAGATCCTTTTGAAATTGGGAACAGAATTTCATGTTCTGAGGATTTTCATTGCTCCAGTTCTCAATCTAGCTTCAGAAAACAGTCTTACTCTATCATATGTTGTGGTTCCTTATGATCTGAACACTGCTATTTTGCCATTTTGATCCTTTTTTCCACACAACAGGACGTAATAAAAAGTTTGAGAATTCCTAGGGCTCCGGTTCTGAAGATGAGCTTTGACAGAACCAACTTGAAGTATGAGGTGATCGTCAAAACAAAAGAGCCGCTGAAACAGCTCCAAGAGCTGTTAAGAGATCGGTTCAAGGATCAGTCTGGGATTGTTTATTGTCTCTCCAAAAGTGAATGTGTCGATGTTGCGAAGTTTCTGAACGAGAAATGCAAGGTGAAGACTGTTTATTACCATGCTGGTATGCCTGCAAAACAGAGAGTTGATGTACAGAGGAAATGGCAAACAGGGGAAGTCCGAATTGTTTGTGCAACCATCGCATTTGGGATGGGAATAGACAAAGCAGACGTGGTAAGTCAAGCCTGTTCATAGCCATTGCAGCCATTTCGTTGCTAGGTTCTGTCACTTTCCTCTTTTTTAAAAATCGCTTTTGCTGCAGCGTTTTGTCATACACAATACTTTGTCTAAAGCTGTAGAAAGCTACTACCAAGAGTCAGGGAGAGCTGGAAGGGACGGGCTTCAAGCACAGTGCATTTGCTTGTACCAAAAGAAAGATTTCAGCAGAGTCGTTTGCATGCTGCGTAATGGACAAGGCAGAAACATGGATAGATTTAAGTCAGCCATGGCTCAGGCCAAGAAGATGCAGCAATACTGTGAGCTCAAGGTAATATTGTTAAAACGCAAAATGGAAAAGCAAATGCTGTTAATTCTCTGTTTCCATTGTGGTTAATATGTTCAAGATTTTACTTCATCTTTACTAAGTCTTAATCTATGAATGCTTTCAGACAGAATGCAGAAGACAGATGTTACTAGAGTACTTTGGAGAGTCATTTGACCGGAAGATTTGTAAAAGCAGTTTAAATCCGTGTGATAACTGTGAAAAGAGCTAAAGTAATCTCCATCAAATCTTCGATGACTTGACCTCTTATATATTGCTACATATTGTTTTCTTCACATGACCAGAGTTAACAATAAACATTTATGATGTTGTAATAGTAAAGATCTTTTTTGCTTCCTTTATGTAACATAACATGGTAGATTTGAGCATTTCCAAGGTTAAGTTCTCATCAATTCTTCAAAGTCATGATTTTTTGGTTTTCTCGTAAAAAGTAAGGAAAAATGTGGTTAAGTCAAATAACTTGAAACCGAAACCAACTTGCTGGTTTCAAACCAGAGAGGCAGGAAACTGATGAACAAAGTTGTAGACAAGGTTTTTGAAGCATAAACTACATCTAAAAAGCCTGAATTTAGAGCAAACAACACTGCTTCATGAAAGCATTAAGCAAACAACACTGCTTCGTGAAAGCATTGAGCCATCATTACTCACGTCTCACTCTCGTTTCGTTTTCTCACCCTTTTGCGATGCTTCTACTTCTTCTTGTGGGGTTTTGCTTGGATGCGTATTTTTTCGGGGATTTCTTTGCGATGCGTCTTCTTTTAGGGCTTTGCTGCGACGTGCCTCCCGAATTCGGTCCAACATGAGGATCAGGTGAAGGTAGTACGTTCCTCTGTTGAGATGGTGGGATAACTTTCGGCGCAAGCAACTGATATGCATTGGCATTCTGGCTGTTGTCTCCAACCGCTGAGTTTGCATGGCCATCTCCGAAGTGAAGCGACTCTGGTAATGATGGGAAAGGGACTTCCAATGTTCTTCTGGCCCAAAAGCTGTCTGCTACTATCTCCCTGTAGTTCATTTGTAAAACATGCGGAACAAAATATAGTTGATGTCTCCTGAAAAATACAAAGATGAAAGAATTTAATCATTCAACAAATTAGAAACAGAAATCATTCAACAAATTAGAAACAGAAACAAACTGAAGGATCATGGATAAAGTTACGGGAAGCAAAAATCAACCTGCAAGTATTAGAAGGATGATTTTGAGTGTAATGGCTGATCTGTTGCCATTTACCTACAAGATCCTGTTGGAAGAACGTTGGTGGTACTCCCAACTGCAGAGAAACACACACACACACACATGACATGAGGTTCAAGTTTTGAAGAATGTGTAAGCAGCTTATTAATAAATACATTACCTCGATCTCAAGGCATCCAGTTATAACGTCCACTTTTAGGGACAAGACATCGGCCCATTTGATCTCCATCTTTTTCCAATGTTTTCTTGTTCCAGTTTCTGTTCCTACCACGTCAAGAATCTCCCAGTCAAATTTTTGCTCTCCAAAGTGGCAACTAACCATAAGACCCTCGTAGTTGACCGCAGCTTTGGTCCAATCTCCGATTGTAATCTTGGTCATTGGAAAGTATAATATAGCTGCCCGTGGGTTAGGCAAGTTTCGAGATGAACTTTTAACCTGAGTTTTACACGAGTAACAAAACCTAAGAATTTGTGATTCCAATATTGAAAAGAACAGAGCAAGTTGAACCAGAGTAAAGAACCTGCGATCCAGAAGTAATGGCCGGAGAATCTCTGCCAGAATATACAGGCTGACCTAGAGGAAGATCCGCTCCGAGAGACGCAGACCCAGCGCCTAATCCCAGTGACAAACTCAATGAAAGATCCAAGCCATCGGTTGAACTCGACGGACCAGCAAAAGGAAGAGCCGAGGCTGTGCTGTTTGAGAAAGCCGATAAGAGATCCAAGACACAGGTTGAACTCGACGGAGCAACATGAAAACTTGAAAGATCTTGTGACTCATTCCAGCCGTCGGAAGAAGAAGTAGAACTAGACGGAGCGACAGGGAGATATTGGCCGAGAGGTGTCTCTGCTGCGTCGTCGGAGTTCGGCGGAGCCAATGATAAACTCAAAACCTCGTGATCGGGATCATGTTCCATTCTTGATTTCTTGAAAATCATAACAAGAGCGAGATTAATGAAGAAGACGAAGTTGTTGTTGAGTTTACTCTCTTGTATATATATCGGTTGCCAATGCCACGTGGCTACATTATTCATAGAAATTAATTTACAATAGTATATGGGGCGGATCGCATAATAAAAAGCTTTATTTTGTGCTTTGTATTTTTGCGTCAACAAAATTTGTGTATATAAGAAGAGAAAATAAACGACTTCTCTAATTCATTTCCAAATATTATTAAAAATTCGAATCTGTAAAAGCCAACAAAAATTCATGAGATGGGGCAAAAAGGTCATATTTTTATTATTATTTTACAGAAAGAAATGAGACATTTAATTTGGAGAGGTGGAGATATTGGAAAATTCAAAGTCTCTCTCTTTCTCTTCTTGTCACATCAATTCACACTCTGCATCTCTTCATTTTCACAAGCCTCCCTCCGCTCCGCTTCTTTCTTTAGTTCTTTTTAGGTCTCTCTCTCTCTACTCTCTAACCCAAATCCATCCCCAAATTCCCATATTCCAAATGCTGAATCGAGTCCGCCATTGAATTCCAAATTCTTAACTCTTTCTGTTCTTCTGACCCACTTCTCAAAAATCTCACCTTTTCGTTCTTTCCACTGATTTGTTTTCTCTCTTCGTGTTCTTGTTAGTTTGACAAATACAGCAATGAGAGACAGACAAAAGTGAAAAACTTTTTTTTAATTTAGGGTTTCGACTCTTCTCAGTATCACATATTTTGTTTCTTCTCCACTCTCGTCTCGGTGCTGCCTACATTTTGCTGTTAAGGTATACACAATTTCGAATTTGGTAACATTCCTCTAATCATTGATGAGTTTTTTTTTTTTTTTTTGGCTGAATCATTTGATTTGTCAGTATTCCTTTTTGGTTCTGTTGTATACTGTTAATGTTAGTGTCAAAGTTTGGTCCTTTTTGTCCTTTTCATCGAAATGCCAATCAAAGTTTCATCTGAAATAGTTGGCTTAGCTTGAGTACGTATTTAGACTCCTAGAATCAAAATCCAGTTTCGTGTATATAATATAATGCCTTGCATAGAAGTAATTCAATTGCTGTTATAGGTAGATGATAGAAATGGAGGCTGTTGAGAGGAAACGATCCAGAGGAGGTTTTCGAAATCTGTTTGACTGGCCTGGTAAATCTCGGAAGAAGCTCTTCTCCTCCAGCAGCAACGTAGTCTTCGGTAATGTCTGCAAAACAAACTTCTTACCATCTCAGTTTAAGTCTAAATTCGTTCTTGTTCTGAAGCCTTTGGTTGATTTCAAATTATGCCTTTTGATTCAATTGCTTTGATATGTAGACATTATGGTCTGAATCAATGCAATTTTTTGTGTGGAAGATTTTGGTTTGCTTTATTGTTTTGGTGATCTTTGATGCATAGTCCTGCACTTCTTAATTCAAACAACTTAATCTACTTTGGCTTTTTGTTCAATTGTCTTCTTTTTTTTTTTGTATCAGAAGCATCGAAGCAAGAAAAAAAAAATGCTCGAAACCCCTCAAACTCATGGCCCTCACAGGTAAGGCTTCTCAATACCATTTTTCTCTATGTTTAGTTGATTTAAGTGAATGACCGGAATCAATGGTCTTTGATATGATATTTGTTTAACAGATTGATGGGGATAATATTGGAAAAAATTCAACTTACAATCCGAGAAGTGACACGAGTTGCTCTACATCCTCTGCCACTAGTGATGATGGACAAGGGTCCCGAGCTCCAAGTGTGGTCGCTAGGCTCATGGGTTTAGAGTCTCTACCTGTACACAATGCCTTGGAGTCCCAGTCTAATCCCGCTTTTGACCCATACTTACTCAGATCCTCACGCAAAGCAAGCACATGGGATGCATATGAGAATTTGGGTTATGTAAATCTTCGCAGTGACTATGATGGTATTTCCTGGGACCATTTGGATTCAAGAATGAATACAGAGTGTAACCGGCCTATTGACCGCTTTCAAACCGAAATGTTGCCTCCAAGGTCGGCTAAACCAATACCTGTCACTCACAATAGGCTCTTGTCTCCTATTCGGAGTCCTGGGTTTGTTCAGTCCAGGAACCCTGCTTATGTAATGGAAGCAGCTTCAAGAATGATTGATCCAAGCCCTCGAGTAGTTGCTAAAACGCGGTTTTCATCATCTGATTCTTCTTCATCACTTCCGATGAGGATCAGAGATTTGAAAAAGAAACTAGAAGCTTCACAGAAAGGACCAAGCCCTCAAATCTCTAATGGTATTCGCGATAATAAGTATTTCAGAGGAAAGCACGACGAAAAGAGAACTACATCATCACTCAAGAGACTAGAGACAAATAATTTATTGGGAGAAATCAGCTTTGGTGGTTTGAAGGGTAAAGTGAAGAAGCCTTCTGTATCTGTAAACGCAAAGACCAACACTAGTCACAAGGGAGTCAGTTCAACGCCCTCGAGTGGCAACAGAGACCAAAAGAAGAAGATGGAAACTAAGAACCGAATAGTAAGAAAAGGTTTCAAAGAATCTTCTGCTAGCACTGGGAAAACTGTGGTTAAGCCAAATAACCAGAAACAGAACCAATTTGCTGAGAGGTCTGTTTCAAACCAGAGAGGCAGCAAAGTGATGAACAAAGTTGTAAACAAGGTTTTGGTGGAAAGCGGAACTACAACTAAGAAGCTTCGTTTTACTGCAACATCAGCGGAAAAGAACACTGCTCCATCTTTGTCCAGCAAAAAGAATCTTACCCGCAACAAAGAACTGCCAAATGGGGTGCAAGAACCTGGATCCAACAGTGATAAACGGATAAAAAGGGGTGAAAAGTTGATAAAATGTAACATCACCGTGGATGGCAGGTTGAAGACAGGGGACAATGATCGAAAGGACATGGATGTGATTTCGTTCACTTTCTCATCCCCTATCAAGGGTTTATCATCCAATTCACGATCTTCTGCTAAAATGACTGATCAAGATACAGAATCAGTACTTGGTTTCAATAAGATTGACAGTGATTCTCTTAATTTACTGTTGGAGAAAAAGCTCAAAGAGCTAACCTCTAAGATTGAGTCATCTTGCAGTAGTGTTACCCAAGAAGAAGAGTCGTCGGGTTCCATTACAAAGGATTGGGTGAACGGGACAATATCTTTGCCGTCAGATGATCTGGATAATGGTTTATCAGAGAGTGAATCTGTCTCTGATTGTAGTTCATTTTATAATAATAAAATATTCCAGGTTAGTCATATGGCCGGTTCCTTTCTCTGCACAAGAATAGGTCTACTTTTAGTAGCTTATCACTGTTTCTATAATTCACTATATATGTTTTACCGTAAGGTTTTCTAACTCACTGACCTTCAAAAATTTCATATTTCCTATGACACAGGCAGAAGAAGATCAGGAAGTCAACAGCTTCAGCACAGCAAGAAATCTCCAAATCTCCAGCAGCAAGAGTTTCTCAAATTCGCGCAATGAATACCACAATGACATTGAAGAAACTGAACTCTCAGCAGAATCAGTGGCTTTATCAGTAGCTGAGGAAGGTCATGACTGGGAGCTTGAGTACATAACTGAGATCATAGCCTCTGACCAACTGATGATTAAAGAATTCTCCTTGGGGATGGCTACTGATATATTACCTCTGAGCCTTTTTGATGAAATTGAAAGTAAGAGAGATCTACGGGGCAAGATTGAAAGAAGAACACTGTTTGACTTTGTGAACCAGTGCTTAACAGTCAAATGCGAGCAGATGTTCATGGGAAGCTGCAGAGGTTTATTAGGGAAAGAAGACATATATCTTAAAAGGGGAGGGATTTTGGCAGAAGAAGTGAAGAAAGAGGTTGAGGGATTGAAGAAGATGAGAGAGATGATGATGGATGAGCTAGTTGACAAAGACATGAGTAGTTGTGAAGGGAAATGGCTAGATTACAAGAGAGAGACTTACGAAGGAGTTGAGATTGAAGAAGAGATTCTGTCCGATTTAGTTGATGACTTAGTTAATGATCTTCTCTTGTGTTTCTGACTACTACGTGGTCTTTTTTTTTTTTTCTAGTCTTTATAATATTATCTGTTAGAAAGAATATTAGGCTGAACTACATTCTCTCACAGTGTAATTATAGAGCATTCCTTTGCGATAAATTTTTAACCTCTGTAATCCCAAATAGTGAAAGCCTAATAGACATTTTCATTACTTCGGTTTAGTGATGGTGATCACTGTGCAGAGACAACGAGCAAGTGTAAGTCATTATTAAAAAAAAACAACAATCGGGGTGTTCCGAGAATCGAACTCGGGACCTCTCGCACCCGAAGCGAGAATCATACCACTAGACCAAACACCCTGAGTGTTAGTTTATCAGCATTTAAAATAATTATTCCATAACGTATCACCGTCTTTAAACGGAGACTCAATTGTTTTGTTCATCGAAGACGGAAGAGAAAATTCGAAGAATCCAAATCAGTGTTTCCTCTTCTCTCTTTGCTAAGCCCTTTCAGCTTTTTGGTTCTCCAATGGCTTCGAGCAACGCGGTAAGCTTACCCTATATCTACTTAGGGGTTTAAATATAAGGGTAACGATGTGACTCTGAGGTTGCTTTGTGTGTTTTGGTTCGATGATTTTTTAGGCTGCTGGGGTTGATAATACGTTTAGAAAGAAGTTCGATGCGGAAGAGTTCAAGGAGCGTGCTCGTGAACGCGAAAAGAAGGTTGCTTTCTCTCCCAGTTTCCTGTTTTTCAATCTCTGATTTGCTGATTTCAATTTTGAAAGCTAAATCATGCTTTTTTGTTTTTTTGTTTCTGGATGCAGGAGTCAGATCGGTCTAAATCTCGGTGTAGGGTTACTTCTCTGATTTCGAGCTTATAAATACTTGAATTTGTGAAATTTTGATGACACTAATTTAGGTTCGTTGTTTTTTTCTCAGCTAAAGGTCCTCCTGTGCAAAGAGCCCCTTTGAAGCATAGAGACTATCATGTTGACCTAGAATCTCGTCTGGGCAAGACACAGGTGATTCTTTTAATCTCTTTTTACCTTTATTTTTTGAATTGAATAGAAATTTGCTGGCTTTCTTGTGTTTGTCAGTAAGACAGAGAATTTGTACAAGTAACTTTGGTCTACTTGTTCTTGGACAATGAGTCACGGATGTTGTTTCTATATGGATTTTCCTTTTACATGAGAAGTCTACTTTTAAACCAATGCCTTTTTTGGTTTTGATCTGAAGTGTGCGATTGACAATAAACGTTTGGAATCTCTGTTCTTCTCTTGCCTTCAAAACAGATGAAGTTTTGTGAATACCTTACTATCTAGTAAACGGCGTTGATGTTTGAACTGGTGTATTGCATGATTATTTTTTATTTATGAGTTTAATAAAGACTACTTTGTTGATTTCAATCTTGTTCTTGCTTTCTTTTGATATGGAAGTCTTTCCACTTAAGGTCTTCAAGAACCTAACATTCTTGCTTATATTACCAGGTCGTTACACCGGTAGCGCCTCTAAGCCAGCAGGTAATAGCTCTTTTCTTCTTGTACTTCAAATATGATCTTAAGAAAAGAAAAAACTTGAAACCATGCGAGAATCTGCTAATGACCTTTGTCTTTCCACAGGCCGGTTATTTCTGTCGCGTCTGTGAATGTGTCGTTAAAGACTCAGCAAATTACTTGGATCACATAAATGGGAAAAAACGTACGTGGTGACTCTTTACTCACCATATTCTATTCTAACAAGTCAAACTTAAGAAGTCATATTCATTTTAAAGCCACTGAATTGTTGGATGTAATATCCAATTTGTAAACTAAATTAGATGGTGTTGTTTCTGATTCACACAGATCAACGGGCACTGGGAATGTCTATGCGGGTGGAGAGATCGTCACTTGAACAGGTAATTTTTTCTTCCAGATATATGCTTAATTGCTATCATGGGTTTTTGCTTGTGTTGATGAATCTGAGATAAAAGTGCTTTGGGGTTAAACTGTATTAGGTCCAGGAGCGGTTTGAGGTTTTAAAGAAGCGGAAAACGCCAGGAACTTTCTCTGAACAAGGTAAGACTTTTGAGAGGACCCATCTTTGAGTTATTTAGTTTGATGTTTCTTCATAAATCAGAAACTAATCTCTGGAAAGAAAAGCTAGAAAAATCGAAGTAGGTTGAAAAAGAACAGTAAGGTAGCAACTTGGTCTTCATCTAATGCATAGTAGATCTTGGATAACTGAATTTGATCTTGATCTGACTATAGATCTAGACGAACGCATCCGGAAACAGCAAGAAGAAGAGGAAGAATTAAAAAGGCGACGTCGAGAGAAAAAGAAAGAGAAGAAGGCAAGTCTTTTTGTATATAGATTAGATATCTTCTTGAGCTCTTTTTTCACTTTGATTGATTATTGTGATTGTCTTTTCGAAGTCTGACTTATGTTTTTGTTTTCTTCAAATTTTCGTCTTTCAGAAAGGGAAGGTGATAGAAGAGGAGCCTGAGATGGATCCTGAGGTTGCAGAGATGATGGGATTCGGGGGATTTGGATCTTCGAAAAAATCATGAATTTTTTTTTTTTAATCACCCGTATCTGTGTTCTAGCGTTTTTGATCCACAACTTTGTAATCTAAAAGCAAATGTCTTGAGATATTGTTTCATTGTGCAAGAAGAGGAATTTGTATCATTAAAGTAATTGGTGCGATGACAAATTTGAACTATGTCTTAGGAGTTCCCTTTGAACAATGTATGGTTGGATTGGTTCCTTTTTTGGTCCAAAAAAAAAAAAGAAGGAAATTGATCTGTGATCACAATCACAAAAACTGGTAAGAAAAAGTTGCCGTTACAAAACGGTCTTTGTGGGAAGAAATGTGTTTCGTGTTCAATTTCCCTTGGAGATTTGAAGGTGTTACCCAAAATCATCATTATGGAAACCACAACATTGTCTTATTGGATGGGATTCAAGATCCAAATTATCGTTTTTGAAAAATTATTGGAATTGGCCGTGTAAGTCACGAAACTACTATATAATTTAATACTCTGTTCAGCTGTTTAGCTACTGACTAATTAAGTTTCTGTTGAGCCATTGAGGATCCCTTAAGAAAATATCTCTCTTTCTCTCTCCCTCTGCCAGGTGAAAGAGAAGATGATAGGTGCCAGACAAAAACGAGTAAAGATTATAATATTCGAGCTACTTTGTGGATGAATATGAGGAGATATTCGAGCTAGCATTCAACTATGACCATTAGAAGAAATTTTACAAGTCTTTTGACTTTGGGGTTTTCAAAACCTAACACATTCTCAGTCAGAGTCAGTCTGTTCTTCAATGCTATTTTCTTCAGCAATTGTACTACCCGCGTGCTTTCCATCATCACGCCAGTATGTCTACGTATCTTGCCATCGTTATTTGTGTTTAAGTCTTGTTCAAAGCGTTCTGATAAAGTCGGGAAATCCACGTTGAGTAGATCTTTCCAGAAGTTATGGCCAGCCACAAGCTTCCCCATCATCTCTTGCAAAACTCCAGAAGAAAAGTGCAATGTATGCCTTCTGTTGTCATATGTAAGAATGGTCAGGCTTCGAACTTTCAATGGTAGTACAAGAAACCGAAAATAAGGATCAAAAGATAACCTGTAAGATGATGCAGCCTGATTGAAAGTGAAATCTTCATCAGTCTTTTCCCATTGAATCGGTCTTCCTGGGGCTAGGGTAGTCTCCACTAAAAACGAAGGACGTTTCCTCAGCTACGTACATGAAGATCATTCTTATTATAGCCGCATAAATCAGAGTGTACAAACGTACTAAAACATTACAAGAACGTATAAGTTGTTACCTCTAGGTCCAGGATTCCGGTTCTGTCAAATACATGGATACTTTGCCTACAAGACAATACATCATCCCAATAAATCACCATCTTTTTATTCTGTCTCATTCCTCTGGCTACATCGAATTCGAGAAACTCCCAAAGAAGCTTCTTCTGCTGGAAATAGCACTTGGCTGACAGATCCTCGGGGTACGCTGCGACGCGTGTCCAACTACCAATCTCGATCTTCGTGATCTCGCATTTGAAAGTTTTTTCTTTTGAGCTCATTCTGTTTCCTGAAACAACACAAACGCTAAACCTCGAACCAAGATTACAAAGAATAAACTAAAACAGTACACAAGATACGAGATCAGTTGAACACACAAAAAAAGAACGTAGAAAGAAGATAACCTAATAGATCTCAGCAACAGAGCAAATAGAAACAGAGTATGATGACAGAAGTGGGTGAAATCGGCGATCAAGTGGTTTTCTTGAGCCAGTAAATCTTGAAGATCAAACAGAGAGAGCGAAGAAGAAGAAGAAGAAGAAGATTTGTAAATGTACCGTTTAATATATAGACAAGAAAATGTACACGTCAGCCTCCTTTCATAGCCACATCAGCTTTTATATTATTAATACCAAAGATCTTGTTCAATAAGAGGAAAGCATTATATACATATATATGTATGTATGAAGTTGAAATTCCAGAAAAATGGACTAACAGGAAATGGCATGTGAAACAGCGATTCCAGTGGAAGAGAGCCCTCGCAGGAGATGATCAGGGGTTTGTGATTGGTCACCATAGGCAGTGATGGAGACAGGACCAAAGTAGCCTAGATTCTTGAATGCCCCTTCGAGTAGCATCAAAACTCTCGGGAATCGGGGCTGGTTTGATTGGAGTTGCCACTTCGTAAGGCACTATGGTGGAAAGAGAAATCATCAATCTCAAGCTATGGAAGAGAAGCAACTTGAACCAGCCTAATTACAAAATAAACAAAATAGGAGAACTGAAAATTTGAACCAGAGTGATAAACTTTAAGATTGATGACGTTTTCGAAAGAGAAGCTTATCTAAGTTTTAAATTCCCTTTTAAATTAAAGTTCGTACAAAACCGAGTTCTTGACTTATCTACAACAAGACTCAAGAGAAAGCTAACACTTCAACAGTATACGGAACCATTAATAAGTTCCTAACTATCTTTATCGTTGGAATCATCTTTCATGTCCATATAAGGAAGAAATGACCAATCGTTACTGCTTGTTTCCTGGTAATCTTTGATCTGAAAGTTTCCACCAAGACGTGTGTGTTCCATGCGCTGTCTCTCCTCTTCTTGAAGCAATGTGTTTGCTAGATACGGTCCAACCAGAGGATACATTGGGCTCACGTTCATGTGTTGAGGCATCATCAAGTTAGTTTGTGTCTGCTGAGGTAATGCATATGCTTGATTCCCAAGTATCCCCCTTGTGTTTTGCATTGCTCCGCTCTCGTCTTGGATCATCAGATTACCTGAACTGGTGAAATGACTTTGCCTGTAACTCTCGTTAACGTTGACCAACTGAGGCAGAGGTGGGATGGCTTGCGTCCCAAACAACACATTCCCAGTGTTGTTCCAACTATTGGCTTGACGATATGAGTTAGCCCACAACTGAGGTGCCACGTTAAAGTTTCCTTCTCCCACTCCCACGCGACCAATTCCTATCAAAGTAACGGTTTTTCTCTTTAATTCTTTAATCCTGACTCAGACAATAGAATGATTTAGCGTAAGGTCCAAGGTAAAGTACCTTGAGGATGGTGATGGACAAGGCCACTGCTGACATTAGGGAGAGGTGTCTGGCTCAAGATGTAGCGAGATGAGTTGATTGTGGTGGCGCAGTTGCTTCCATAGTCAATGTCGAAGTGAATACCTTGTTGCACGGGGAAACGGACTTGATGGAGTTTGGACCAGAAGCTATCGGCCAAAAGCTTCTCCAAGTTCTTTTGCAGAACGCCGGCATGAAAATGAAGTGTATGTCTCCTGTCATATACAAATGTAAGGCACTGAAGAATCACTTTCAAAAATAAAAGGATCCAATTTAATTAATTAGAGAGCAGGAAACCTGAAAGTAGAAGCCTGATGACCTAGGGTGAAATCTTCTATTTGTTTCCATTGCGTGTGTTTTCCTGCCTGTGGGTCAGTCTCTATGAAGAATGTTGGCCGTTTCTTCAACTGTGTACATAATAAATAAACATCTCAAAGATCATTATTAATGAACGTACGTGCAAAGATGATGATGATTACTAGTACCTCGATTTTGAGGATTCCAGTGTCATCACGTATATTAATGCTCTCTTGAAAAGAAGAGACATCATCCCAGTGGATCTCGATCTTGCTCTTGAGCCTGGGCGTGCAAGTCTCTGGTTTTCCAGGGTCGAGAAACTCCCATAAAAGTTTCTTCTTTGCAAAATATATTTTCGCCACAATATCGTCAGGGTTGATTGCACGGTAGGCCCATTGGCCAATGGTGATCTTGGCGATTGGGAAATTCAAAGCTTTTAGTCTCTCTGCAGGAGTACTCTTAGGAGTTGGAGGAGGACCCCTTTGGAGGAGCTCTTCAATCAGCCTGATAAGTTGCGGAGTTTTTGTTAGAGGCAAGTTTAGACGTGGAACCTGCAAAAGAAAATATACATAAAAGTAAGACAACGCATATTCCAAGATACCTAACAAACCCTAAGTTGAAAAGAAGATGACGAAGAAAGAAAACGTTTTCTTTCTTTTTCTTTTGTGAACGAATCTTAAATTAGATATCAAGAGAAACCTATCTAACAACTCAAAAATACCTTAAACCCTAAGGCTTAGAACTATCTGAAATAGAGTTAACAAAAAACAAAAACAGAGGATGAAAAAAAGAACGAAGAAGAGAGTAGGAGACGACAACACACAAACACAAGCGTGAACAGAGGAGGATAGAGCAAAGTAGAAACAGAGTACTACGATATATGCAGATAAAACAAGGAGACAAGTGAGAAAAGGAGTGACCTCATCATCAACAACAAGTCTGTGATTGTTATTGTTGCCACATCGTGGTGGAGATGATTCTTCTTCTCGTGATCTCTTCATCAGAAATTATCAAAGACGACTTCTCTCTCTCTCTCGCTCTCTCTATTTCTTTTTCGTTGTTTTAGGTTTCCTTTTGTCACAGCGTATTCAGATTTGCCTCGCTAAGAGAATATTTATATCACGTTTTTTCGTTTAACTATGATTTGTTCTTCTTAAAGCTAGATCTGTTAGGGTTTTGTATTTAGGTGCAATTAAGGCCCATTATAAATTGGTTAACGAAAGATATTTACATAATTACGGTATTATTTTTTATATACTTTTTTAAAACTATGGTATTAGATTCTTTATTGGAAAATAATTAAAAAATAGATGTGGTAATCCATATTTGCCCATGCGGCTTATCCGAAACCCTTAATATATATATTAACCCCAGTTGAATCATATTATTTTTTTAAGAAAGAAATAAACATATACTATTTAATTATTTTATTATGTTAAAACTTACATATTGGATCTTAATCTTCAAAGAAAATTTAGAAAGAAGTCAAGAAAAGTATATTGTTATAAGCCAAGCCGTCACCACGCGTGCATTACTTTGATTTCCAACTTTGTGTAATTTTTCTTTTGTATACTTTATCACTACAAGAGACCATGTAATCATTGTAGATTTGATTAATGTGATTTGTAAAATCTAATCCAAAATCACCTTTTATAAATATTCGCTTTGTTGGATAGATGACATCAGAAAATCTGTAATGTGATTCAGGTAAACACGTACCAATACGTTGTGTATGTATCAAGAAAGCTAGTAAAAATCAAACAAAACCACTTGAGATCTTGTAATGGTTTAACTATTTACACTTGAGAAGAAAAAGAAAAACAAAGACAGTTATAATTTATAAATGCATTTTGATCATCAAAGATATATATTAATTTTCAGCCCAAATTGTAGGTAAAAAGAGTATAAAATTACAAAATAAGTATGTACTTCTCTAGTTCCAACTGAAGTTTAGGATCCACCCGATGGTATTTTATCGAATACACATGTTTGATTGGTTATCCACTCATTGGAGTCGAAAGATCAGACTCCACCATCAACGTCAGCCTGTCACATCTTTTGGCTTTGTTAGGCATTTCACACACTTTGATGGGGTTGGTACAAGTTTATAATACTCACACACACACACTCACACTCAAATTCACACGTGATTGTCTCTTCTCTTTTAAACAATTTTATATTGATGAGGCAAGCATAGAGAGCAATGTGTGCGCCTGAAATATTTGTAGGGTACGGTCTATATTGCCTTTTTCTTATACCTTTCCATTTACGGAATATTAAATAATATATAGTCATGACTCTTTTCGTTTCATGTTATAGGTTCTTTTTTGTTTTCTTTAATTATTAGCCGTGGTTATGATTCATGCATCTCTAGATTCTCTACCGTACCACAAGATATATCGTGATATCTACATCTATCCTTCCTATAGAGCTCAAAATGCTTTCATGACTCATTTTCTCATATAAAGTTTCCTTTTTTGTTGGATTTGTTGATATCATACCTACAAAAATTTATACAATGATAAGCGAGCGACGTAAGATAAAAGGATATATTAACGATAAGCAATGTGAAAAAATTATTGTTGAGTACGTACGTGATCTAGCTAATACGCGAAAACATGTGAGCGACGGATAATCATGTATTTCTCTAACAGAAAAATTTATTAACTAGAACTGTTTTTTTCTAAGTTATATTTCAATAAGTTTTGGGGAAACGTTACCTAGTTTAAAAACTATTTATGGAGGTCAAAAGTAAGCATACGTTAATTCAGTATTCTACGCAGTCGTGTGTGATATGTACGTTCAAAACGGATTAAATAATTGCAACTACCAAAAGAAGATGGAGATTTTGGAATTGATTGGTTTTAAGATGGCGTGGGGGCTTTTGTCTCATCATCAGATTTTGTGCTATTAATGGGTTTCGATATAAAGTAACTTAAAAAGATAGTCTATACCCCAAATTAACAAAAGTAATCTAAAGATGTAACTCTTGATTGGACCCTTTTCTACATACTTTAAATTAAACTTTGTTTTTTTCTCTCTGTTTCAAGTCGGGTCATATTTTCAAGATTTCCAAAGACCCACACTAAAGCGAAGCAGTGAAGGTCGATTTATCAGAGAGAAGAGCACCATCGCTTACATCAACCTGGTAACAGTAAATAAACAAAACCATTATCCATATATCATATTCAGGCTATAAGCATGGTTTTGTGAGTAAGACCTCGTGAGACTTAATGCCACAATCTTTTCTTGCGGTTTTCTCCAAATAGTCTCTAGCGGTACACATTTTCTCATCAAAGAGATACCCTGCGATTGTAATCACTTCCATTCTGTTTAACAGAGGACTAGGAATCATGTCTATTACATTTGTTGTGCATACAAAGAAAACCTTTAACCAAAACGTCTTGTATTAGACTCTATCAGTTATAAATTGCAAATAAGATGAGAACATTCTTATTTAAGAAAAAAAAAAAAAAACCTTTGATAGGTCAATGGGAATGTCGAGATAGTTGTCCATAAAATTTGCATTCAGATCAAGAAGCTCCAACAAGGCATGGACCGTGTCACCAGTGAGGTGTTTTCCAAGCTAATCAACCAAGGAACAGTAAACACAAATCATTGCAACTACTAACATATAATTCTTGAATGATACAAACCATTCCAAAATAGTAATGAACTTATCAATCTCATCGATCAGAACAACAGGATTCTCTGTTCCCACGCTTTTTAGACATTGCACAATCTTTCCTGGCGTCCCGTTGTATAATGTTCGAGGAATCCCCTAAAAATATACAAAGGTATTAATATAAGAGATAAGAGATTAACATCTTCTTCTTAAATTGAAATTTTAATTCAACACTAATTACGCAATTATAAAGATAATTAAATTACCTTAACGTGAGCAGCAGTAGATAAGCCCTCCAACAGAGAACTTGAAGAAGTTATGGTGAAGAGCACGCGCAATAGAACGCGCCATGCTAGTCTTGCCAACCCCGGGAGGACCCGTGAGACAAATGATCTTACCTTGAGAAGTGCCTCTAAAGTTTTTCAACAGCAATGTGTTTTACAGTATTATTCTTTCTTTTACATTAGATAAGCCATATAATGGTCCTCATCAAGAATCTTTCCTGCACTAATGACATCACAGTTCTCACCACTGCAAACAAAATAAAGCAAATTACTTGATAATTTTCATGATACTTCCTGATCAAGCACATGAGCATAATATATGAACTGAATGACATGAGCAATACCCCAGGGCAATACGGTCAACCAGTCAAGGTAATTACGGGCAATAGTTAAGTCTTTACGGGCCCGTAAACACTTCTAGTTTCGTAAGCTCTTCATCTATAACTTGCAATACACGTTTTGGGATTTTTAGCTTATTAAGCTCAATTTCTTTCCCTAATCTTTTACTGCAGAGAAATATTGTTTTTAAATATCTTAGGATCATGAGATAAGATTACTTCAAATGAAAGATACTAGCTCTTACGAACTTACCACAATAAGATTAATCATCCTAGTAATCAAATCCAAGCTCTTGCATAAATTGGGTTAGTTGAACAAAAATAGAACTATAGAAAACATACGCATATGTACTAACTTCAAGGAAGATAAGAGTTTCCTAGACTGCATTCGAGTAGAAAGGAAAATCATCAGATATTAATTAAAAGAAGAGAGACGAAAATTTAAGAATTACAACTAAATTAGAAGAAAATAGAGAATATAAAGTTTGGACAATTGACGATTTTGGAGTTTAAATTTTCTTGTATCATATTCAACTTTCTTAATTTCGTTACCTAAATAAATCTTTATAAAGTTTCTCTTTCTCATTCTATTCTTTGTTAATTTCATTCAAATATTTTACATACACCTTTGAAATATTTCTGATATATTTAGAAAGGCTTGGTTTATTTATGGTTAACATAGGAGAAGTATTTATCCATAATAAAAAAAAATTATAGGATAGAATGGTATGACATCTCAATATTCTAAGTAAATTAGAATATTTTAATATATATCCTAATAACCGAAGCCTGTAGTCTGTAGAGTTGGATTTTACAAGAAAACGTGGTAACCCAACCACATACATACATAAATAGAAAAATATTAAAAAAAAAAAAAAAAAGAAAAAAGAAAAAAAGAATTGAAAAATATTAACCAGAAGATATGTAAAACCCAGTCTAAAGACTTGTAGTTCTAATGGTCATAGCCAAAGGCTAGCTCGAAAATCTGGTCATATTCATCGACGAAATGAACATCGAGCCTTTCTTTCACGTTTTCTGCCAGCTCATCATAATCTCTCCGGTTAGCCTCCGGGAATATTATCACCTTCACTCCACTCCGTTTCGCGGCTATAGTCTTCTCCTTCACCTGAGAAAGAGAGAGTTAGAGATTTTGTGTATTACACCACTGAGCTTATACCATTTTGTTACTAAAAACTAAAACAGAGTAATGAATTGTTGTGTGTGTTACTACTTACTCCGCCAACTGCAAGAATTCTACCGGTCAGAGTGACTTCTCCTGTCATTGCAAGATCCTTCCTTACAGGCTTTTTCATCGCAAGTGATAGCAAGGAAGTTATCATGGTGCTGCCTGCGCTTGGACCGTCTTTTGGTGTGGCTCCTGCAGGAACATGTAAATGAAGCTTGGATTTCGCAAAGAACTGGTTCTCAGCTTCTTTCTCGAGCATTATTCTTCTGGCAACCGTGTGAGCTATCTCTGCGCTTTCTTTCATCACAACCCCAAGCCGACCCGTTATATGAAGTCCCCCTTTGCCTTCTCCTTCTTCTACAGAGGTTGTCTCTATGTACAGTGTTGAGCCACCCATGGATGTCCAAGCTAGACCCATTACAACCCCGACGGGTGTCTGTTCATAAATCTTCTCTGCGTGGAACACTGGCTTGCCTACATAATCTGCAAGGTTTGATTCATCAATCATAAACTTTTCAACCGTTTCAGCCACCACTAAGCTCTGCTCAGTCTTTCGTTCGGTTGAATCCCCAGTTGCCAACTCATCTGTCAACACAGTGGGTCCTTCTGCAGAGGTCTCAGGGGATTCCAAATCAGTCTTGGCCAAAGATTTACTATCTTCAGCGTCAGTAACATCATCAGAATTTTCAGGCACTTCGAGGGATGCCCCTTTGCGCACAAGCTTTAGAGCAATCTGCAACAAAAGCAATCATTTTAGAACCTGGGGGTCCAAGTAAGAAGTTTGAAATGTTCAGTGACCTTGTAAACTTACCTTACGAAAAATCTTCTCAATATGCTTCTGGAGATTTCTAACTCCTGCTTCTCTGCAGTACTTTTCTATCAAGAAAAGAAGAGCTGCATCGCTCACGTCAACCTGTAAAGAGTACTAACAACTTGAGCAAGATATTTTATAACATGAACACATTCAAACATTAATATATAGATAGAAAACAGTATCAGAATGGCAGGAGAATGAGGAACAGAGGAACAATGGTTGTGAGTAGGACCTGTTCAGGGTTAATGCCACAATCTCTCTGCGCCGTTTTCTCCAAATAGTCTCTAGCAATTTGCACTTTCTCCTCAGTAATATACCCTGCAAGACTAATCACCTCCATTCTGTCTAGCAGAGGACCTGGAATCGTATCTATCACATTTGCTGTACATACAAATAAAACCTGCAATAAACTTGATTAGACCGAAGTTCCAAACAAAAACTTCCTAGTTCCTATTATGGAACCAATACACAGATGACAGATCAAATAAATGGAGACCTTTGATAAGTCAATAGTAACATCGAGATAGTGGTCTAGAAAATTTGCATTCTGCTCTGGATCCAAAAGCTCCAACATGGCGCTGGCTGGGTCGCCATTGTGGCACCTAACTCCAAGCTGCCAAGGAACCATAGACAGTTATTGCAAAAATTTCATGCTGCCAAGGAACCATAGACAGTTATTGCAAAAATTTCATGCTGCCACTAAGAAACGAAGCTAATACATATTGACTACTAACAAACAAGCTACCTTATCAATCTCATCGATCAGAACAAGAGGATTTTCTGTTCCCACACTCTTTAGACATTGCACCATCTTTCCAGGCATGGCACCAATATATGTTCGACGATGCCCCTAAACAATGTATAAGATTATTGATTATCATTTATACTAGAATTATAAACAGATTTGATTAAAGAGCTTGATTTTTCATGTAGTATACCTTAATCTCAGCAACATCGGATAGTCCTCCAACAGAGAACCGGAAGAACTTGCGGTCAAGAGCACGTGCAATTGAACGCCCAATGCTAGTTTTACCTACTCCAGGTGGGCCAGAGAGACAAATGATCTTCCCTGTTGCCACATTTGACAAATTTTTCACCTTCAGAATTTATAGATGAAGCCAAAAAAAGGTTTTAGCAAAGAAAATTGAATTAGAAAGGCAAAGATATGACCCTGTGAAGTGCCTCTAAGTCTTCCCACAGCAATAAACTCTAGTATTCTTTCTTTTACATCAGATAATCCGTAATGATCCTCGTCAAGAATCTTTTCTGCCCGTGAAACATCAAAATTCTCATCACTGCAAACCAAATTAGAATGATTATAATAATATGAGTGTATGCATAAGAAATCAACTACGAGTGTTGTTATAACTCTCCTCATGACATAATCATGAAGCAAATGGCAAACCTGGAATTTCCCCAAGGCAACACAGTCAACCAATCGAGGTAATTAGAGGTCACATAGTACTCGCTTGAACTGGCTTCTAAAAGCTGCATTTTTTTAAGCTCTTCTTCTATGACTTTTAGTACATGTTCTGGAATCTTATCTTTAATAGGGTCAATCCTTCCCCTAAACTTTTCTGCAAAAGAGAATAGACCTTAGCTTCAGTATGTAGTTTTACACTCATTGACGCACAGCTCTCGGAAGTCAAACTATAGAATTAGGCACACTGGCAGCAATATTAGTGTACAGTACTAACCAGAAAGTGCAGATTTGGCGTCTGTCTCCACGCCAAGCTCCTGCATTGGTACATTTAACAGTCATCAACCAATAAAAGAGCAGACATAAATTGAGGAGGCGAGCTGAAAACCGTTTTTATAGCCTTGAGCTGCTCCTTCAGTAAGATACGATGTCTCTCGCCTCTAAATTTTTCTTCAACAGTTTTTGCTATTGATTCCTAAACACGAATTTAAGGAGATGAGATCAGTATATATTGAACTCTCAGTCTCAAAGAACTAGTAGCACGAGTCCGCTGGACAGATGCAGGAAAGTGAAGGCATGAAGTACTTGAATCTTGTTAATTTCCACTTCTTTTTTCACCAATTCTAGCGTCAACTCCAGACGTTTGTGAACCTTGATCAAAGAAAACAATGTAAGAAGCTGGCTAAGAATGGGATATCATTATCTTTGAGGTAATCTCAGCATCAAAATGTGAAAGTAATAGACTAATAACTAATACTTACATCCAGTTCTTCAAGAACCCCCTGATTTTGATGTTTGTTAGCGCCTGAGATCCCAGCTCCAAAATCGGCTAACTTTTGATAATTGAAGTCACCTATATGCTATAAAAAGAAAAATCTACTAAGATACTTAAATACCGATATTTTGACATGTTTGTACTCGCAAGCAGTGCCAAAGACGAGGAGGACATGCCTTGGTATAGGTCCGAACTTGATCTCTCCAGAGTGAAGTTGTGCTTAAGACATCCCTAAGTGTCGACATAACTTCAAAGTATGTTGCCTTGATGACATCATCGTCCTTGTCATATGGCTTCTCCTGCAAAATAACAAAGAAACACGTGACAAGGGTTATCGGTTTCAGAATTTAGAAAGAACAGAAAACAATGTCTTGTTCCCCTGCTTGTATCATTAAAGGAAATACTTGAAAAGAAAAACACACCTTTAAATGGTCAACTTTGACGGTTAGAGGATCTTCAGTCACCTGTGCAAAGACAAAGTACATGGTTTTCACACTGAGAGAGACATAACTTGATAAGCAGATGACACATGTGAAAGTCATACACACAGCTTCTGAACTTTAAAATCTTAAACTTTTCATGGACTTCTAAGAAATATTTCTATTAACTTACCATCTCTGTTATTCTAAGTCGTCTGTGACCAATAAGGATGACTTGCTCACCTTTGATACTTGAAATCTGTAAAATTGGCAATGGTTATGTCTTTCAACAGAGACAAAAAAAAAAGGGAAAAAAAAAAAAAAAAAAAAAAAACAGTGTTAACGTGTACCTGAGCAAGTGTGCCAACTTCATGAATCCTGTTAAGCAGCTCTTTTCCTTTCAACTTCTCTAGAATATTCTCTGTTTCAGAGCTAGAAGATGAATCACTTGATGCATCATCTTTCAAAAGGAAAGCCCCCGCATATGGGGATTGTTGTCTTCTGCTCTCTTGTAAAGCTGCAAGTACTTCAGGATCCTACACAAGAAAAAGCTCATACAGGTCAGAAAAAACGCAAGCAGAAAGCAAAATTCATAGGCAGTATAATTTAATGGACAGCCAAAAAAGGTTAGGCTGAAGTAGCATACCTTGACATAGATTGGCATGTAAAAGCCAGGAATAAGAGGCTTGTGGGGTAATGGCAATGCTATAACCTGCGATTAAGCAACAGAAAGCTCAATGAAAACAATCGACCAATTGCTATAACCTGCAATTAAGCATGGGAATGGTATTGCTTTAAAAGGTTCTATATTTGCCTGACCGTTACACAAGGAACGGTCCATATATAATACTTTAAAGTTCTTCAAAATTTCGAATTTCCTTACCAATGCTAGAAAGGTTCTAACTTTAACTTTCCAATCGCTAGAACCATAAAGACACATTGTCAATTGAAGAGATTTCTCTATGATCTTAGATCTATGGAAAAAAAATTAAAGCAGATGAAGTGCAACAGCAAGTTTAAGGCTCTGAAATCCTACATTCCCTATGATCATAAAATTCCTCATGTGTCGGAGTGGGAAAAAAAAAAAGAGTGAACTTTGAATAAAATTTGAACAAACCGTTAGACAATCGTCGAGGCAAGGTTTAGTTGAGACAATCGCTGCAGAAGATTTCGTGTCGGAATCGGACTCGGAGGAGAAAGCACGAAGACCCAACTCGTAGGTACTCCGGTTCCATCCGGTTAGCTGTGTCAGTGACTTGAACAATAGACTGTTAACCGGGTTAGACCGAATAGCCGGAGTGAGGTGATGTGAACCGTAGGCAGTGGAAGCGAAGAGCTTCAGCATGACGGGAGAGAGGAAGATGTTGAGTAGCCAAATTTGGGAGTTTAGGGTTAAAGCTTAGCCTAATAGGCAAGAAACCGTACGAAATTGCAGTCTCTCCGAAGAAGACTTGGGGTGTCAACTGTCAAAGCCCTTCCTAAACCCCTTGCCCAAAAAAAAAAAAAAAAAGTAAAGAAAAATGGAAAAAACGCATTTATGGGAAAAAGGACGTGGTGACGTCAATATCCCCAGAAGACGTCATCGTTTCTTTTGCATGCTATACTATATTATATGGTTTTAATGACTGACTACTACTTGTAAGAAAAATTCCGGTCGTTAGCTAAAAGTTTGGGCCCAATGAAACTAGCTAACTAACTTGATCATGGCCATGGGCCATGGGCCTTTATTTTCAATTTTTGCTTCCAAGAAAAAACATTTATAGCACTATCTTTTTTTTTTTTAGACAAAATAGCACTATCTTTTTATTTGGGAATTTTGTATGGTTAAAGTGAAATTGAACCAGTCTGATACAATTACGAAAAGAAAGACGTTCTGTGTGAGTGTGTGTGTAAATATAATTAGTACTCTAGTTAAAACATCAAATATTATTATCACTGTTTTCGCATGCTACGTGCTCCGTTTATTAATAATTCATAAGTTTGATTTTTGACATATATATTAATGTTTTTGACAGAAAATTTAGAAAGATTTGTCTTTAATTAATCAACTAGAAAAAAATAGTTTTAAGTTGAAGACCAATATTTTCTTCATCAAAGAAATCATTAGTCATCATCATTATGAATATAATTGTTTAATGAATTGGGATAACAAAATAATCAAATAGAGAGGATAACAACTAATCATTTGATTTGGGGAATAATAATAAACAAAACATAAAAAAGGAAAATTAAAAAGAAATTAGGAGGAGGATATCAAAGCGTGTCTGACGCAAGGAGGCAAATCTCTCTGTCATGACTCACGTTCATCGCTAAATACCCTACATTTTTTGCTTTGTTTATCTCTGCAAAATTATATGCTTTTGTTTCTTAATTTTTTTAATTATTTATTTAACATCTTAATTTAGTAGACTCATACGTTACATAGTTGATGTTTTTTGCACAAATTTTTAACAACAATGTAGAGCTCGTTAAGACTATAATTTGTTCAAATTTCTTACAACTTTTCTCCTTGTTTGTTCGTAAATAATATATTTGTTAATTTGATCGTCATGAAGTTTTAACAAAACTAACGAGCGTATTGCACTGTACAAAGAAAATATCATTAAATTCTTTTTTTTTTGTAACAAAAATATCATTAAATTCCTTTTGAATAGATAAAAATAATAATTAAAAAATCAGTGAAAAACAAATTCTGCTCAATATATTATATTGACACGACGTTAAAAAAAAAATCGACACATCTGTCATTTGAAAACGTATTTTGTTTTGTAATAGTTTGTCTTCTTTTTTGGTTTTTTTTTGGTTTTTCTTACCAACCTAAATTAATATGAAAAACATGCGTAACATTTTATGAATTTGAGAGTTTTCCCAACCCATTCGCTATATATATTAAGAATCTTTGATGGATACAATTGTAAGATTAGTCATTAATTCTTGATATATATGGACGATATTAATTAATGTTCTTCAAGGAAACGAATTCCATCTATTATATGAATAGGACTTGTTTTTCCACGTAAAAACTGATTGACAAGTGTAATCCAAAACCCTATATCATGCTTTTCGAAAAGAAAAAAAAATCAAATTATTATATGAATCTTCTAAAAAAAAAAGAAGAAAAGTATAAAGAACATGTTATATGTTTCGCAAAACACCAAATACTGAAAATAATATATATTTTGAAAAGAAAATAGAGAAATTGTGAGCTAAAAAAGATTGTGGATGATAGATAGCCACAACACTCGGCTTAAGGTGTGAAGGTCGTGTAATAAAACACCGTCACATGCATCTTCTCTTTTTCCTATTTTCTTTTTTGGTTCCTATATATATATAGTATTAGTTTTTTTTCCTTTTTTTTTTGTTTCTTTATGTTAAATTTTGTTTGATAGCTATTTGTTCTATCTATTGGTTATATTGTGACCAATCATTACCCTCCACATTTTTATTAATATTACATCAAACTCCTCCATCGCCAGTTTTGTTCTTTTCATCAACTTCGAAGATCAGCAAAAAAAAACAAATAATTCCACGTCATATTACACGATTTTACATCGCTCACCATCATAAATAGGTATGTAAAAAGTTTCAAATTCAGTTCTTGTGTGTAAAATATCTGTTAAAAAAAAATCTATTGAAATATCTCTCAACGAAGAAGATCATAGATATTTTTGTTCCACGTCGAAAATATAAAAGATAATTTTGTTCCAACCTAAAAATGCATTAAAATGACTAAAGAAAAAAAAAAAGAAATCGAAATTATAGGCCAATATGAAAATTCGGACGTATACATTATTAAAGAAAAGAAAAAAGAAATCTAAAATTATAGGGTTATTCAATTCGAAAAAGACAAGATAAATAAATAAAGAAAAATGATTTAATTAAGAATGGCTTCTCCAACTCCAGTTTTATATCGCAAAATGTTTATATATATATAGTAGGATATGATGTCCACTCCCAATAACTCTAAATCATTTTATCATAATAATAAGAAGAAAGAGTTAGCTCTCCATCGCGACACATTGTTCCAAAAGAGCAAGAAACAAAAAAAAAAAAATCAAAACGTTTCTTACGTTGTTTTATAGATTTCTTGTTAATGTCTTCTGAACAGGTAACTGATGGATCGAATCCTTCGACGTCACCGGAGGTAGAAGGGACGACAACTGAAACAACCCCTCTTCGCCGGAGAGGGCAGAGAGTATTCGCTCCGAAGCTGTTGGAGGATCTCCGTCGATCACGGAGAAGCTCATCAGAATCCCCGGCGAGCCATCTTATAACTCAGAGATGGAGAGCCACGTCGTCTCAAAAGGTCTATTCCTTGAAACTCTACGACGCTCTTATGCGATCGCGGCGGAGCGCAACAGTCCGGGACACGGCCGACAAAGTGCTGGCCACGACGGCTCGTGGTGCAACCCGGTGGAGCCGAGCCATATTGGTGAGCCGAGTAGGGACGAGTCTGCGCCGGCGGCAAAGGAACACAAAACCGGCGTGGGAATTGGCTGCGGCAGTCAGGGGAAGTGGCGGGAGGAGGAGGAAGTTGTCGGCAGTGGGAAATAGGGTTAGGGTTTTGGGAGGGTTGGTGCCGGGTTGCCGGAGAACTGCGTTACCGGAGCTGTTGGATGAGACAGTGAATTACATAGCGGCGTTGGAAATGCAAGTCCGAGCCATGACAGCTCTATCAAAGATTCTGTCCGAGTTTCAGCCGTCTGATAAGATCGGCTCAGCTTTATAGCCGAGTCTTTAAGCCGTTGGGTGTGCCCTATTTTAATTCTTTTTTGCGATTTTAATTTATCATTGGAATGTCTTATTGTTTTAAATGATTTGTTTGTCCCTGAAAACAAAAACAAAAAAAATGTCAAAATCATCCCGAGTTGATCGACGAAAATACTATGTTTTCTTCTTCTTTTGTTGTTGTGTCGTTTGGCAAGTTTTTTGAGCTGTAAATATTTTCTTGAAAATTTGGGAATCCTTGAAATAATTGAATATTAGTATAAGACTATAAGTAGTGTTTCAAATATTACTAGAAGCGTAATTCCAGAAATTAACTTTTAAAAACCCAACCATTTGTCTTTAGTCCACTTTTATGTGCTGGTGACAACTTTGTATATTAAAGATATAATCAACCCGTTAGTAAAAAACTTTGAACAACAAAAGAGAACAGTCTCAAAGTTTCAAAAACTCATGTATTTTTTTTGTGTTTTGTAAATGTATATCTAGCTAATTTCTACGTCCGTTGTACATCGGATATAATTAAAACCAATTGTTCATTCACCTAACACAATTTCAAAAAATTTGTATTTAAGATTTTAAGAAAGAAAAGAAAAACTAAATTTTGATATTTAGAAGCTATATGCCAAAATATAGAATACAAAATAAAAAGGTATAAATATAGACGAGAAGGCATGTGCATGACGACCCTACGGTCCGACTCTTTTAGCTCAAAGTGCGTCGCATGTGAGGCCTCTTTATCTGAATTTAAGTTTCTTCTCGAACAGTTTTTCTTCTTCTTTGCAATTAAAAAAATGATAATGATAATAAGTTAAAATGACTTCGTGTGTCCTACATTTAGCCAACTTTGTGAAACAAAATGAGTGCATATATCATACTTTGTCCTCACAAAAATGGATCAGTATTATCTTTTGCTATAGCTAAATTTGTACATTAATTACAAAAGATGAACTATATTTAGGCCAAAGCCAACCCAGTTTATTTTGGTTTAAATGGTTCGTTAATTTCTTGAGTAAATCTGAACGTCGTATTTCAACTCATTGGAGAACAGTTCTGAAGTTCTATCGATATGAGTTTAAGTAGAGTTTTTGAGAAAAATGATTCACGCGATTATCAACAACAGAAGCCACATAACTGAAAACAAAATAGGATTTTTGATTGATTGGTAATATAAGAATTACAAAACGCCGTCAAAACCTGTTTTTTTTTTTTTGAAAGATACATTAATTCAATAATTATAAAATATTTGCCGACAAAGGAAAAAACATATACTCCTTTCATATTAGATCATAGTGGACGATCCTTTAATATTTTATTAGTGACGTTCCTTTCATTTTATAATCACATTTTTGAAGTGTAATTTTTTTGTTTGGGTGATATTTCTATTTTTAGTATCTTTGTTTAACATTTCCTTTGTGAATCGTTTATTATGTAGCTTACGATATACAGTATATCTGAGTTGAATTTGATAAGCTCATTTAATTTTGGGTTTGGCTTGGTTTTTTTGTAGTGCAAAAACAATATAATTCGCGGAATGCCAAACAAGAATGTGATATTTAGAGTAATAACCTATATATGAAAGTAAACAACATTAGGGAAATATATAACCAAATTAATAATAATTATGAAAATCAGCTTGTGAGTTCTCCAAGTTACGTCCATGATAATAAGGACACGGACGTCGGTACAAAAAAGAAACTCACAATATAGGCAACCAATTGTGGTTGCAAGTGGTGTCTCAATTACGTTTTTGTGCAAACCATTTAAAGCATTTTCGATAGATATCAAGATTTTTATCCCGTTATATAATAAAATCTAAAATATGAATCTCCAACGACGAACCATCCATTGTATAAATATTAGTCTTTTTGGACTAAAGAAAAGGAAAGCAATTGAAAATCTTAAGTGATGTGAGTGAGTGAGTTCGAATACGTACGATTTTATGGCTAGACACTAAACGATTTGCGTTGATAAATATTATCGACATTTCATAACGAATATGATAACTTTTTTTCGGCTTTAAAAAAATTCGAGGGTTTCAAGGATTACAAACACAAATGAAAGAGGACAGATTTTGCCATTAAAGAGGGTGACACGTTTGAAGAGTAAAGCCTCAAGAAAAAAAAAAAAAGAGATGACAACGAAAACGGATGGAGACGTGAGAGAGAAGGTGGCATAATAATTGGGGTCAAGTGTGAGATGTCTTCTTTGATTCCTTCAAGGCTCTCAAAGGACCACCACCCACCACTTTCTCACCTCCCTCCTCCGATCCGATCCTCCTTTTTTATTTTTATTTTTATAATTATCCTCGTGCTTCCGTAACCTTCTATATAGGGATTGGCCAGATTTGAATCCGAAATGGACGATACATATTCCGTGAAGCTCAAGCCTCCGTTGATAACGCAAAAGAAACCAAAGTAGTAGCCAGCATTTTGTTGTGCTAGCTGATTTAGGGTTGCCAACATGGTCCACGTTCAGTCTCTTATCTAAAAGACTCCAAACAAGTATTCGTGGCCTTAATCCGGCCTGGTCCAAAAAACATAATTGGATTGCTAAATATTTAGACTATTCTCTTAATTTTGATGTAAAATGTAATATTTTTTCATAATACTCTCGACTACAATCATCATAATATATAAAAAATGACATGTGATCTCCATGGTTGACACATCAGCTTCTATACAAATATCAGATATAATAAGTAGAAGATACAAAATGAGTATAAAAACAACTCACATACAAATAAGAAAAATACTACAAAAAATACTATTCATGAAAAATCTGCATGTAGTGCAGATATTCTTCTAGTGTATATGTACATAAATGAGAAAATAAATTGATGAACAAAACAAACGAGTTAGGGTTCCACAAGGCAATATGATAGGTCTCGACCCCAAAAATTTGGACTTCTTTTTTCCTTTCGGAACATCAGATTTTACCCTTAATACATGTTTACTTGTGGCTAATTGTATAACAAGAAAAGTTACCAAACTTCAACAAAATCCTCGAAATTTTTGCCATTTTTGGGATCCCATTTGTACTAATAACTACCATATATTAATACCAAAAATGGCCCCAAAGTTATGGAGAGTGGTCTTTTTCTTATAGCATCGGCAAAATTTAATTAAGTGTCATTCTCACTGCTGCTGTTTATACACGTTGACCCGAAAGAATTGACCCATCAGAACATGAGGACATGATCCTGATCTTTGTCTCTTTGTTACCCATTGGACCCCAGACGCTGCCGACCGATCCGGTGACGGCTTTTGCCTTTTGGGTTTTAAGTGTCAATGTTTTCTAACCAAAGACAAGTTATCAACTTTTCCACAGTCAAAATTGTTGACTGATCCAAGTTCTTGAATCCCCCCAATGGTCACATAATCTTATATACACAGCTAAAAGTCATATGTTGGTGACTTTGTTGCGCCTCTTAAATCTTGCATATTTAACTAGCGTGGAGAATTAGAAGCCACTTTCATACTATGGAGAATTTCTTTTACATCTGTAGGCTCCTTAAGAAGATGCTCACTTGTATCTAAGCTAGTGGACAAAAACTACTAGATGAATTGCAAAATTACACTAGGTTTGTCACGTAACTTCAGTAAACATCAAAAACCATGAACACAACATTACTACTACTGGTCGAATGTCATATTTTTCAATACTGAACTGGTATGACAATGATCATTCGAGTACTACAACTTATTTTGGACAGTAAAACCCCAACATGAGGAGACTCAACGTTCAAAATATAGAGTTGATCAGGCCTTAATAGCGTCAGCTCTAGGTTTCCATAGTCCTAACCTGTATTTCTGGCCATACTTCAGTATCAGTTTCCTCTGCAAAACCAAAATTTCAGAACTGTGAAATCCATAGGCAATAAAATAGAATAGTGAATAACTGAGCCAACAGAACATATACAAGTATAAGATGGCGGTGTTTCATAACCCAAGAAACGTTTCTGAGACAGATAGATGTCAGGATATATCTAAATATGGAAACGGTTCATGCTTTTTGGATGATAATAAGTTGAAGTTATCCCACAAGATCAGGAACATCTCGATCAGTTTCTTTCACTCATCCCTTCAAAGTTGGAAACTTCAAAGAGATAGTAATGATTATTTGGTTTAGTAAGGAACACATCCAATTTAATGGGACTATCTAAACCCCCTAAGAACCTTGGCATGCAATTATGGATCAGATAGTTGAATCAGAACGACCAGTGAATATTGAATACTCAGGAAAACTGAGACTTGGGGTACTTACATGTTTGCAAGGGATGCCAAGCTTCTTGAGTCTGAGGGTACGCGTCACAAGCAACTTATGAAGGTCACCGATCTCAGTTTCAATTTTGGCAATGTGAGTCTCAGCTCCTCTGCCAATCCCGCCTAGGAACTCTGGAATCCCAACCTTCACTACAGTACCATCATATACAAGAATTAAACATAGAACCACATCTTCAGAACCAAATTCAAATCTCACTGTCTGATAACTTATGTATGGTTTGTTACCAAAAACTAAACCTGAAACAATCCACAAATTCCTTCCAGGATAAGAAAAGGGATCTGAAACCAATAGAAACCTACTAAGTTGTCTTAAATGATCGCAAACAATCTAAGCCTAAGCTTACTCATAAACCTTCATATCACTCGAAAACTTTGTATAAATCTAAATAAGACACACAAATTTCTCAGCTATATACCTCGGAAATCACTACTAGATACATAGGAAGAAGTAAAATCCACCAAATTCAATCCGCAGGAATAGAAAGCACGCACCGAAATAAGTAGCCGGTTTGGAGTAAAATCTGGGGAGGCCAAGAGTCGAAAACGACTGCTTTGTCCCTAGAGCTGCTCTCGCGTTCTGAATCAATCGTGCCCACGCCATCGTCGGTGTTCTTCTTCACGTCTTCTGAGCTTAACCTGGATTTGGCCGTTTGGGTTTTTTTCCCGTAAGGAGAATGCGTGAGACGGCGCCGTTTTTGGTGGGAAATAGATTCACTCTAGTCTCTAGTTATTATATTTCTGAATTGGGCCTAGCCCATTAACTCAGTATTTTGAGAAAAAAAAAAGAAAAAAAAAAGAAGAATTTTGTTTTTACGCTCGCAATGTGTTCGTCGAAATTCCTGTGTGGAAAATTTAGTTTTGTGGAATATTTTATTCAGTTGCGTGCTGAACTGGAGGAAGCGGTTTATGCATATCAGAAGATTTCAGAGAGTGATGGTTGTTTCGTAAATACAAAATGCCATGATTCGATTGTTTGGTAAGTAAAAAGGATGATGGTTGAATCTGCTTGTAAACTGTTCGACGAAATCCCCCTCAGAGTTTTATGACTTGAAAGATAACAGATGGAACATGCTGCATTTTTTTGGCATAAAAGTATATGACAGACGAGGGTCTTGTTACTATTTCTCGTTGGGATTATCAATAGGTATAACACTGATATTTTGTTAGAGATTAAGTGCACTAAGTAGTCACTCTTGCTTGGTGGTTAATTTAATATGCTTTATCTGATTTCTTTATATATATTTACACACTGATAAGTTGTACTATTAGTTTGGTTAACCTGTATAACATTTGTTGCAACAGGAAGCTTTTACATCCTAAGCATCTTTATGGACAAAACCAATTTAGATAAGAATCTGTGACTTTGCTGCGGCTCGTGAACATTTCTTCCGGCCTGATTTGGTCAGAACGCAGACGCAAGTCTCCAGAAGCTCAAGATCTTCTTCCCAAAACAGGGAAGATGCTATTTCAGGATTCTGCAATAGTTGCTTTGAAGTTAAGAAACCAGCAATGGTCCATGTCTGGTAAAGCCGGGACTGTTTTCCAATGAACTTCCCGTTTCTTGTATCGTAGTACTCTGGCCACCGATCAGCTTGGAGCCTCTTCTCTGCCAAAGTTACTGCTTTCTCTGCTAACTCTGGTCTGCCCATCTTGATGCATGCCAGTGTGAACTATCAAATTGTTGTACACATATGTTAATTTGATGTAAAGCAAATATATATGTTGTCTGATTAAAAAACTCATGCTTACTTGCCAGAGAAGTGTTGGCCATGACCCGCCATTGTGGTAAGACCAAGGCCTACAGAACATATAGATGAAGTCTGGTCCATTATTAAAAGTAAATGCGGATAAAATCATTGTAAGCTACTTCAGCCAAAAGTATCAAAGCAGAAGAGAGAAGAACTCACGTGTTCTTTGGATCACTCCCAGTAATTATATGCCACTCTGAAGATTCCAAAGCCGGGTAACATATCTTAAGCGGCATATGACCAACAAGATCATCCCATTTCTCTTCAATCAAATTTAATATAGCTTGGTTCTGTTTTGGTGTTCCTAATGAGGAGATGATTGACCAGAGGTTTCCCAAGGTGAAGAACCTGAAATCCATGTGAGCAGGCTGGAGGTTTCCTATCAGAAATCCAGAGTCAGGACATTCAGGAACCCAATCCATTAGCCATGGAGAAACCTGCTCCGGGTAGATATTGAACTTGTTGGTGGCATCCATAGAGTACTCCTCTGTCTTGTAACGGTAAATCTCATTGATTTTGGTTTTGTCAACCCAATAGTTTTCTCTGATGTGAAAAGATAAAGCGCTGAGCCTGTTGCTAATTGTCTTTATTATGTTTTTGGAGCTATCATTAACAGTTAGCATCTCACGAGAAGACCGCAGAGCGGAATAGAACAAAGCCTGTGAGATCAACAGAATCATCATGGCATGTTAGTCAAACTATTTTTTTTGAGAATTAAAATCAAGAACTTATATGTGGTAATTACTTGGATCTCAAGAGGGTGGCCATGGATACCCATTCGTCGATCTATCATACAAGAGCCATCTGTGACCAACAGAGTGGGAAACATATCAAATCCATCAGCTAAACACAGGTTCGCAATCATCTTTATCCCTGTCTGCACATCTATTCTCTCTTGCAGTGAGTAATCTCCTGTGATTTTCCCGTATGCCCTCAACAATATTATCCACCATAGACCTGAAAATTTTCTATTTAGACCAGCATGTGTGAATCAAACTGTTCAATTATATGTTGCCTAGCTAAAAGAATCAACAATTACGTATGCTCATTACCACGATTCAACAATGCATTTCATTCTTACTCTATTTATGGGAAATTGTAGATTGAAAAAGCTGCAAAATACTGACCAGAATCAACTGGTGCAACACGACCTATAGCTGCTTCGCCGAAATCTGGATCCAAAACCTCTTCGAACTTGTCCTCTTCAAGCGGTAAAGTTCTTACTTTGAAACTCGCAGGCATTAATCCTTGTCCTGGACTATAACAATCAACTGTTTTCTCCCAACTCTGAAACCACAACAACACTAAGGTTCATCATATCTTTGATTTGAATGCAAACTCTTTGCTTTTAACTTTGTAAACGGGTATCAGTACCTGCAACTGCAGTGTGTGAAGAAGGAAGTTTCGAACAATATCGCTTTCTCCGTTCAGGAGAAAAGCCAGAGCCGAAGGTACAAAATCCCTGATAAAGACCTGATCATAGTTTGATGGCGTTGTGTCTGTTGGATCTTTAGCAGCCATCGTTCCTACAGGCGAATCACAGTATGTCACTACTGAGTCCCTCAGCAATCTCCATGCCTCCTCCTCGGTTTCATTACTCTTAATGCCCTCGAAACCATCCCCATTGACCCTTTTGTCATCTCCATTGATCGCCTTGTCATCTTTCTCATCTCCCTTTAACCTCTCTAGCTCTAAAGGCTTCACATTTAAGCCGTTCTTGGTGTATATTTGATCCAAGGTCGGGTCCCTTGGGCAGGTCGTGGAAGCAGAGAGACTTCTTGCCTCAGAAACAACCTGAGCTGTAACAGAGCTCTGCCTGTCGGTACAGAATGAGCCAGCATTGGTCGGTTTGATGATTCTGTTCGAATCCGGGTTGTTGTTTTGGTTTCTGCAGCTTGAGAATCGAGAAGGACACGATCGAAACGCGGAGTCTCGGATGTATCTAGATGGAGAGATTCTTGTAAACGCACGGAGAATGCATTGCGAGGGAATCATCGTTGAGTTTCCAAGAAAAGTGATGGCATTCATAATCAGGATGCAATACCTAATTAGATTTGGAAAAAAAAAGGCTTTCTTGTGTTCGTTATTTATCTGAAAAATCTGTGATTCCTCAAAATTGGGAAAATCTGTAATAGGAAGAAAAATGTTTGTGGATTATGGAACTAGTTTACCGCTAATTTGATCGCAGCAAGCATTATGGTTTCTATTAATAAACCAAACTTCATTTTCGAAAAATCCTATTTCTGTACAAAGTCAAATATATTAATAAAACCCCGCTTTTGCTTAATGTGAGTTTAACCCTTTGTTTAATCAAGATTTTTATACAAGTAAGTAGTAAGTATGTGTAAAATAACTTAAGATGCAACGTAGTACCGAACACGTGACAGAGGTAGATCCAACTAATAATAAAAGACAATCACAACACAAGGATCATTACGGCGTTTTTTGGGTCAAAAAAGAGCAAAAGACAAAAGAGAACAGCCTCGGTTTTTTGTGTTTATCTGAACTCCGAACCAAAGACCGAACGTGATAGACCACTACTTGTTAGAAAAGGGCCACGTGATGGGAGTCCGAACCTTAAAAGTGAGTTTTCCCCTTCCAGCTTCTCTCCTTCCACTTCCCCATCCACACATGTCTCTTACTCATAGCTTTAGCTCTACCAATTTACAATAAGATAAACATCTTTTTGTTTGTCACAATCCCCCCCTTGATTGTAACGCTACGTTTTATGTTGTAATTATCAGTTTTTTTTTCTTCTTGTTGTTGTAACTCATATGATTCTTCTTTGCCACTATATAGTTTGAAAGATGCGAATTTTGAAGCATATATATATATATATATATATCAATATATGTGTATATATATAGTGAATTAATGCTTTCTTGTACGTCCGTCGTAGACTATTGTTTAGTTGTTGTGTTTGCCGAGGATATTGGAGGGAAAGTTTGATTTTTGAAGTTCAAAATCACTTTCTTTCTCTCTCTCTCTCTCTCTGTGCCAAATTAATTCATTTATTCTGATTTCTTCGGATAACTAGCTGTGTTACTTCTCTCTTTCCTTATTATCTCTCTCCTATGTTCTTATAGAAAATGAGAAATTAGTTTAGATTCATGCCATAATCAGAGAGATCTGATCTGAAGACTTGAGAAACCGAGAAAACACTCTTCCTGATAGCTCATGTTAAGTCACGATCTTGTTTTGATTTTTATTTCTTATTATTATCATTATTATTTTGAAATTGTGAAAGACACTCTTCTTCATTTAATTTCCCTGTATTAATGGTCAACTACCATATGTTCACATGCACCACATAACAAAACCAAAAAAAAAAACTAATTTTTTTTGTTTGCCTTTCTTCTTTCTCCGTTTCAGAGTTGTGAGATTTGTGATTCTGGTGCATGCAAGAGCTGAGCTGGAACAAATCATCAAGGAATTGCCAGTGGGATGAGATATTAATCGAATTCTGGAATGTCTTGTTCCGAGAGAAGGACGGTGGATCCACTTTTGAGAGGTTTAGATGAGAAGAAAGAGAGTTTCCGGCGAAACGTGGTGTCTTTGGCGGCTGAGCTTAAGCAAGTGAGGGGCCGTTTGGTTTCTCAAGAACAATCCTTTCTTAAAGAAACCATTACTAGAAAAGTTAGTCCTTTTTTTTTTTTTTTAATATGAATCATTTATTCTCTGATTGATGATTCTCTTCCTTTTTGTTCTAGCTTGTAATTAAACTGTGGGGTCAAATCTTATTTGGTTGCTTGGATTTTTTTTGTTTTAAAATAATTGAATCTGATAGAAATGATTTGACTTTGTTGTTGTTTGTATTGTTCAGGAAGCAGAGAAAAGAGGGAAGAACATGGAATTGGAGATGTGTAAATTGCAGAAGAGATTGGAAGAAAGGAATTGTCAGCTTGAAGCTTCTGCAGCTGCTGCTGATAAGGTTTTGACTCCTAATTACCACATTTGCTTCTCTTTCTTAGTGTGCTCCAAGGTTTCATATTCGTAGCCAATTTCTTGAAACTTGATCAGTTCAAAGAGATTATTTGAGTGGTTTAAGATTCCTGTCTAGATCAAGAAGACAACTTTGAGACGTGTCTCTAGATTATATGGCTCTTCAAAGTTGTTGCAATGGTTCTATGTTGAATGCTGTTAAATTTCATTTGTTGGCCTAATAGTTAGGGATTGAGGGAACTTAAGCTGTGTTTCTTGGAGTTATTAGTCATCTAAGTTTTTAAGGTTCATCAGTTATACTTTATGGTAGAGTTGCATTTATGGCCTTGTTATGATTATACTCTACTCTTGGTTGGATTTACTGATATAAATCTTTGTTTTTGAGAAAACAGTTTATCAAAGAGTTGGAGGAATTTCGATCAAAGCTTGATGCAACCAAGCAAACGGCAGAGGCAAGTGCTGATTCTGCTCAGTCTACACAGATCCAATGCACAATGCTAAAGAAACAACTTGACGACAAAACACGTTCTCTCAGAGAACACAAAGACCGTGTGACTCAGCTTGGTCATCAGCTCGATGATCTACAAAGAGATTTAAGCCTGAGAGAGTGCTCTGAAAAGCAACTTAGAGAAGAAGTTATGAGAATCGAACGTGAGGTTAGAGAGACCATTGCAAAGGCTGGGATAGGTGGTATGGACTGCAAGCTCCAAACATTTCTAGAAAATGTCTCGCCAACGAAATTCGAGATGATGAATAGGCTAGTTGAGGTAAAAGACGAAGAGATAACAAAACTGAAAGATGAGATAAGGCTAATGTCAGGTCACTGGAAACATAAGACTCAGGAACTCGAATCTCAGGTGCATCCATCTCTTCTTTTTGAATAAAGGCCATTAATGACTTATTTGTGTTTGTTTTATCTAAATTCTGAGTCCAAGTATCATTCTTTCGAAACAATCAACAGTTGGAGAAGCAGAGAAGAACTGATCAAGATCTGAAGAAGAAGGTACTGAAACTAGAGTTCTGTCTACAAGAAACACGAAGCCAGACAAGAAAGCTGCAGAGGGTAAGTAGTATACAAGTCCATAGCTCTAACATTTGTGTAGCTTCTTTGTTTGGATCAGAAGGGTTCTAATTTTTGGTTTTGTGGTGAATGGAACACAGAAAGGGGAAAGAAGGGACATGGAGATCAAAGAGATAAAAGATCTGATTTCGGAGAAACAAGAGCTTAATAATGAGACTTGGGATAAACAAAACTTCTGGGACAATTCAGGGTTCAAGATCGTTGTATCAATGTCTATGTTGATGTTAGTGCTAGTCTCCAAGAGATGACTTTTTTTTTTTTTTTTTTGGCATTGTATAAATTTAGTTGCAGTTTGTTGATGAAAATCTAACTCAAATATTAGTAACAACGGCTTCCTTTAGACATAACTGCCATCTTGCGTCTCCAGGTACTCTGTTATGTTCTCTCCGTGTCTCGTCTTGTAGACTTAGTTTAAATAAAGTTACGGTAAAATTATATCAACCAGCTCCCGTAGCTCAGTTGGTTAGAGCGTTGGTCTTATGAGCCGAAGGTCGCGGGTTCGAGCCCCGCCGGGAGCATTTTTATTTTATTTTTCACAAGGCCCATTTACGAAGCCCAATTCAAACATACAAACGTTGTTGTCGTAATAAAACTGGTCCATGAAATTTTGTCAAATGTTTTACACTTATTTTATTTTTTTGTCTTCTTGCCTCTCCGACACGTTCAACACGTGGCCCCGGTTCAGCCTGTAATCTCTTTGGAATATTCCGATATATCCCATAATTATATGTGTATAATTTTAAAATTACAAATATACCCTTACTTTGTCGTTTTCTCACCGTCCTCAGTTCTCACAGTTTTGTCCAAATATTCAAAAATGATGGGGTCATTTTTGAAATTATTAATATTCGGTTCCTTTCTTTCGATTAATTTAAGAAGAACTAATTATTAGTATTAATAAACTAGTAGTAGTAGTATAAATTTGGCTGGAAATGTCATTATATATATGGCTGTTGGTTGTTGAACTAGATACCCATAATTCTATAGCAGACATTTATGTGACATCTAGGAACTAATTATTGGACTTATGTAAGAAACTGTTCTTTTAATAAAAGCACATATTAGAAAGAAAGAAAAAAAAACTGCAAACTGATGAAATCATATTTAAATATTATTTAGTGGAATTCAGTCAATTTAGCTTAGCAAATTTGACATTTTTTTGCTTCTAAGTTGGGGGGGGGGGGGGAATGGTTCTCATAATTGAGCTACTAAAAAGAATGATATATGTGCCAGTAATCATATGAATAGTTAAATAAAAAATGATACTTATGTCACTCCAACCTAAAACAAGTTAAGATTAAAGAAAAGCAAAGAAGATAAACGTTTAAGTAGGTTTGGGAGTAAAGGGGTAATATATAAAATAAAAGGAGAGGGGGCCAAAGTTTGAATGGTCAAAACTCAGAAAAGAGAGAAAAACCAAACCCGATGTACTTTCAAACTCCAATTTTACTAACTCCGAAGACTATCTTTTTCTTTTTAATTTTCTCATTTTTTTACGAAATATGACTGTCACCAGCGCATTGTAGCATACGACGCCTACCATTAAAAAAAAAAAAAAAAGAAAGCCACATCCACATACATACAATACATAGCTGATAGCTTTGCTTCATTTTATATTTATTGCTTTACAAAATCATTCATTATTCATCAGACCAACAAAAAAGGAAAAAGAGAGAGAGAGAAGGGATTCAATTCATCTTCATTATGGATCTACTTCTACTCATCATATCTTGATCTTCTATTTCTTCCATCTCATCATTTCTGGGTTTCCTGGGTACGTTTCAATCTCTCCTTTTATTTGTTTCTGGTCTTTGATTTCTCTTTTGAATTCTCGGTTCTTTTTATAGTTTTCCTATTTCCACCAATAATTGTTTTTCTTTTTTGTTTCTGGGGTTATATAGCTTCAGGATCATATTCATGGATTCATGGTAGATTATTTTCTCCAATTAGATCGGTGGAGAATTGTTTTTTTCTTTTTTTTTGTGTGTGGCCAAGATGAGATATATTTCTATGGGCTGGGTTTTCATCATCATCTCTTAGCCTTGTTGTTTGCTGCTATGAAATTTTTTTTATTATCTTTTTTTTGGTGATAATTGTGTGCAGCGTCTTGTTAAAAATCCAAACTTTGCATGTTGATAGCTTCAAAATGAGTCTTGAGTATCATCAAATCTATGATATTGCCTCATTTTAAACTGATTATCTTGTGATTGATTAGTTGTTTTGTTAAAAAGTTTACCAACCAAGTAAAACTGTAATTACAGATATGGTTTATGAATCATGAGCTAACGATCACTTTGCTTATGGCTATCTGCTGCAGGGCTCACTTCTTTTTTTTTCCAAATCTGATTGACTTTTGAAGAGTGACGAAGGAAGAGTCTTTATTATTTTACAAATTCGTCTGTGTTTTTGTATCTTTGGGATGGCCTCCGTGGGCATAGAGCCTAGTGCCGCGGTTAGAGATTCTACTGGAAACGCTACTGATGCTGATAGATTACCTGAGGAGTTGAAAGATATGAAAATTCAAGATGATAAAGTATGCTTCTTTTTTTTTCCAAGGATTTGATTCTGTTTCTCAGATGCTTCAGTGATTTTTTTATTTTGTTTTTCACTGACATGGTTAATGATCTCTAGGAGATGGAAGCTACAATCGTAAATGGTAATGTGACAGAAACTGGCCATATAATTGTAACTACTATAGGCGGAAGAAATGGCCAACCAAAACAGGTTTGTGTTGTGCTAAACAGATCCTTAATTAGTTGATTCCAGAGGATTTTCAGTAAGCTAAGTGTATTTCCTTGTATGTTTGAATTGCAGACAATCAGTTACATGGCGGAGCGAGTTGTTGGACACGGATCCTTCGGCATTGTGTTCCAAGTGAGCGTTACTTTTTGTTCTTTCTTAGAGTGTCGCTTCTTTATGTAACTGTGTCTGACCAGCTCTTTATTTGTTTCAGGCAAAATGTTTGGAAACAGGAGAAACTGTTGCGATAAAGAAAGTTCTGCAAGATCGGAGGTACAAGAACCGTGAGCTTCAAACAATGAGGCTACTTGACCATCCAAATGTTGTGTCTTTGAAACATTGTTTCTTCTCAACAACCGAAAAAGATGAGCTTTACCTCAACTTGGTTCTGGAATATGTTCCGGAAACTGTGCACCGCGTGATCAAACACTACAACAAGCTTAATCAACGAATGCCTCTTGTTTACGTAAAACTTTACACATATCAGGTATATTAATTTCCACCAAGTCAATTTTACAATTTTATATGTCATAATAATAGAAATCTTTTTAAAGACTTTATTATGTTTTGCAGATTTTTAGGTCCTTATCCTACATTCACCGTTGTATTGGCGTGTGTCATCGTGACATAAAACCTCAAAACTTGTTGGTAAACCCACACACTCATCAAGTGAAACTATGCGATTTTGGAAGTGCGAAAGTATTGGTGAGTTTATTGAATCTATCTCTTTGGGGAAGCAGTGAGCCATTAATAATCAGTGGTGGTTCTTGACGCAGGTAAAAGGAGAGCCAAACATTTCATACATTTGCTCGAGGTATTACAGAGCACCCGAACTCATTTTTGGAGCCACTGAGTATACTACAGCTATTGATGTCTGGTCTGCAGGATGTGTTCTCGCCGAGCTTCTTCTTGGACAGGTAAAAAACTGCTGTAAAAATCTCAAATAAAACATTTTGTTCTGATTAAATCGTTACTCCATGCTTGACCAATCTGTTTTTTTGTTCATATCAGCCATTGTTCCCTGGTGAAAGCGGTGTTGATCAACTTGTAGAGATTATAAAGGTACTACCTTTGTTCTGATTTCTTGCTAATAAGTGAGCCAAATTACACCTATTCAATGTATAATAATGATATATTACATGTATTGAGTAGGTTTTGGGAACACCAACAAGAGAAGAAATCAAATGCATGAACCCCAATTATACAGAGTTCAAATTCCCTCAGATTAAAGCTCATCCATGGCATAAGGTTTGTATATTCATATCACATGTCAAAGTTAACATGTCTTCTTTAATTAGCTGTTGTTAATTGCAACATTTTTCGTCATAATTTAGATTTTCCACAAAAGAATGCCTCCAGAAGCTGTCGATTTAGTCTCAAGGCTTCTTCAATACTCTCCCAATCTTCGTTGTGCTGCTGTGAGTATTTCAAAGTCATCTCATCTTCATTCATTCTTCAAAATCTTTTTGTTTTCTTTGTCTGATTTTATTGAGTGATGTTGCCAATTAGCTCGATGCATTGGTCCACCCATTCTTTGACGAGCTAAGAGATCCGAATGCGCGATTACCCAACGGTCGTTTCCTTCCACCGCTCTTCAACTTTAAGCCTCATGGTACTACCACATCTTCTTTATCTTCAAATTATCAAATGGTGGCCTTCAAAAAGTAGATAAGCAGCTCAAAGTATCATAAGATAAGTGACTTAAACTCATGTTAATTTGTTTGTTGCATGTGTTGTGTGAAACAGAGCTTAAAGGTGTGCCTATGGAGATGGTGGCTAAGTTGGTACCAGAACATGCAAGGAAGCAATGTCCGTGGCTCGGTTTGTGATTTGTCTGCTATTACCTGCAAACACAAAAACTAGAGCAAAATGCAGTCTGAGAAATTCATCTCTTCTCGCGTCTCTCTCCTCACTCTGTATTATTATTATGATCATATCTCAATCTGATGATTTTAGTAACCCTTTGTTTGTTTGTATGAGTAGAGAAAGAGTGAATCATTTGTGCGGGTTATGAGATTTGTATAAGCCAACAACAAATTATTTTTATGAGAGTTTGGTGTTTTCTGTCTCACTCTACCATATATCAGACAGCATCAGACGAGAAATACCGATCCTTTGTGGGATTGTTGAAGAAACGAAGACCCTAAACTAAAACGATGACCAAACGAAGATGGACTGCAGCAGAAAGTAAATAGTAAATTTAGTCATTCTAAGTCGCTTATTCTTTCTTGTCCATTCCAAAAGCTGTTCACTTATTGAGTCTTGTACTGATTGAGAGCCTTTCAGCATGTGCAAGAAGACTGAGTTTCTTAGCCGTTCGATTAGGTGATGACAGACCAACTGTAGTAGGTTTCGTCTTTTGTGGCCATTGTATTATTGCAAGACATCTCTGATAATGACAGACCTACTATGGCCATTATTCTCAAGAGAAAGCTCACAATTTGGTAGTTTGAGAAGAATTATTACTAATATTTCTTAGGGTCAAAATCAAGAATTACTTTCTATGAATTAAAAATCCCGCAAGGATATGTTTAACGTAAAAAACTTCTTTCTTACAAATTTAATCACTTATAAAAGATTGACGAAACTTAAAAAAAAAAGAGAAGTTAATAAAAAAACGAAGAGTAGGGAGAATTCCAAAAAACTAGCATTCAAGGAGATACTCTTTACAAGTCGACTTGTTGTGACCAAGTCCCTTGCACCTACTACATTGCAGCTGCCGCTTCATCACTTCTTCTGCAGGCGTTTTCTTCTTTGGAGGCCTCCCTGGGGGTCGCCTTGTTGGTGGAGGCGTTACCGTCACTGCCGAACCTCCAGAACTCTCTCGACACATCTCTCCTTCTAATAACAGAACTGGATTTATCGACAGCGAATACGTTGACCTGTAGTGCTCAACAGTGAAATATCTAGAACAGTAATCATACGGATTCCCTCCGTAAGAGTTGATAACCGCGAGCGCGTGGTGACACGGCAAACCTGTTAACTGCCACCCTTTGCAGCTACAGTCACACTGCTCCATGTTCACGAGCTCATACGTCTCTCCACGGACTTGGAACAATTTGTTATCTGGGCATATTGCTACTTCAACCGTTTGCGCTTTCACACTCTCTTTCTCTAACTTTACTTCCATGGAAGGAGTCAATTTTCCATTGGCTTCGGTGGCACTAATCCGTCTCACGTGGATCAATCCCATGATTTTCCCACGGATCACATCGACCATTTGAGTTATCGGTAGATCGTTGGCGTCGGAAGCCCAACTAAAGAACGGTTCGCCTGAGTGTGAAGTCATGTGGTTGTACCGGGCACCACCAAAGTAGGCATTGGCCCAGTGATCAGGTTGGCTTTTTTGCACAATCCAGTCATAAGCTTCCGGTGAGAGGCCTTTGATGTTCTCTACGTGTCTCTCAAATGAATCCATTCTCGGGGCATAAGCTGCAGAGTAAAAGTCATCAACGATTAACCGCTTGATCTCATGAGAGAATGGTCCTTTCAAGTCTCTGATGAGCTCGTCAGTCAAATACCGCAAACAATAGGCGTGAAACGATTTGTCAAACACTCTTGGGATTGATTCCTGCAGATTCTTCTGTCGATCCGCAACGAAAGTTATCTGGCAAGACGTGGACAGCGCAGATCTCAGTTGAAGCAAGAACCATTCCCAGTTATCATCAGTCTCCGCATCGACCACTGCGAAAGCCAGAGGAAACACTGCGTCGTCCCCATCCACAGAAGTCGCAGCTAATAAAGTCCCCTGGTACTTCGATTTCAACGGCATACTGTCGAGAAACACAAGTGGTCGACACGCCTGGAGAAAACCATAGACCGAGGCGTGAAATGAAACAAAAACACGATGAAAACTTGAATCTTCCTTTGTTGTGAACGTAGCGAGACTGCCCGGATTAGTTTCCATTATTTTCTCACAGAACAGTGGAAGCTGTTTGTATCCGTCCTTGTAAGATCCTTGAAGCTGCTCTCTTGCAATTTCTTTACCACGCCATGCCTGAAAGTAATTCAGCTGAATCCCATACTCTTCTTTGATGTCACTGACAATATCTTTCGGTTTATAGTTAGGAAAAACTTTCAGCTTCTCCTTGATAATGCTAGCAACCCAGCTTCTACTTGTCTGAAGCCCATTAATCCCACCCGCACCTTCACAAGTATGTGTCGCATTCATTTTTTTGATACAGATAAGCTGAGTTGTTGACAGCCTTGACGCATGTATCCTCCAAGGACAACCTTCAGCTTTACATTTAACTGTCACTCGGTGGCTATCGTTCTTTTTGTAGCGGAATCCAAACTGATTTGCTATAGCGTATTTTCGCAGCGCTTCACGGAACTCCCCAACATTTTTAAACCTTTGACCCACTCCTGTGATTGTGTTCTGCCACTGCTGTGTTCTTGCCTTTGTGAGAATATCTCCTTTCGGATTCGAGACTTCAACAATCGATGATATCATATCGGATGGATTAATAACAATCTGTGCATCTTCAGCTCGGTTCATGACTTGCTCCATAGTTACAGCGGGAGGAGCAGAGACTGAGATTGAGATGGGAAGATCTTCTGGTCCCATTGTGTCATCTATCATGTCGTCCATAGGAACCGGGGGAATCGCTTCAGACAATGTTGTTCTGCTTGATCTGGAAGAAAAGAGGAAGTCTTGGAAACTTAAAAAATCCAGCAAAGATAAGGCGAGATGATGATTCATTTAACGCTTTGATTACCTGCTAGCCGGCATGTTTGAAATGTCAGGAGCAGTTTCTTCGGGTAAGAGATAGACATCAGCGGTGTTTGAGTTCTCGTGAAATTTGATCATCCGTTTCAAATCTTTATCGTTAGATATTGAGATGAGCGTTTTCTTGTTGTCCGGGAGAAAGTATTTGAGAGAAACTGTCCTGACATCGCAATTGAACATCTCCCCAATTTCTGAGATAAAGTCTATGAATTTCATCTGCTCGTCCACGTCTATAGCGTGAGCATCGCCGCCTTTGTAAGACAGTGATCCGCCTTTCTCTGTATGGAATTCCCCACCAGACATACATATCGCTATGACCCGTTTCCCTGACATGTCCTGAAACAAGCAGAAGAAATAATCAAAACACAACCATAAAACTTAATTTTGTTCAAGCCAAATGTGGTTCCTAAAGCCTTCGGAAGTAAAAAAAAAAAAAAACGAAATTGAAGAGGATGAAGAAGAAATCGAACTCAGTAAATTACCTAAACATAACAATCTAAGCTCTCAATTCTGTTGAATTACCTAAGTTTTTGGGTTCGCCTAGCGAATCGATGGAAAGACTATTTCATCGAAATGAAGAATGCACATTCAGAGCCAAACAAACTAAGACTTCAGATTCTAATTCAACCATCAAGCAATTGGCTCCAGAAACATGAATCTACTAGTCATGGAAACCACAAGCATCATCAAATTTGCAATACCTAAACAGTGCGATTGAATTCAAAGGCAGGAAATTTGGAGGAAAGAAGAGATAAAGGATTCAACTTTATGATCCTATCTAAATTCCAGAACAGCTAATCCTCGTAAACCACTAAGATTGATAACCTCAGGCTCCACAACACAGGTCGAAGAATATGCCACCAAACCGACCAAGCAATAGAAACTCAAGATTAAAAGTAACATTACATCGGAATAGAGGATAACAACGTCGAATAGCTCTCTCAGGGGTAGAATCACAGAATTTGCGAAATTTAACAAAATTGGGGAATTGGGAAGCAAGAAGAACCCTAGAACAATTTGTTGATGTAGTTGGATGGTGATAAGAATGAGAGAGATCGAATTACCTCAAAATTGGGGGGGGGGGGAAGGAAGAAACCCTAATCCTAAATTGAAGTGTTTTTATTATGATCCCAATTCTCGGAAGTAGCTCACGACAAGGGAAGAGGGAAGAGCCTGACGTGACGACCTTTGGTTTTTCTTTTTTGCATTTATTGTTTTCTTCACATTTTTTTAAATAAAATAATAATTTTTTTTTATTGGTTATCCAAAATAGAAAACTCAATGCAAAAAAAATGTTTTATCTTTAATTTCTTCTTTTATATTGACATCAAATTAGTTAAAAAGATTACTGTACATAACAAAGAAAGATGTCAAATTATTATATATATTTTTTTTTCTTTAACAAGCAATGCAAAAAAGATCACATAACAAATAAAAAAGTAAAGTGAGATTAATCCAAATCACACATTACGTCATGACCTTCTAGGTCAGCATTCAGCAATCACTATCCATCCATGCTCACTCCTCATCCTGTTTGTTCTTGTTTGGTTGTCCTTAAGAATGCGAACTACATGTCGTTTTGAACTGCATCTCTCATTGGACACAGCTTGCCGAATCTCCAAATGCATTCGTAACGTCGTGCCATTTTAAAAGCCAAATAACGTATCTCCCCATGCTACGCAAAAAAGTAAAACGAATGGTTTACGATTTCACCCACACAAAAAAGCCAGAATCAGACCACAAAGCGATATGTTGCATGGAATATATATATGCTTTATATAGTTTAGGGGTATAGTTAATCTATGGATTCGTTTCGGTTTAAGACAAAAACAATACCATAAATCATTTCAATTGATTACAGCTAAGTGATAAAACTCTCTAACCCCAAAGCAAATATGCAATGTTGCGACGACGAACCAATCCGAAACATTGATAAGGAAAAAGGAAATGATTCTACATGCAATAAGCTTTAACAATCTGTTGGCTATGGTTCCTCCTGCGCGTACGTACGTCTTCGCATACTTGTAAGTTGTAATAGATATATATATATATATATATATATATATATATAAGTTAAAATTTATTTCGTTTCACGTGATGAAAAGGAATAATTGAGTGGAGCATTTTTTTTTTTCACCCTCGCAACGTACAGTTAGCTTTTCTACATTTTTATATCGAATCTACAAGTTACTAGCTCACACGTTTAATTACTAGCATCTAGAAATTATAAGAACTTTTTTGGTATATGAGACTGAGTCGTTCCATTTTTGGCTAACAAAATTAGTCACATTTCGCTGTCAAAAAAAAATTTAATCACATTTCATGTTAATAAAATTATGTTCGTCGATATAACTTCTTTTATGAAAAAGCACAACACTAGACTCCATTTTAATCAGGTTCATCAAAGGAGCATTTATATTATATGATATAGCCATCCAAGAACTCGAGACCAATATAAACCAACTTCTAATTTACGTTAAAAAGGTTCCGTTTTGATTTTGATGGTCAAACTAGGCGATGAACTCTGATGGAGGTGGATTACTTAGCTGTAGGGATTGCAGTTCATAGGTGAAAGATTACTACAGAAGATTAGGATACTTTTTTACATATGAAAAGAGGCATATTAAGATATTAATCACTAATTATTTATATAATATATATAGCTTATATAGTTATATATAGTTGTTGGATATATTCCACAAAGACGAAGCAAGACGAAACTCTTATTGTACGTCGTATTATAAAATATCAAGTCGTTTTATTCTCCAACAGATTCGTTTTCACTTTTCTTTTTGACTGTGTGCTCTTCTTCTCTTCACCTTTTTTTTAATTATTTTGATTTTATATTATAATATTCATCCCCCACCATATCATACACTTAATCTATATGGTATTTGAATTTTCGGCGTAATCTTATGCAATTTACTGTAGCCATCATCTCTAATGTGAAACGGATTATTAGTTCATGGAGCAGAAGTTTTTAATTAAGGATTAACTAGTGTTTAAAATGAGAAGTGTTTTTGGAAAATAAATTAAAGTGGCCTTAGTTAGGCAAGGGGGGTTTGCTAAGTTTGGCAGGGAACGGAAAGAAAGGAGACGGAAGTGAAGAGTATGTTTGAAATTGATGACCTAAAAGAAAATTCCAATTTAACTAAAACAAATAATAAAACAATGTTTAGGAAAAAAGTTTTGGTTCCAAAAAGAATTGTATCAGAAAAAGGAGATTGAAGAAAGTGTGAGAGAAAAGACCAAACAAAACAAAGAACTTGGATGCCTAACCAATGCTTTTGTTTTGGATTCATTTGAAACCAAGACATTTGCATTAGACTTTTTATTTTGCAAAACCTCTACACCATGTGATTGTGTTACCACTTCACGTGTCTTAGTCCGTGCCGTTAATATCCCTCTATTCTTGTAAAATGATGAGCCAGATTAATTGCAGTGAATTTTTTTAAAAAAAAAGATTAATCGCAGTGATTAGTATATAATCTAAATTTAAGTTGATGTATATAATAAATAGTAAAGAGTTTTCTGCATAACATGTATGCTGTCATCTCTTTGCTATGTGAAACTTTGGAACGTTCGGTTAAAGTATAATATTATTATTGGTTCACTCGTTAATATTGTGGTGGGTCATATTCCTTATAAATACATGCGCAAACCCCACCTCTCCACTTAAGACACCAACACATCAAAAAACAACTTCTCATTAAAAAAATCTCTATCTTCACTTCGTTCGTGTTCTTGTTTCTGTCACAAATTCTTCAAGAACGAAGAGTAGTAGTAATGGCAGGAAACAAAAGATCACATGGCAGCAAGAGGTTCTCTATCTTCAGCTTCTTCAAATCACGAAGGTCTCACAGAGTGGAATTGGACGCCTCTTGGGACGACGTCGTTTACACCCGCAAAGCAATGGCTAGTGATGAAGACAAACGTTATTGGGTCGCTGAACCAGGTATCGACCGTAAAGCTTCTGCCTTCATCGCCAAGTTTCATGCCACTCGTGTCTCTGAGTCCGAGCGTCAGACTCACTCTCCTTACCGATCCGACAAGGCATGATCATGGATATGATAATCAGTGTGTGTGGCTGATTTGATTCTATGTAATTAATCGTCTTTCTCTATTATCTTTGTTATAATTCATTGATTGTGTCCTTCCTAAATGTAGCTTCTCATTCTTTCATCGTATATGAGGTGTGTTTTGGTTGTGATGATTGTGTCAGGTAATAAAAACCAATTAAAAGTAACCAGGTTCGACGTTGTATAGTTCCTGCAGCTCGAGTTGTAAAATCTTCTTTATTTTAAATGAATAAAAGGGCTCGTAAATAAATTAAAAATGTGCATATGTGTAAAGCTTTTTGGATTAATTAATTAAAAAAAAAAACTAAATCATTAAGAGACATTCGTAAAATTCAAGTTTTTCAACCATATATGACAGACAAGATTGGAGTGTTTTGTTCGAATTCTACAACACACACAATAAAACAAACCGAGCCAAATCTATAATATATAATTATTATAGATCAAGTCAGTCATTGCCAAATTAGTTTGAATTAGAAACCTATATATAACCTTATCAACCTAGCTAAAAATTTTTAAAAGAATATAATATCAAAGTCCAAACAAAAAACATTGATTAATCCGGCCGATACGAAAGACTAATTATTGAGATCATTTCAAGTAAACCAGTCCAAAGGTTCTAGTTAACAAGTAAAATATTTAGCAAAAAACAAAGTTGGATCGATCGTTAAACGAGATCCATTCAAAATAAAAATAAGTAAAAAAGAGGACAAAGATTTGAAGACAGCTATATATATAGGAATCAACAACTTTATATGATTGATATTATTTGCATAGAGGGGAGGGGAGGGTCCTTTGGCTTCAGTTCGTGCTCTCTCAGATAATGCTGCAGTTGTTGTACATAAAGGTACATTTACGAGATCGTACCTTTTTATTCTTCTCTTTCGCTTTGAGCCTTTTCTTTGCTTTTTTTCATACACTCTTTACTTTTTACTGCCAATTATTACCCCAAAATTATTCCCCTTTAATTTTAATTAAAATGCTTGTAAGTCTTAGTGGTGGTGCCTGCATAACTCAAGATTTGTGAGTGTGTCAGTCTACAAGATTCGACCACCACGAATTAATAAATAAAAACAATCACTCACAACACATAGAAAAAAAACAATTTAAGACTAACCAAGCCGCTTAATGCTTTCTTGAGGCACCTACATTTTGATGATTAATGCATATACGTACGTTAATGGTTTTGTATTTTAGTAGAGTGATGACAAAAAAAAAAAGCATAGTGGACAGTATATAGTAACCTAAAATTCTGTTTACGTAAAGAGTAATTCTTAGCTAGTTAGAATCATGAAAAGTTGATACTGGAGGAGAAGCTAGGCAGAATCTGAACTTGGAAGACTCCTCAATGGCTAGTATCATCGGTCTCTATTAATTGACTAAGTAGAGAAACGAGTACCATCTATTTGCACCCCCCACATGCAACTCCACTCCCAAAATTGTTCAACCCCAAGGATCAAGTTCCACCCCAAAATAATACAATTACAAGGACCACACTTTAATAGTTAAATTCATAGAGAAAGTTGGCTTTACGAAATAAAAAGTATTTGAAAATTCAAATTTCTTCTTATTAGTATCAAATGATTTCTTTTCATTAATAAAAAAAAAAAACTATCGTTTTCCTAAAAAACACCACTTTTTTCTTTTTTGGTTCAACTCTTTATTTTTTCATTTAGAAAGAGAGTGAAGCAATATATTTTCTTTTGCTTTATGAGTATCAATATGGATCGAACCCTGGTGGGGAAGTATAGCTTTAAGTTTCATGGTAAGTCATAGCCAACTGGCTAAAATTGGTTGTTTTACTCTTTATTTTTTTTTTTTGAACCAATTTTTACTCTTTATTTATACATAGTTTTAGTATATTAGAGTGCACTCGTACTCGGAAAAATAATATAATATTTAAAAACTCGTGAAAGATTAAAATATTAAATTTTGGGAATAAAGTTATATCATCGGTTTAAGTATAAAATAAAATTGAATACGCTAACAAATAATTAATAAATGAAAAACTAAATCTAAATAATATGATATTTTTTGAAACAAAATTAAAATTGTAGAAAACATGAAACAAAAGGAATAATAACCGGATACAAAGCAAATGGAGTAAACTTAATCCTCCTTTAATGGCATAACATAATGAATCTAAATTTCTGAATTACGAAGGCAATACATATCATCAGAGTTTGTTGGTAGTAACAGCTGATATAATCCATCAAAGGAAAACTCAATTCCTTAGAATGGTCCATCATTCGAGATCAACCATTCTTCTTGCTGATCCTGATTTTGACTCGGATTGTCAATTAAATCTTGAGGCTCAATCGGATATTCATACTGTTGTTGATATTGATACTGATCAGAAAGGCCAACTGGATAATACTCTTGTTGGTCAGCAGCAGCACCAGTAAGAGTATTAACCTCCTCTGGTATCTCGCTCGAAGAGATTATAGGCTTCAAAGACCACAAATCATTAGCTGGCCGAGGAGAGTTGCCAACATTGAGATATGGAAATGAGTGAGAACTCACTTCAACCATAGATGGTGGTGCCATGGCATTTGTAGCTTCAGAAGATCGCTTAAGAGTTTCGTTCTTGTGGTGATGAAGTTCTCGAAGATATTGATCAATGTAGTTACACAAATCTTCACGGTTTTTGTTAGTCAGCTTAAACTCGTCTCTTTTGCCTCTAAGAAGCTGGAACATGACCTCTTTCATCAACCTCTCTCCATTGTCCTTCATCTTTTTGTTGTTGTTCGCCACAGCCTTTGATATGTTCTGCTTGAGAAAGCCTTCGTGGTTCACCATTCTTTTCTCTTGCTCGACCTCTGTCAGCATCTCAAACTTCTCCACTACGTTCTTCACTCCCGAGTTCGATGGCCACGCCTCTGGGGTTGAGTTGGATGGGTTATAAACCACCGCACATGCTTCGATTCCGCATAGTACGGTAAGCTCGTGGATTTTTTTCATAAACCCTTTCTTTCTCTTGTTAAAGGTTGCTTTCCTCATTGAATCATTATCAATGTAAGATAGGTTTAGCTTCTTTCTCGTCATGGTGATGAGACCACAACTTTAAAATAAAAATAAAAATAAAAAAGACTGTATTTTGAATAACTTTTTGTGCTTTTTGTATGTTGTGTTTTTGTTTTATTCAGAAGTTCGTTTATATAGGAAAAACAAATTACTTAATATCTAAATGATGAGCTGTCAAATAGCTGTAAACATTAATTTTAAAACATTGATATTAATTGGCTATTAATTTTATAATTACATATATTAAGAAATAAATATTAGTTTATGCCACTAAGTTATAAAATTTATTGGTGAAAGCTGTTGTTCAGATCACTAGAAGATTATCATCACAAATAAATTAAAAACCATCACTAATGTTGTACTCACATATAAAGCTCTGGGCCTTCTGGCTATGAATGAGTGATATGATAGTTGATCACTTTACTTTATGAAGATATACATTGTAATTAGATTTGATGAGATTTTTTTTCTATGTAAATAAATATATCTACAATTTATTATTTTAGTTTGAATTATAACAGCTAATATTACACTCATTCGAATTTTTTACCTTTTGGGATATTATGACTAGCTAGCTTTAGAAAACATATTTCATACATTGCATCTTCTCTACTAATTTAATTCTAGATATAATACAAAATATGTGTTGGCATTCAACTGAATTTACAGCTTGTCAAGGAACTATTAGATAAGATTTTGTGAAATAAAAATTAATTCCTTTTTTCTTTCCTTTAAAACAAGATTTGTTAGCCTAGTTAATACCACGCACGGCTAAGGTATTTGGTCATCTGTAGGGCTTGAGTAATTCTAAGATAAAACATGGAGTCGAATTCAAGCGAATATGTCATAATAAAACACTAAATTAAAGAAGAAAAATAACTCGCTCCACTAATTTAAATGAGAAACGTATGCAAAATAAAAACACTAATCAAAGGACACGAATGCAATAAAAACGAGAGATATCACAAGTCCATAACATTAAAACCACATAGTCATCCAATCCTCAAAATATAATAAAATTTATAAAAGTAACCAAAACGACGACAACATAAAATATTGTTATGAAAGCTGATTGCAACAGGAGAATTGAAAAACACAAATTATGGTTTGCTTGCTTGAACTTGAAAACCAAACTCTGAACTCTTGTAAAACCACATAATTAACGAAACCATGTGGTATCGTTAGGATTGGTGGCAGGGATCGTACTGCTTGGACTAGCAGCAGCGGAGGAATCACCAAGGGTTTGTTGATGATCATGCTGGTTGTCATCCATAAAGAGAAAACCCTTTTGCTCATCTGCATAGTTCAATGGTTGAGGATGGTTCACCATCTCCATAAACCACTGTTGTTGGTTCTGACCATAATTCTGGTTCAGACTTAAACTCAAACTTCGAGGTTGCTCATAGAGTCCAACATGTGGAGATGGTGAAGGATGACGAAACTGTTGTTGTTGCTGAAGAGGGTTTAAGAAAGCTGCAAATGATGAAGAGGAAGCACCTGCCTCATTAGTTGTGGTGGTTGGTGCGGCTGTAGAGGCCATGACTTCCATTGATCCATTCCTTTCGAAAGTAGCCGCGTCCGCACCAGCATTGGAAGACTCGCCGATCTCCATGCCAGAGCTCTGTAAAATCTCAAACCTGCGATTGATATCTTTGAGATATTGCTCAATTAAATAACCTAAATCATTAAGATCCATGATATTCATATGAAACATTCCCATGTTTCCGATTAGACACTGGAACATGACTTCGGTCATCTCTAGCTCCCGGTTGTCTTTCTTTTGCCTCTTCAAGTGTTCGTACGCTTTGGCAATCCTTTGTCTGAGAAAGGTTTCTTGGTCCACCATCTTCTTGTGTTGGTCCATTTCTGGAAGCGTCTTGAATTCTGAGACTATCCTTTGTACACCGGCATTTGATGGCCACACTTCGGGATTGGAATCGTACGGACTGTAAATGATGGCACATGCATTGATGCCACACAAAGTGGAGAGCTCATTCACTTTCTTCAGCAATCCTTTCCTTCTTTTCTTGAAAGTTGCTTTCCTCGAGGAATCGTTGGAAATGAAAGCAAGTTTCACTTTCTTTCTTGTCATCAAAACCTTTTCTTTGTTTCTTTCTTTTTTGTTTTGTGGTGTGTTTTTGTTTTGAGTTAATAGTTTGAGTGTGTTAGTTATATATATAGTAGTGATGAAGAGCCTAGTACAAGCATTTGTCTCTCGTAGAGACAGTCAAATATTTGATTACAGCTAGTCATAAAAATAAAATCAATAAGTGCAGCCAATAAAGCTGTATTATAGACTTCGAAAACGTATTGTTGAACAAAAGCAGATATTTGTGCATATTTGTGATAAATTCGTAAGATTTGTTTTCATAATTGGGTCAAAGATTCATTTTCAATACATATCTGGAATTACTTGTTTTATTGGATACTTTTGACTGTGGATTGTATGAATCTATCTAGGTATGTACACTATACATGCATGTTTGATAGATTGTTAAAGCATTTTAACATTTGACGAATGTGAAAATCTTTTTAAAAACATAATCCCGTTTATTTTCACAAGTATAAATCTATCATAGGTTGTTACCTTAAGCCATGCATTACCTTTGAATAATTGATAAATTGTAAAAAGTAAAAAATATTGAAGATACATATCCATTTTTTTTTTGTCCATAGGGACTAACACTTGATTATTCATGTATTTATAACAAAGTCCTACTCTATTCTGTATTTTGTAAAATAAGATTATTTTTAGATTAGAATGAAATTGTTTCTAAACTACAGTTGGAATTTACGAACGAGGATGTATTTTGTATCTTCTATAGTTCTACTTCTAGTTAGAGGACCTCTTAAACCAAACGAAACAAGAAAAAGCTCTAGTTAGACTCCTCTATACTTCTCTTTTAGTTACGTCATACGTTACTGATGATCAATGATTGTAAGGAAAAACTCATTAACGTAATAATGTAATCCTGTTAGCAAATATAATAATTAACTAAATCATGTGCATTGTGTGGTACGTATTAAACTTCTCTAATCAAAAAATTATACACCCAAACCGAAACGTGTATCTTGGTTATTTTAAAATAATAATTTGGGCTGTTAATTTAACGAGAAAGAAACCCCTAATTCGGCCTGTTAACCTTAAAATAATGATGTTTGAAGCCCAATCTGATTCTCGGCCCATAAGCAGTGGAACACGTCCGTCGACTCGTTTTCAATTTCGTTTCGTCTTGTTGCTCTTCCCGAGTCCGATCCTCGCCGGTGCCACAACAAATCTTCTTTCCCGGTGAAGAAGTTTACTCTTTTGATTTCCTCGTTCGGTTATAATATCGATCTTCAGGATTTGGTGGGAGAAAGTTTCATAATTTTGAAGGTATGTGTTCGGACTTTGTATTTTGGTTCCGGTTTGAGATAATTACTTCTTGTAAAATTGGAAGTTATGAGTATATTACGTTGCTTGGCACTTAGTTATACTGTGTTCACACTGAAGAATCGTTCTTGTAGATAGTTGTATTGCATCTTCAGATTGCACTTAGATTCTTTTGCTGTTTGATTTTGTGGAGTTTACTGTTCTAAGTTTGATACTCGATTTTTGCGTACCAGTTATTCGATTGAATGCCTGACAGAACTACTATCAGTTCGTTCATTTCCTATGTTTCCATGATATTTTATGATCTTAATGCTTAACTTTTCTAGTAAATCTTGTATACGACGTATTGCACATGAGACTTTTATACCTTCATTTTTAATTTGTTTTGTCTTCTGTAAGATTTGCCTCCTGAATGTCTTAATGTTATGGTCTGTAACCCATCTTTAGGCTTATAACAGGGTCAGGTTTCTTGAATCTGATTGAAGATTTTTGTTTATACAGGAGGGAGCCATGAAAGTCAAGATCTTGCGTATCCTTTTGTTGCTTCATCTTCTTAGCTATCTGTTGGAGAGTTTATTTTAGGCTGCGTTAGGTTGCAGGTTAAAGTAATAAGTCACCCCATACGGTGATCATCTAAAATATTAGTTAACATCTTTATTCTGTTTATTGTGTATTAGCTTTACAGTTCACAGCAGCTTGTTTGATGATTCATAACAACTTTGCATCTTCCATTGTTTTTTCATTCTGTCAATTGCTGCTGATGACTTCCTAGCCGTTATTATGAGGATCCTTGTGATCGGTGTAACTGATGCTCATAAACTAGACTAATTTTGTTAAACTTGCTGCATTGTTGGATTTGTTTGCACAAGTTAAATAAGAAATCGAAATTGTTGCTCTTGACTTTCTATGCTACTTACTGTCCTGCAAAAAACCCAGAGTAAGTTCCTCGTCCCTTATGTAATATTCTCTTTTTCAACCTCAGCTCCAACATATTAGCTCTTACAATACGGTGTTGCTTGTCTTTAGCTAAATGTTTTTCCTGTGAATAGATGGCATGCAGTTGCTTCATGGACATGGGATGCACAAGACGAAACATGTGGGATATGTCGGATGGCTTTTGATGGTTGTTGTCCTGATTGCAAACTTCCTGGAGATGATTGCCCTCTAAGTAACGTTCTCTGCTTTCATGTCTTCACTTTTATACATGTTGCTTCGGACACACACACACTCTCTCATGCTTAGTGAGAGAACAATGCTGCGCTGTTTTATTTACTTATGGTATAAGTAATAAAACACAAAACACAAAACTGCATGTCTTAGACCTTAATTGTTTTGGTGTTAGGGCAGTTTGGGGAGCTTGCAACCACACGTTTCATCTTCACTGTATATTGAAGTGGGTGAATTCACAGACGAGCCAAGCTCATTGCCCAATGTGCCGAAGAGAATGGCAGTTCAAAGAGTGAACAAATAATGAGGAGGATTAGTCTTAAGCTCACATCATGGTGGATGCTTTGGAATGATCTCTTGAAGCTGTACCTGGATCATTAGTCTTTGATTTTTTAACCCTTGCTCAAAGGCAAGTTAGATTTGATAATCTTTTTGGAGCTTTGTGTGAGCTCCATCATTTATGACTATGATGTGTTTGTTAGTGTAGTTAGTTATTCTGTGTCACATCGCATTTGAATTTGTTAATAATAATTCGCTGGATTCTTATTTTTTCATTAGTTTTATATAGTAAGAGTAGGGATATAAAAATTGAGTTATAACAACCGGTGGGTGAAGGATAGCGTAGTGTTTCTCGTGGGTATCGCTAATGGTGCCAAGTAATGGGGCCAATTTATTGGGTGATGCAATGATGCGTGTGGCCAATGGTATTTCTATAACGTTAGGTCTCACTGGTGGTCCAAACTCCAAGGCAACACAATTCCCAATCTTTTTTTTCAGATAAAAATACTCGAAATAAGCAAATTCTTCACACAAAAGTACAAAACCAACGGTCTCTTCTTTTCATAAAATATCAATACAACAAACATTATAAAACAATGCAAACGCAACACTGAAGATTGATTACTTAGCTAAAACATAAAACTCTGGTGAAAGAAACGATGAATCAGTCACAAAGAGAGGAGGAGAACACGACGAAACAGCTGTTCCTACAAACCAACAACAACAACAGTAAGTTAATGATGAGATAAGATTGTGAGAATTTTCTGACCCCAAGTACTAGATGATATTTATCTCTACAGTGCCTCTTTTGATTAAAAAAAAAACATGAGAGAGAGAGAGAGCTTACGAGAAGGGGATGGGAGGTAAATCATTTGGTAAGGACATAAATAGCGTATATGATCCCAGGAATATAGCCAAGCAGCGTCAAAACCAAACATATCCAAAACTCAACCTGCAACACAATATTATAAGGTTAATCAATAATAATACACTCAAACCTGCACAAAATATTAGTAGAATATAACAAAGTCTTGTTTAATTCTTAAAGAAAGAGAGATATAGATATAAAGATTACCCCGCAACCAAATCTGAGAAAGACTCCGAGAGGAGGCAAGAGGATTGCAATAATAATATCAACAAAAGTAGCTGTACTCATTTTTCTTTCAAGATTCTGCCAAGAAAATATATTATTAAACCTTCAAATTATATGTGTTTTCTTCTTCTTCTTCTTTGTTACTCTCTTCTCCTCACACTATTTATACATATATATAGACACCAACTTTTGAGATATTTTCTAGCCACGTATTGCTTTCCTTTTTTATTTTTATTACTTTCCTTTATCTTTAAGCTAACTACGGAATTTGTTTTTTTCTTTTGACTATCTATACAAACCAATTAAAGGGATATTATTTTGGGGGCAAACTTGGCATAATGGAAGATAAGTTCCTAATCTTTCGTAATCACTACTAATTAGCTACCCACAAAGAGCATCCATAACATAACGTGTTGAAAGAGTGTAAGGATAAATTGCATCTTTTATAATTATTTTAAGTTATTACTTCTTCTTACGTGTGCTATCGATCTTTGCCACATCAGTCTTTCTTTGCGCGTCACGGTCAGTACGTGTGTTACCGACGAGAATAAATGTATTTATCAATTTTAACACTTTGATGATCTAATAAGAGTCAACTTCTTATTATATATAAACATCAACGGCCGACTACAATATATATATTCTCGAATGTTTAAACTTTACCATTAGTCAATAATTCACATTTATTTGGATAACCAAACTAATCCAAACCAAAAAATCCGATCCAGTTACTCTCCGGATGAACGTTAGCTAGCTGTTATGGGGTTCACTAACCGAATCTTTTCATAGTGGATATAGTAAAGCGTAACATTGACACCATACCATATCTTTTACCATCCGACCACACACAATATGTTGCAAATTTTTTTTTTTTAATATACCATTACACTTCCAAATAGCATACCCCCTGCCACTGCAATCATATATAAGATGTTACCAGCAAAGTAGATGCTGAATTGTTGATAAATCGTCGTCATATTGACATAATATTTGGGTAACCAAAGGAAAAAAGATGAATATATGTAAATATAAGGTTTTGGTATCATGCATATATAATACTCGTTGTTTGTCTCCTAACCATTTTTTGCTTTGTAAGATTGTATCCCTCGTCCCCGATCAAAGTACTCAAATATAGATAGTCGACTTAACAGAAAAACTTTATACATGTACTAGAACTCTTCAAACCCGAATAGATACATTTAAGTGTTAAAAGTCGATTCAACTTAATCACGTTAAGTATTAGATGAAAAAAACGTGTACGTATATCAAAATTTGGTTACTAGCTAACAACAACCGGTGGGGATGATTCTTTTGTATTGCTCCCATGGACCACGTGACTTTTTAACTTGTGGTGCAAATTTGTTGGTTATGATGACGAGACATACGGATGTAATATAATTGTTAGGTTTTTAAATTTTGAATGGTGGTCCAAAAATCCAAACCTGCTCGATCGTTGCAACATTTTATCCAATCATATAAAACGTAGTAATCAAGTTCCTCACATAAACCAACGATTTCTTCTTCATATATCAGTAGAAATTATACAATAATGCAAATACAACAACAATACTTAATAATTTACTCATAACATAAAATAATTGAAGAATCAGTCCCAACGAGAGAGAACACGACGAAACAGCTGTTCCTCCCTACACACAATAACAACAGCAATTGCAAAGTTAAACTCTGGTCTGAAAATTTCCTTGTACTAAATAAAAATGATGATAGAACGTATTTTCGATAATATTGGGGGTGGGGGGATGATACAAAGTGAATAGTTATACCAGTAATCTAACAAACTTCTTAATTATCATGGGTGAGGTTAGTATTCGTCATAAGCTTAAAAATTGGTTCACCTAACATTTATATACATGATTTATTTGTAAGAAACCTATCCAAAACTCAACATATATCAAGCGAGAGAGAAAACTTACTAGGAAACAGAGGGGAGAGATGAAACCTCTCTACTTGGTGATGATGTAAAGAGCGTAGAGGATCCCGGGAAGATAACCAAACAGCGTCAAAATCAAACAAATCCAAAACTCAACCTGCAAGAAGCATAAACAAATTGTCAGAATAATGATCTAAATAATTCGAGTAACAATTATAAGATGAAAGGATCACTATCTCTTGAATGAAAAGAAGTAGTAAAAAAAGACTTTGAAGAGAAATCAAAGTAGGCGTAGTATGTACCTTGCAACCAAATTTGAGAAAGACGCCGAGAGGAGGCAAGAGGATAGCCAGAAGGATCTCGACGAAGGTGGCTGTACTCATCTTCAAGCTCTTGAAATTGAATTGATAAGAAAATATCTAAATGCCTTTTATCTCTTTGATGATTTTGGACTCTTTACTCTCTCTCTCTCTCCCTGATACGTCTCGCTGTATATAAATAGACCCGTGTACTTTAGAAAGAACCCCAAGCCACGTGGTGCTTACTCTGTAATTTTCTCTTTTTAAAACTTGTTTTTAGGAAACCTCATTGTGATTTTATTTATTTTTCCTTCTCTTCTTGGGCAATATGAGGTATGTAAGAACTGACTTAAACAAATTAACTCAATAATAATTTAATATATTGATAACTAATTTTAAAATTATGACGACAAAAAAAAACTAATTTTAAAATTATAATTTTTCAAAAAAATCTATTTTCTTATTGTTTTTTTTTTTTTTGTCAAATTGTTTAAAGACGCAGCTTCCAAATAAAGTATTTTTATTTTTTGGGGGAATAGTGGATTTTATTTATTTATGTACTGGAGTGGTGGCTCGAGTTCCATTTAAAAAACACATTCAAATTATACAAAAGTGTATAAAATCAATATTGAAACGAAGATTTATACAAAACTGTAGTTTCTTGATTTCTTCGGATTTTTTTATTTGTTGATAGAAGTTCCGTAAAACAGAGAAATGTTTCATTTCAAGATTAAGACCAGAAGGTTGAAAGCTTAGATTTGACTATAATTCATGGTACTTGTCAGGTGTCAGAAAGTTAAGCGGTTTAACATAGAAGGTACACGTAGCACAACACATTAGATGTATGCAAACCCTAATAATATTATCAAAGTTTCTGTAAACCCATGCAATACTGTGTTGTCGGAATACGAATGTGGGCCGGGACAATCTCCGGCGTGGAGGTCGGCGATAGGCATGGATATATATAATATTATAAGTCTCTCACAACTTTCTACTAACAGGCTTACGACACGTCATCCACTCACATGCCTTCAGGCCTGTCAACGCATATCCCGGCCGTCCTCTCACGTGTCGAACCCATTCTCCAAACTCCATAGAACATGGCCATTTATGGACTTTATGCTCTCAGTTGCTTTACACTCCTTTAATTTGGGATGTTTCATTTCTCAGTTCGTATTCACTGTATTGGTATCAATGCATGTATGCAATTATTATAAGGCTGGGTATTCACATATTAGTTAAGATGCAATATAGATTGGTAGGCCTGCGTTTCAATAACCTACATTTTTGATTGGACTCTTTTATTATTTACTAGAAATACATTACACAGAATACAATTTATACAAACATTAAGCCAAACCATACGTTATAGCCTATATTTTCGTAAGAAAATTAACTGTATCGAACTTCGAATTTGTTTTGTTTTCATCTGGACTTCAGTTTTTCTAGAGAAACCTAGTGTAAATAGACTACTCGACTATTATATTAGCATCGATGACAACAAAGCTTTAGCTGTCAAGAAGAATAACCTTTGGAGTAAAGCAAAAAAGCTGTAAAATAGTGACATTTTAGAAAGATGGTTAAGTGACTAAGTGTGAATCATGCTACTCTGGCTTCGTCTCTCTGTCCAGCATCGATAGCATATGTTCTTGCTTCCTAAAAGTTGCTTTCGTGACACTCGTTGATTAAAAATGACCACCACTATTAATTTTTATTTAATATATACTTATTAATTTATTTTATTTAGTTAAAATACTCATGGCCGACACCAACGCATAAACTGTGGCATTGAATTGACACCACGAAAATATTAATAAATTTTTACTTTATTTATATGATGTCCTAATCAAAGTTGTAATGTCCTTTTTGATTTGTTATGAAATAAGTGGTATAATGTCTTTGATGATTTAGACCATTTGTTCTTATCCTTTCGAATTGGTCGATTCTCCTAATGCCAAACTCGACTTTAATATCTTGAATTTTGTTTAGTTTCTTCTTTCTTTGTTTTGTCGTTCAAATTCTCTGGTATTGAAATATTGTTGACTTAACACACATTGCAAAAAAAAAAAAAAACCTCTGCCGACATTGGTCTTGGCATTTGGGCCTTGGGAAGAAAAATAATAAAAGATCTTAGCATTTGGTTTCGTATCAAATTTTGGGATTAATGTGAGCCCATTAAGAGCCCAAATTTTATAAAGGATCACTGAAAGCCTGAAACGGGGTTATTCTTAATCATAACGGAGCGTGCAATTGACATGAACCGGATTCTGATTTTCCCTCCAAAAAAACAAAACTCATGGAAGCATCTTCTCCACTCACTCACCGCCAATTCCACCGCCGTGGACGTCAATTCTCGCCTCCATCCCACTTGAAAGCATTGGATCGGAAGTTATGTCTTTGTGGGATGATGCATTGTGCAGAGAAGGTGTTTGATGAAAGTCCGCAGAGAAAACTACAAGCTTACTAATTTATTTGACTCTGAGATTTCAGAATGACTTATTCATGGAACGTGATGCTGATGAATGATTACCTTAAAGAAATTTCCAACACACATCCATAAAACAAAGGCAAATCTTTGTATGTTTACAGATATAAGTTATAAACCACACAAAGCCATAAAACAAAAGAAAAAAGAATGTTCTTTTTTTTTTCCCCACACGAAGCAAAACCAACAAATTAAATAGAAGTACCTGAAAACTTTAAGGAACCCATTAATCCTTTTTATCACTTGACTTTTATTTCTTCTTTGGCTTCTTCAGTTGTGATAGTCTTAGAGCTTGGAGATTTTCCAATGATTGCTTTCTTTGCTTTGACAAGAGATTGCTTCACCTTTGATATAATGCTGTTTGAATGTTTTTGCTTAACAGGAACTTCTTTGGCTGTGACTTCTGCTTGCTGTTTCGCCTCATCGCTCTCTTTGACAGGAAGTGCTGTTTCTACAACTTCTGCTTCTTTTTCTGTGATTGTTTCCTCTTGTTTGGTTGCTGCAGTTTCTTTCTCTCCTGATTCTGTATCGGTTTCTTTCAAATTCTCTTCGCTTTTGACAACTGCAACAGGTGGTTCAGGGTCTTTTGTGATGTTCTCACCTTCTGTAGCTAGTTTAGTGAAGACATCCTCGGCTTCACTTACAGTCTCTTGTTCATCCTTTGATATTTCTTCCACTACATGCTTCACTTCGGTAATGGCATTCTCAATGACATCAGCAGGAGAAGAAACGTCTCCTTCAGTCTCCTTTTTCGGGTATGTGTCTGAATCTTGGTTTGTGGGTACGGCTACCTCAGGGAACAAAGCGGAACCAGATTCAGAAGGTTTTTCATCCTTTGATGGTTCATCTACTACATGCTTTTCTTCAGTTATGGCCTTCTCTATGATATCAGCAGGGGAAGAAGCGTCTCCTTCAGTCTTCTCTTTGGAGTGTGTGTCTGAATCTTTCTCAAGGCCTAAAACAGAACCAAGCTCAGAAGCTGTTGCATCCTTTGATGGTTCATCCACTTCATGCTTCTCTTCAGTTATGGCCTTCTCAATGATATCAGCAGGAGAAGAAGCGCCTCCTTCAGTCTCCTCTTTTGGGTTTGTGTCTGATTCTTGGTTTGAGGGTACAACTTTCTCCAAGCACAAAGCAGCACCAGGTTCAGAAATGTTTTCATCCACCACATGTTTCTCTTCTGTAATGGCCTTCTCAATGACGTCAACATGAGAAGAAGCATCTCCTTCAGCTTCATCTTTAGGGCCAATGTCTGATTCTTGGTTTGTCGTTGGTACAATTTCTTCAGGGCACAAAGCAGCATCAGATTCAGACTTTTTTTCATCTTTTGATGGTTCATCCGCTACATGCTTCTCTTCTGTAACGGCCTTCTCAATGACAGCAGCAGCGTCTCCTTCAATATCCTTTTTAGGGTCAGTGTCTGATTCTTGGTTTGTTGATACAGTTTCCTTAGGACACAAAAGAGAATCAGATTCAGAAGTCTTTTCATCCTTGAAGTTGATACCAGAGTCTTTGGCCTCAACAGTAACATCCTCCAGCTTTGCCTCAAGCTCAACCTTAGCTTGTTCTGTTGTTTCATATGTATCCTCTGCCTTTACTACTTCAGCTTCTGGTGCCAATTCCTTTACTTCCTCAGGCTGAGTCTCAACTTTTTTGGAAGCCTCTGGCTTTGGCTCGTTTTCAGGAGCCTCCACATCTTTGATTTTCTCTTCTGCAGTCTCTGCAGATACGTCTCTAACAGATTGAACATCAATTGGTTCCACCTGTTTGCCTCCAGCTTCATCTGTTGATTCAGACACATCAGCAATCGTCGTCTCCTCCTTATCCTTATCTTCTTCTTTAACAACACTCTCCACGGTTGGCTTCTCTTCTGCTTTCTCCTCATCACCAGCTTCGACATTAACTTCTGCAACACCCTCTTTCACAAGGATTGGTTCTGTAAGTTCAACTTGTTCAGCTCCCCTCCCACCATTTGCATGTTTCTCTGTCTCTGTAGATTCCTCTGCTTTCACAACTGCTTCAACTTCTTCCACCACTGCAAAAGATACTTTCTCTGGCTCAACCTTATGAGTTTGATCAATCACCTCTTCTTTAATAACCACTGTGTTTGAATCCAATGTCGGTTTATCAGTCACCACATCCACAGAATCCGACGACCCAATCTCTTTCTCCATCAACTTAGCTTCCTCGTTCACCTTGTTCTCCAATGGCTGCAGCAGGTAAAAGTAAAACTCTCTTATAAGTCTCTATAACACAAACCTTTGTTCTTACATAGAAAAAATTGATTCGTTTATACATGTAACTAGGAGAATCATACTTTGAAACGTAAGAAGAGTTTTCTAGAAAAAAAGAGAGAAGAAAATGGTTTCTTTTAACATCCATGTGCTTGTATGACCTACAACTTTCCAAAAAGTTCCAACGTTTTTTTACTTCTAATAATTGCTCCAGCAAAAAAAGATTGTGTGTAAAAACATCCAAGTATATTCGAGTCTGCCTCAGTGAAAACATATAGATCTTACGAGAATCAAAACATGATGAAGAAATCTATTTATCAACCTCAAAAGCAACACACATATAGGTACATGTATATATACATACAGACAGACATGAGCGTAATAAGCATATATGATAAGTCTCAGGAACAGAGTAATAATTCTGAGTTAGTTTACCTTTGCAGGAGTAGTTGCAGTTGGAGTGTGAGAATCAGAAGCCATGGAAGAAGATTCAGGCGGCAGGAAAAAAGTAATGGACAGGGTTCAACTTCAGAAAATCAGATTTTTATTCCAGAGTAGTTGAAGAAGTTAGTTTTTTGACTGGGAGAAACTGGAAGCAAATGATAGGTGGAATAAAACCACTCACACATATACACACACAAAGTGGGGAACACTAGATAGCTGTCACTCACACACCCAGAAAAACAGGGTGTCAAGTTGTCAACACACTCTGTATATTCTTACTCTTTTCACTTTCTCTATCCCTTTACTATTTTATTGTTATTCTTATCCATTATCTGCTTTTGTTGAATACTTGATGATGTTATATAAAATAATTAGATAGCCTGATATTTTTGGGACCAATCTTGACATTTTTAAGTATATTAGATCAACTACTTGCATTGCAAAGAGAGAAAAATAACAGAAGAAAGAGCCTTTTCTCTGTGATTACATTTAAGCGCTTTTTAAGCAAGCTTTGTTTTGGTTTTTATTATGGTTTCCATAACACAATCAATTATATACCAATGAGGCATTGGCACTACCAAGGGTACAAGATCTTTCCTTTTGAAAGAAAGAAACTCTCTAAGGTATGTGTATATGTGATGATAATAAAGATAAGAATCAATCAATCATCTGAACACCAAGTTGTGGCAACTCTTGTCACACGGGTAAGGGCAATCGACTAACTTCACTTCCGCTCTATCGAAATACCAATCTCCAACGGCTATTGCCACAGCCTACATACCATAGACGAAAGTCAAGAACAGATTTTACAAGAGCCTTTGCTTGTAAGTTACATTGTTTGTGTGGGAAAGATTTGAGTGAAAACTTACCTTTTTCCTGATGACAGGAGAATCATCAGCAAACCAAGTATCTTGCCTCTCTGTTTGACAGTGAGCAAAACAAGAGTTGATGAACAATCCATTCTGTCTAGACATTGAGAAACCCCTGACTACTCTTAGCATCTGATCCCTGAATGCTGTTCTCAAACAAAAAAAAAAAAAAAGAAGATGAAACAGTTAAAGTGATACACAACGCTTTAAAATGAGAAGTCCACAAGTGTTTATGATCTATAGAACAACCTTGCAAGAATCGCAGTTGTGCAGGAGTACATTTGCCATGGTTTAGTCTGCAGTCATGCCAGAATCCACTAGGATCCGCTGACGTTGGAGCTATGCTGCTTTGAATCTGATTAGAAGCCATTACATAGACTTGTCAGCTTTACACAGGAGAAGTTTTTGTGTTTCAGAAGAGGAAAAGAAGATAACCTGCCATGTATCATATGCTGCGTTGACAATAAAAAGTGGAGTTTTCATCTGACTGATCAAGTTTTGTGGGAAGAAACACTGTACAGAAAGATGAGTTATCAATTACAAGACTTAATTGAATGGACTGTTTACGGTTTTTAACAGCATCAGGATGAGAGAACAAGAAAAAAGATTACCGAGGTTGGATCGAGATGGTTTGTGCATATGCGTGGCAAGTTGTTCTTCACACTCTGTAAATGGTAAAACGAATTTGTCAAGAGGATTTCTAAAGTTTCTTGTGCTCTCTAAATATAAAGTAAGAAGCCTTTAGGCTACTTGAAGATGTATAAGTTTTTAAGTGAAGAGAATCGAATCTCACCTGCAATTCTACTACACCATTGTATAAGTTCCTGATTGTGCGGCCGCCTGAAACATCAGCCCTATGATTACAGAAACAAAGAAGAAGTCAATAGCAAGGGGAAATGAAGTAGCTATAATACAATCTTTTGAGTTGGGATAAGTAAACTAACGTGTCCAAGAACAAGCCTGCATCACTCAAGCACTTGACTTTGGTTGATCCAGGGAACATGTTCCTAAACTCATCACAGCGCAAAATGGCTGCTAAACCACCAGCAGAGCATCCAGAGAGAAGTGCCTGACAGAATATAAGCAGTTAACACCATTCGTGCCCTTCAGCCTACGGTATTGATGAGATTGAGTCTCTTTAAAATTTAAAAGTGTCAAAAACCTGTTTGGCATATCGCATTCCTTTAGCCTTCAAATCATCTATTCCGGCTCTCCAGATACGCTCTCCTCTAAACTGAAGCTGTGCAGCCTGGAAAAAAGTTAAGATACGGAGTTCTATTTTCATTAGTTCAAAGATGTTAACACACAGCCATAAGCTGTTCAAATCTACAGAACTAAGATCAAACCAAGCATTGTCCATGGCTAATAATAACATCCAAGAAGATTATAAACTGCAGATTTCCAAAGGCCTAGAAACTAGCAAGTTGTTCCATAGAACATTTAACGGGTCAGTGAAAGATTCTGATTCGAACCTGATTCTGACCATCTCCACTGAAAGAAGCGCCATCGCAGTAACGAAGCTTAACTCTATTCCAGTTGAAGAAGTCTACAGAAGAAAAGCACATGACAATGAGAATCAATGATTTTCAAAACTAGCGACATGAATAAAACTTAAACAAAGATGGAGATGAAACCAGGATTTTCTTGAGCTTTATCACTCAGGATTCCTGTAAACTGAAGCTGCTTCTCCATATAATTGGAGGAACCACGTCGAGTCTTCTTTCGGTATACACAGGTTCTGATGTTATTGCACCATCCTCCTCCCTGTTTCAAGAACATTAACTATTAACAAATAAGACTTAAATTGAAGTTTCACATCTTGAAAAAACCATTCAGTAAACCTCCAATTGAATGAGCCAGCTATTAGCTCCAGATCCATGTCCACGGTGCAAGTGATATCCAGGCAAAGTTCCATCCAAACAAACTGTGAACAAAAACACACAGACATGTAAACAGAACTTGATTCAAACATTCTTTATGTTTTTTCTACTGATGCCTTCCAACATAACATACACTGCTTTTAACTATGTGCATATGAACACTGTAAACTAAAGATATAACATATAAATTGCATGGAAGATAATTATATATACATGTGTAAGCAATAAAACAGGAAATACCAAGGTAAGCTTGAATAATACATAAACAATAAACGTAAAAGAAGAAGAAATAAAAAAAACAAGTTAAATCTGGAAAGGGACAATATAGAAGCAAGATGAGAAGAAGAGTGTAGTTGAAGTGAACAATAAATGAAGAAAGCAAAAGAAACCAGTTTTGTACCCTATTCTATACTTTTGCCATCTGAAAAAAGAAAACTCATAAAAGTAAAAACAAAAGAGAGAGAGAGAGAGAGAGAGAGAGAGAGAGAGAGAGAGAGAGAGAGAGAGACATGTAGAGATCTAGTGACAGAAGCAGAGAGAAGAAAGAGAAAGTACCAGCTCCAGAATCAGCCCCTCTGATAAGGGTGAGACCAACCATTAAAGGGTTCAAATTGGAGCTATATTTAGAGAATCCAAACTCTAACTCCTCAATGCGATCTATTTCAGTCACATTGAAATCTAAGTATTCATTAGCTTGAGTTCCCAGTATTATCCCAGCCACAACAAACCCTACTAGAAAAAGCTTCTCCATTCTCACTCACTTCCCTTCTCTTACTAGAAGAGAAGAGTGAAAGCAAAAAAAGAAAAGAAACAGATCTCTAACAGTGGAGAGAGTCGAAGAAGAAGAAAGGAACAAACTTTTGTAGAAGAAACGAACAGTATGACTCAAATAAAGAATCGATCTTTGTAAAAAAAGAATGGGCTTTACTGAGCTAAGAAACAAAATAAAGAGAAATAAACGAAGCAGAAGCAGAGAGTAGTGTGAAGATGGAATTATTTATAAAAACAAAATGATTTTCTTAAAAAAGGTTTCATGGCTGGATTCACGGTTGGAGTTTTATTTAAATTAAAATAATAAAAACTAAATCAAAGAAACTCTCTTCTCTTATATGACAAAGACAGAGACCATCTTCTTTTTTTTTGGTTTGGTTTTAGGTAGTGCAAGTAAATAGATCTTAGTTCACACTTAAAAACGCTCAGCATCATCATTCCATTCATCAAATAAAAGAAGAGGATAGCAAGCAATGACGACAAAAACAGATATAATTAAGCACATGGAGCTTGGAGTATATGGGTCCATTGGATTTGATTTCTTATTGGCTCTCTAGCCTTTTGATATTTCCATCTCTATAATAACATCATCAAAATAAACTTTAAAATTCATGGACTCTTTGGTTTCTATTTATTAATTTAGTTAAAATATCAAGAATTCATTTTACTTTGAACGGACGTTGACGTCATGGTGACTTGCATAACAAACCCTTGTGACTTAAGAGTTATGATCACCTCTCATCACAACTCTGCTTTCCACTTCGGTGCAGCATAATAAACATACGTGTCAAAGAAACAAGTGCTGATGATAATATATATGTAATGGGAAGTTGGGGAAAATCATACTGGATGGGATATACCCTTTGAGAGAAGCAAAAAAACACACACACATTGATATTTACGATAGCGATGATTCTTATGTAACGTTTACGACACCTATACTACTAGATTTATACCATTTCAGTTTAAAACATTCTCTTGATAATTTTTGGAACACGATGTAACTGTTTTGATTTATTTCGAAGCAATCATCAATTAAGACCAAATGCTAGTTTTAAGGAGCTTCTTACTTTAGGTTTTTACTAATTGAAGTAGTTTCATCTAAGTTTTTGTTTGTATTTCATGCTTATATTACTGATTGAATATGTTTTCAACAAAAAAAAAAACAACCCTAAAATTTAGATTATAATACTATCTCATTAAAAGGAGAGATACTAGTTGGAGCAATGCAACAAAGAAAATAAGAGAGCAGAAAGAAGAAAAAAAGTGTGCGTGGAAGGACGAGAAAATATGGTCTTGGTCTCTCATGCACATCACCACATGTTGATCTTACGCCGCGGTCGTCCACTTGCTTCTGTTTCTACATTTTTTTGTTTTTGCACAGAAGTCCCTGCTTTTTTCTTTGGTTTTCCATAACACCCCCAATTGTTTCCATTGTCTATTTCGTGGATCTGAATAAGTTTAATGGGCTCAATGACTATAATGGGCCTGACTGCTACGACTTAATAATATATAATTTAATGGGCCTGAAAATTTTAGTTCATGGCCTCAACTTCCGTACCTCCTTTTGTTTTTTTTTGCTTGTTTGATGGATCACTTTCTCTGTAGTTCCAAAAAGATTCATGCCGTGGAATGCAAAAGCTCCTCTCTCTTCCCCTTTCATTGTTACTTACTTACTTTCCACTACTTGTTCCATAGACCATAGCCAAGATCACCTGTCAGTTTGTAATCTTTATGGTTTCATATCATACTTTAACATTGATCACTTCACCGGCTTGTGGCCATGAGCATTTAAATGACCAGAAAATTTCTAGTACACCGCTTTAAACTTGATATATGAATTTTAAATCTTACTTGTCACTACTGAAAACAATCTTATATAGCACGTTCGTGCCAAAGAATCTACTAGTTTAAAACAGGGGAGGGAGAAACAAACGGAGATTTATATTTGAGAAATAAAAAGCATAATAACATACGATAAATTAGTCTTGGCTAAATATAGGTTTCAGACTTGACATGAAGGTTATGGTATAAAATTCAGGACTCAGAGAATGGTGCAGCCGCTTCCACTTTCATATGTAGTAACAGACACAACATCACAGCTGTTGCAGTAAGGTGGCTTGCATACGTGCTTTGGTGGTTCAGGTGCTGCTGGAGGCTTTGGTTTCTCAGGCACTGGAGGCTTTGGTGGCTCAGGAGGCTTCGATGGTGGTCCAACGCTGATGATTACAGGTTTCTGTTTAATCTTCTTCAACCTTGATGCAATACAGACCGGATCCATTGTACCCACAACTGTAAGTACGCTTTTCCCTTCATCTAATGAAACATGATTCACACCTGCACCAACGACATATCTCATATATGTTCAGTAAGATATGTTAAAGAGCACAAATTTCTTAAGACTTTTTTGTTCATTATTACCTTCTATGTCCGTGGCTGCCTCCATGATTGCGCTGTTGCATTTCCCACAGTTTATATCCACCTTGATCTCAACCTTCTGCTCAAAATCAAAAAAAAAAAAAAAATGGAAATCATTTGATGGTCGGATTAGATAAAACTAGTACTAGCTAGGATATGTTTACCTTGACAGTCATGATGGATTAGCCAAGAAAGAGAAAAATGGATTAGGGGAATGAAGAAGGAAGATATATGAAGGTATGTGACAAGAGATAATGACAGACTGGAATAATGTTGAAGCAGTTGGAGTTGTGTTTGGTCAGTATTAATAATTAAGTAATCAAGAGATTACAGTATCTACGTGCTTAGATGCATGTGTTTTATATAATTGAATAGAGGTTTTTGGGAATTTGCTTAGTTGGTACTCAGCCACCATCTTGTGGACTTACTTGGGACATTATTGAGGAGGGAATTTGTTTAGTCCTCAAAAATTTATAAATATATATATTTTGTCCCATATTCTATATAAGTTGTACTTGCTTGACCCCAAAATGTTTCTTTTAATTTATTCATACCTTATGATCATGCAAATGCATGGATAGAGAAACCTTGATCTTGGTTCACCTCTAGCCGGTTTAAGGTTTTGGTTTTATTTGGGAGGAAATTGAACCGTACCTACCTAGTTTGGTTATCACTTATCACTTGTCAATTAAGAAAGGTTTGGATTCAATTTAACCAAACATGCCTCTTTGAGTTCTGACCAAGAAACAACCAACATCATCAATGATTTCGAGTTTGGTGATTATTAGAGTTCGAAGGTGTGTTTTGTTATCCTATAAAACTATAGGCTAATTAATGTCTCCAACAAACGAAAACCCTTTTTAAACACCAAATTTATACCAACGATCAGAACACCTAAACCTAATTATGGCAGAAAATTTAAAATTAACAAACCTATGGCCCTCTCCATATTTATCTCTTCTCCATTGGTTTCTTCACTGGTTTAAATCTTCTTTACATAGATGTATAAATTGAGAAACAAGGTCAAAGGGTTTTCTCAACTTCATCAATAAACATTCCACATAACAACGATCAACAAAACAATAATGGCAACTTCAATGATCCATGTTTTAGCCACCTTCATGCTCGTGGCCGCACACACGGCCATCGCCGATACAAATATGCTTCAAGATTTTTGTGTTGCTGATCTCTCCAACGGTATCACATCTCTCTGTCTCTTTTGATATGACATTTGTATTCTGTTTGCACTTACATTCAGTTTTTCTCTTTTGATATGACATTTGTATTCTGTTTGCACTTACATTCAGTTTTTGAAAAAAACGTAAAACTGAACATTTATCATGTTCTGATTAGGTGTGAAAGTCAACGGATACCCTTGCAAAGACCCAACAAAAGTAACACCAGAGGATTTCTACTTCATAGGCTTAGCCAATGCTGCAGCTACAGCTAACAGCTCAATGGGTTCAGCTGTTACAGGAGCCAACGTCGAGAAAGTGCCTGGCCTCAACACTCTCGGAGTCTCCATCTCTCGAATCGACTACGCACCTGGAGGACTCAACCCGCCCCATCTTCACCCAAGAGCTTCTGAAGCCATCTTCGTCCTTGAAGGCCGTCTCTTCGTCGGTTTCTTAACCACTACCGGGAAACTCATCTCTAAATACGTCAACAAAGGAGACGTTTTTGTCTTCCCCAAAGCTCTCCTCCATTTCCAGCAGAACCCTAACAAGGCTCCTGCTTCCGTCATCGCTGCTTTCGATAGTCAGCTTCCCGGGACTCAAGTCGTTGGACCGTCTCTGTTCGGTGCTAACCCTCCTATTCCTGATGAACTACTTGCCAAGGCATTCGGGGTTGGAGCACCAGATATTCAGAAGATTAAGGGCAAATTCCCACCCAAGAAATAAATAGGTTTCAGACCACAGCAGTAATGTAATAATGATACAATGATGAACATAATAATTGTAAACTTGTAAGCAAAGCAAAAAAAACTTGTAACTTTTCTTCTTCTTCTTTTTTTCCAATTGTTGTAGATACTCTTTTGACTATATTTGGTCCATTGATTAAATTGAGACCAGTTTTCAACGAGTAGACTTCTCATAACCAATCTCTAGAGTCAAAAATTCTTTAAACAATCGACATACCTTACTGCAAGAATCTCGGGGTCCTCTGTTTTGCTTTCTGTGCAGTAGACTCAATGGTTGAACTTTCAGCTGAGTTTACAAACAAGGATAGAGAGGCATGCTACAACTCTGAAAACAATCTCAACCATAGCAAATAACTATCCAAGAACCTTGTTGAGAATCACTCTGTGCTTCTAACCAGTTCCAATACACAAATGCTTATTGGGGATTACCATTTGCAAAACTCAATAATCATAACTACCACAAGGGGTTTGCGGTTTCAGAGAGATACTTGAATCCAAAGATCAATTGCTAAACCACAACTTACATAAAAGGGTATAAAAGCAACAGATAGACTAATGATCTGCAACATTAAACTTTTCATAAGATTTCAAAGCAGAGGTGATGTGTAAAACGTAACAATCACTTGACAAAGATAAACTTGGCTAAACTAGTCAGATATTTAACTCATGGAAACAGATATCAGAGATTCAATTAATGCTCAATTCCCTGATCTTACAAATAGTCTTTATCAGAGAGACATAGAGAATTATCATCTGGAACATTGAAGTGAGACAAAGAAGGACCCACAGGTCACATAAGAGGATATACAATATTGAATCTTGTGGGTATTGTAGTATTGATGAATTTTGGAAGAAGATCTATACAGATTGATGATACAGTAAATGAAATCTCTGAAGTACAGTATATGAACTTACAAAGAGAGATGTGGATTACAGTCCTTGGAGAAGAAATCATTGGTCTGTAGCAGAACCCTGAGCGTAGTAAAGTTCTCATCTTTATGGTCAGGATTGGAAGAAGATGACCACTCCAACGTTTTGGTATTGGAACCACAAAAGCAGACTTTTTTCCAAAACCCAGAAGGAGGAGACGAAAAGGATTTCCTTGTGATCTTAGATACGATTCGTTTTTTAGCTTTTGAGACGGAAGGAATCAAAAATCGATTCCCTTTAGCTTCATCTTCCTCTTTCTCCTTCTTGTTGCTGTTGTTGTTATCATTACCGCTCTCGTTCTGTTCATTGTCTTCTTCTGCAACCGCTGGGTGACTCACAGGCATTAACCAGACGACGTTTTTTTTTCTTTTTTTTTTTCTAAAAATTAGAGGATCAAACAGAGATCTATCATTACAATAACGAACAGTGACAGAGGCGTGGTTTCATTCTTCTTACTTGCTACGGTCTCCTTCACGCTTTATGTTTCCAAACCTCGCTGGCTCTTTGTCACTCTCAAATCACAATTAACATTGCTCATTACCTAATTAAATAATTATCGCCGTCTCGGCTGTATATATTCAACTTATTGCTGTTTTAGTCCTTCCTCGGTAATACAAACGTCAATCCTCAAATCTATCTGCCTTTAGCCCTTTGCCAACTTAATATTACTATCAAACATTGTTTTCAAAAAAGAAAAAAATATTACTATCAATTTATAAACCTTGAGAACACTATTCATATCATTGTCTCTCTCTACTTATGTGATTCATTGCATTTTCTTGCACAAAGTTAGTTAGTTCGAATGGGGGTATTTTAGGAGGATAAAATACCCCCATTTTTTCAAAGAAAATATCTTATATAAAGATTTTCTTTGAAAAAGTGGGGATAATCGAGGATGGCCCTAACATTTTGCAAATTGCAACGAGGAGAAGTTAGTTGGTATTTTTGTACTGACATGCTTCGAGTATCTCTTTCATTCACCCTTTGTTTATTATCTGACCAAGTCTCATCTTTATTTTATTCATTTCTTTATGCATAAAAAGGTAAAAGTGGTTGTCACAAATCATCATATCCTGTTTTTTTTTTTTGGTTAGGTTCGAATCTTGTGTAAAGTTCAAGTGTCTTTTATGATAGCAAATCATCTACTCAAAAAAAGGAAATAAAACCAACTTAACTTGAAAGCAGTCCACAGCTTGCTCTGAACTATGAAAACGAACAAATCTTGAACTCTGTTCTTATTACACCCAAGTCGAAATCATGGTAATTTACAAGAACATGAACATCGTATGTATTATGTAATGTTATCATTCGGTTTTACATATTTATGTTTTTTTTTTGGTTTTAATGTGAAGAACACATTTATGTTGCAAATCTTGTTCTAGTAATCAGACAACATGTCTTTTCTCTAACAGTCTAACGGAACCCACCTCTTGAATTCAGCAGAACAGGGAAACCCCAATGAGAAGAGAAAACAAGGTTAGGATGCAAACCTTCTCTATTCATCTGGTTTGTGAAACGCACATAGATGTTAAAGATCCTTCTGGGCAAAGCTAACGCCTTAAGAACCAGCTTCCTTGATCGGTTTAGTCTAAACCCTTTTGCTCGAATCTCGTTCTTCTTCCCCAAGTACTGTCTTTTACCTGACCTTGTTGTTGTCGTTGGTGGTGGTGTTGTTGTTGTCAGCTTTTCATGTTGCTCAGTTAGTTTCTTGTACCGATATGATTGTCTCCACCGGTTCTTGCCTACAATCTGAAACATCTTAGTTACTTGAAAGTTTGGTTTTTGTTGTTGTTGTTTTAGGACAATACAAAGTCACAGTCTAATGAAGGTTAAGAAGGAAACAAAGAGACTGAAAGAAGGGAAACAAAAACAAAAACGGAGCAAGAATACAAAAAGGAAACGTTTTTGCTTCAAGAGATAAGGAGAAGAACAGTATAATGATGGATGATGGTGAGAGAAGTGGCTTAAGGGGGGGCATGTGTTCTTAAAGAGACAGAGAGAGAGAGAGAGAGTAAGAAGAAAGATTCTTAAAGCACATGATATTATTCTTTAATTTTCTCAAAATATCCAAAATTCTGTTAAAAATGGGCAGCTCTTGTTTAACCACATAGGCAGATGCTCTGTATATGGACCTACGCGGTTAAGGGCTGTGACTGCGATGCTACAAAAAGAAGACAAACCCTTTTGTTTTGGAGCGATGTGTGAATCAGAAACTAAACGCAAGTCCGAGATGGAGTTTTGTGGAAATGGGAAATAAAAACCATGTTCCTTTTTTAGTTTCATTAATGTTAGGTTTTGTTACGTGGAACAAAGGCAACTCCGGTTTGGTTTTCAAATGAGAGAATGCATTTACCAAAAGATTTTGGTTTTCTTCTTTAGCTAAAAAGAAGAAATCGAGGGGAAGATACGGGGGAGATTTTTCTAATGATTGGAATTTGGAAGTCTCTCTTATTATAAACTAACGTTAAAATAGTTAGTTTGTTTGATAAGAGAAGCTCTTCTTAACTCTAAACAAATAATTTTGGGCAATCAGTGAGACAATGTGACAACAACAACAAAAGAGAGAAGAGAGACAAAGGTCCAAAAATATTTGTGAAACACGTAGTCTTCAATGATTGGATTGGTGACGACTGACGAGGAATAAGTTGGTTGCTCTGTCTATTTTTTTTTTATCCCCTTTATATTTGTTTTTAACCGAACTATGTATCCGGTTTAACTAACCTCCGGTTTTTTATTTTCGGGTATACAGGTCCACTGAAAATAAAACGGACCCATGGTAGGCCCATAAAAGGCCCATTGTATGACGAATATTATACTAAGAAAAATAAATTGGTTAAGAAAATTCAATGAGGTTACGAAATCATACCACTGACTTGTTGGGAAGGAGACACGAGAAAAGAGGAACCTGACTCGTTTACGTTATTGCGTAATGTGACTAAATTGGACTATGATTTTCATACATATTACATATTTAATATTAGAAAAAAAATACGGAACATTTACTGGATCTGACGTTAGGTTCACATTTCATGCATGATTTTTCGTATCCTAAAGTCTCTTTCTAAATCACAAGAACACAAGAAAAAATTGATCATCATCCTTAAGACCTTAACCATCAATAGTAACAAGATCATATAGTGAGTTAAACGACATTAACTAAAGAAAAGATAAATCTTAATTTTAAGCACGCAGAGAAACTATATGCACACACACACCAACGAAGAAACAGAGACAAGAAGAGGAAGAGAAACTTAGTAGAAGCAGTAAGATGATGAGGAGTGTTTGTTTGGATGAATGAGACGAAAGAAGCGTCTGCGGCGGTAGAAAAACGCCGTTTTGAGACGCGACCAGACGACGCGTTTCAGCTTCCTAGCAGACTTCAACCTTATCCAAACAACTTTCTTGACAACTCTCTTGACGGATCTTTTAATCTTCTCAGCTAAGCTCTGTTTCCTCGAGAATTGGTAGCTCTTTAGGAACAGTTGTCTCTTCTCCACGTATCCTCCTCCTCCATACCCATACCCGTAGTAACCGCTGTTGCTCTGCCAAGAAACGCCGTTTCTGCTCATCGGAATTGGGATTTCTTGAAAGTAAATAAAGAATTGTGTGTATAAAAAGGAGTTTTCTTGGAGTAGATTACGGTGATGGCTTATTTGGTTAACTTGTGTAGACACTAAAAACACACACAGCCGCCGCCGAAACCGCCGTCGCTACAAACGAATAGGGTTTGGTTTGGATATGTATAAATCAATCAATCGTGTTTTCAAGTGCCTCACGTTCTTGCTTTAAATATTTGCTGGTTTGGCTTTTGCCTTTTGACGTACAACACAACTCTCTCTGCTTTTAATGGTGGTTGTCTCTCTCTTTCTTTCTTTTGTTTTACCAAAAATGAAATAAAAAGTGGTCTCGTCAAATCAAATACAATATATATCTAGGTGGGACTTTAATCTAACTTCCCAACAAGTAAAAAATATGAAAGTTCAATGTTCACGTTCTGCTTATAGTATTTTTATACAATATATACGTAGCTTGCGATATTATGACGGTTTTGTTTCCATTTTAATATCCTAATGAAACTAGCAGCAATATTATCTAGATTATGATTTCCAGAATTAGTTGATTTGATTTTTTAAAAATTGTTGAGTGACATAATGATATTGACATTTTTTTCAACCGATGAATGTTTTTGGGTTTATTCATATACTGGGGTCTTGGGATTTGGGTCTAACTAAATAAATTATGTAAGACTTGAACAAGACAAAAGAAACAATTTTTGGGTGTACACTACAATGATAATACAATGTTAGCATAAATAGCACACAAACAAAACTAATATATTATTCGTGGTCTGAAAGGAACATCTGAGGAGATAGCCTAACAGCTCCAAACTCTTGCACACATAGCTCCAAACTTTTATCTAAATCTTTTCTAATTCCCACACCAAAATGATTCACAACTTTATAGATCGTGTAACCAATTTTCCGTAATCATTTAATATCTACAAACCAAATATCGTGGAACAAGCAATCACAACTCACAAGAAACAGGCTGTGCAAAGTAAAATACCAAGTGGAAGAACAACAAGGGAACACATACAAGAGTAGAAAAACACCTTATATCTCCATCTCCAACTAAAATCTTCCTGCTTAACAACACACTCCTAAATCTAACACTTTTGTTACTGTTAATGCTGGATTCTAAATCATTTTTACCCACTATTTAGGCCCCCCACTTGAATTTGCAGAAGGTACCTTGCTAGGGTAGCTCGATATATCGATGTCAATGAGCGACATGTCATACATTGTGGAAGCCGAATCTGAGGCATCCACAAGCAAAGAAGATTTCATGGTCTCAGGGCGTGCACCATCACAACTTACACCAGAGGTTTTGGGTGTGCTTGTTTCTGCAGATTGACTAGAGACGGAAACACCATCTATCTTGTTTCCAAACATGTGTTTGTTCTTTCTAACAGCATCCATTTCCTGACCAGTTGGCACAAATGTTCGTGCTCGGTACTTCCTTGTCCCTTCCTCACCACCATCACTATGATTATAGAGCACATAATCGTGATATGTAGGGGCAAACTGCAAGAATGGCAATTCCATCATCATCATCATCCAGCAAAGGGACACAGATCAGTCATTTCAAAATATTTGTTATACAACTAATCGGTTACCTGGTGAACAGTATCATGGTAGAAATCATTTAGCATAACAGCATGTGCCAGACTTCTTGAGAAACTTCGAGCTCCTCCAACATTTGCCTCTGCATATTGCTTGTATGGAAATGCATAGAAATGTGCAGCTGCAGCAATAAGCATCTCCACACATATTATAAAATTTTGGAAGAGAGCTGCTTCTTCTTCATCCCTTATGAATCCAGATTTGGCAAAAAGGAAAACTAGAACACCCTGTAACACAAAAAGGTTTTGCCAGACAGAAGAAATGTGTTAAATATTTGTAGAGGATAGCAAAAAGCCAAATTTCAATGCCGAAATCAGATTCATCAATACCAAGCGAGTAGACAAATTACCTGCCAATAAGTTAGAAAGACAACAGACTTTATAATCACAAACTTCGGGACTGGATTGAATGGCTGAAGCAGATCTTTGCATGCCACATAAAATAGGACCAGGGCGTACAAAGCTACTGTGTATGATATTGTATAGATGATGGTTAGATAGAGATAGGATTGATCAGGGCTAAAATTCCCATCCTTGTATTTTCCTTTTGCATAAAGCACAAGTGTGACAGCAACTAGGATTGGCTTTAGAATTACAAATTGCAGACAACCTTGCTTGCACCGTCGAATAAAACGCCTTCAACAAAAAGTAAAATCAGGTATCAGCTAATACATGTTACGTAAGGCAGTTGTCAAAACCGAGTTTTAAACAGACTCCTGATGCTAATATATCTGGACTAAATATATATAATGCTTATGCTAACCAGAGTCAGGCAACCAAATGATCATTCATAAAGATCCTCGGCATGATTTAATTAAGAATTTTAGAAGTTCCAAGATTTAGTGAACAATCGTAGGAGAATCATAGACATATTACAAATCCCACCAAGAGAAGCACAGGAATATATGTTCATTCTGCAAACTAACCCGTCTAATGGTAGTGGTGGGAAGCAACATGTCATTAGATGCCACGATGGCTTCATAGAGCGGCCAGTTAAGCTTATAACTACTGAACCTGGGCCTCCAACCCATGCCAAACACAGCGATAGAAAATTATAGATTACCCATGCTTCGTAACTGAAACAGACAAAAGATTACAAAGCCTTAGGAAAAAACACCATCAGGTCTGCATTTGTTGAAAGCAATAGTAAAAATCTGAGTTCTAAAGGTGCATCATATGTTCCCAAGGTTACATCATTAAGAACTTAGTATAGTAACTCGAGGAAGCTAGTTCAATGTTAAACCAGCAAATATGAATAACTCACACTTCTCGGATAGAGTTAAAATAAATGGAGCTCTTGGGTAACACAAGAGCCAAAAATGACATCAAGGCATAGACCTGTAATGCCAGAAGAAATAAGAACATGTTAGCCGGAGAGAGTTCAGCATGAAAATGGAGTTCACAGATCAGGATAGACAATGAGAAGAAAACTCTTGAAACTGAAGAAAACTAACCGGGACCATGAAGACGATGCGCACAATATATCTCTGATAAATGGGTTCAGTATAATTCAAAAGGTGCTTGTAGATATGGAATAAGGCCAAAGCAATGGCTCCGACAGTGCATAGGAATGCCAGAATAATGAGGTAAATGGGTAGCAAATCCGCCATTCTGCAGCAAGAACGGAAGCAAAAAACAAAAAAAAAAGAGATAATTCGTAAGTAAGTTTTTTGAACAAACTCTCAAACTAGCTAATTGCTTCCTAAAATCTCAAAAGGTAAACTACCTGTACAAGAGCTAAGCAAGATCTGGAGAAGAGCTAATTGCCTCCTAAATTCTCCAGGAGGTGTAAAGAGGCTAGTGGGACAAAGGATTGAAGCTTAAAGCGGAGACAAAACCCTAAATCCGAATCCTAAAGCTCGATTAGCTTTCAGCAATAGTGAAATCGAAGCAGTGAATAAAAAGGGGGAAAATTTGAAGAAATGAAGCGAAACACCGCAATTTGAGAGCGATCTAAGAGGGATGAAAACGCAATCAACAAGAGCGTACCTTGAGAGGGGAAGAAGAAGCGTAAACGCAATGAGAAAGCAACAAAGAGAGATTCCCGGACACAGATCAAAATTGAAATCGTAAAAACCCTCAAGACGGTAGTCTGATCGAGGTTTTCAGCTTTTTCTGATTCTTCTTTGAAAAGAGAAAACTTTGGGGATACGAATCAATGAAATTCAAACTTCTCAGTTGATAAAAGCAAAGCATAGTCGAGGAGGAGATGAAGAAGAAGAAGAAAACGCGGAAATTAAGGAATAATAATTATATAACTTTAATTATTAAAATCTGAAAAATTAGCGAGGAGGTGTGAGTGTGATCCATTAAAGGCCCAAAACAGCCTGGGTGGAACTTCAAACCCTAAAAAAAACTTTTTGGAACAAATAATGTTATTCCCTTCCACCGCAAGTCTGTCTGTCTTACGCTTACCCAATTTAATTATTTTTATTTTTCAAAAATTATATGGTTGGTGCGTTTTAATGTGGCCGTTACAAACTACTACATATTTTGCTCTAATTATTTAACTTAAATGTAATAAAGTGTAGTTAACATTTTGATTACTTACATAACATCAACGAAATAAGTGAAGCAACCCAAGTTTGACCCAAAAAAGAGAGAAAAGGAAAGGATTAATCACGGGAAATCAATTTATTTACAATTTACCAAAACAAATATAGGAAAAAAATAAAAAAAGGACAAAACATAAAGTCTTACCATATTTTTTCTCTTCAGGCCTAGAATACGAAAACCTATAAAAACATGGATGGCTTCTTTCTCTCTCGATCAATACTAGTTTACCATGATCAAGCTATCTAGAGATCCGTTGTCGACGATGTCAAACGAAGAGCCACCGCAGAATAATAATAAAAGGAGGAGGAAGGAGGCATCTCCGTCGTTGCTTGAATCGTTGCCAGATGAGCTTGCCATAAGTTGCTTGGCCCGCCTATCGAGATTGGACCTGGCCGCCTTGTCTCTCGTCTCCAAGAGCTGCCGTTCTTTTGTGCTTTCGCCAGAGCTCTGCCAGATGCGATCGGTAATGGGTTACGCCGAAAAGTATCCCTACATATGCTTCAGCGGTGTGTACCCTGACCCAACCCCACGCTGGTTCATCCTACGGAAGACCAGAATTCATCTGATCCCCTCACACCCCTCTCAGCCTCCGGAAGGATCCGCCGTGGTCGCCTTGCATTGCGGCATTTATGTTATTGGTGGATTGGTTAACGGCGAGGCCACGTCAGGTGTCTTGCTCCTGGATTGTCGGTCTCACAAGTGGCACCGCGTCACCTCCATGAGAGTGCCTCGTGCTTCCCCTGCAGCTAGCTTGGTGGATGGGAAGATTTACGTATTGGGAGGCTGCAAGGATGACAAGAATAGTTCCTCCAACTGGGGAGAGGTGTTCGACCCAAAGACGCAAACTTGGGATGCCCTGCCAATGCCAATGCCAATGCTGGAGGAGCAGGAGGGTCCGGAAACACGCCCTAGTATGAGTTCCATCCGCGACAGTGTGCTTGTAGGGGACAAGGTTTACCTGGTGGATTCATTGAATAGAAGCTTCTTCTACTCCCCCAGCCAGTGTAAATGGGGAAGAGGGGTTCAGGATTCAACGAAATATATTAAAAGGGATTGGTGTGCGATAGATAACTTGTTATACAGTTGTGGTTCCCAAGGGAGAATATATTGTTGTGAGCCAGAGGCAGGGGGGTTGAATGCGAAGGATTGGGATATGGTTGAAGGTTATCCAATGATGTTGCTGCAGGCCCATCTCAAACATTCGAGATTGATCCACTCTGGAGGGGAAATGGCAAGCGTGTCGGAGTCCAACAAAACCCCACTACACAAAAGCAGTACAAACCTTAAAGACTTACTTCCCGGAGCCAGGGCCAAATTGACCAACTTTGGTCGGAATATTCTCGTCTTTTGGGACACGCTCGTAGGTCCTCGTCATAGCAAGAGCTTGGAGATTTCGTGTGCCGAGCTTTCCTTTGTGAGGTCCACGGGATTTAGCTATAATTATTACGGCAGGATTGAGTGGTCCGATGCTATCCTCACTATCGATCCTCTCCTGTATCACCCGAAGCTCTTGTATTCTGTCTCTGTTGATGTCTGAAAATTTGGATGGATTTTTCTTGGTATGCTTTGTAAGTGTAGCTCTTGTATATATATAAGATTATTAACATACTGTTCAGGCTGCTTTACTCTTGAGCTATAGTTTGAGACGGTAGCAGCAGCAGTGCATGATTTAGTATCTCTTTGCTTTATTTTGATGTACCAGTACTCTACTTAATTAGGAACAAAAGTCACAAGATTCGAATGAATACTAATATTTAAAATGTCATCATAGTGTTACGAGGATGTTGAGTCGTCTTCACTTAAACTGTTAAACAAGCAAAAAAAAGAGATTGATTTCATCATTCATCCATTTACACTTCGTATTTTATTACCAAACTATAGAAGACACATCTTTCTTTTTTATTACAGGCTTGATTGTTTTATTTTAGTTCTCACGCGCGCACTATAATACATATTTTCTTCAGATTGTTTATCAATACATTTTTCCAGTCATTCCTTTGAAGTATTTTTAATAGTGACGATCATACTTGGAAGAAAACCTTGCCTCGAGAAATCTAACCACGTTTACATCCAGCTGAAACGCTTTAGCTAAGATCTCCGGCATAATCAAAGGCGTCGATCCAAAGACCGCGTCTGCGATTGTGACCGTACCAGGGTTTTGGCTACCAAGACCAGCAAACGCAACCGCGTTCGTCCTCCCAACGTTCACTTGAAAATGTATCATTCCAACGGGAAACACAAATACATCTCCGGGATAAAGAACCTTTGAGAACAGTCTGTTGTTGTCTTGGTTCGATGTCACAAACCCGACTAAGAGCGTTCCTTCAACAAGCACGAGTATCTCGGTGGCTCGTGGGTGTGTGTGCGGCGGGTTTTGACCTCCCGGGGCAAAGTCAATTCGGACAAGAGACACTCCAAGAGTGTTGAGTCCAGGGATTTTGTCGACGTTGACATTTGTAACGTTGGAGCCGACGCGGTTCATGGTGTTTCCGGCGATGTTTAGCCCGGAAGTAAAAAAGTCTTCGGCTTTCACGTATTTTGGGTCTTTGCAGAATTTTCCATTCACGAAAACTGAAAACACACATATGAAAATCGTACTGTATTAATTTTAATAGTAGCGTTAACCATGTTATATATACATTGGTTATTGACGTTACTATGTTTGTTGTGGTTGTTGTGGCTGATTTACTTTGAAACTGTAAACATATCGATCATAATTTCTTTTACCTTAGTCCGTAGTTAGGACTTAGGAGTCATTAATCCATTATTAGTACGACATTAAGGAACCGTATTATACTATCATAAATGGTAGATAGAAAGATTACCGCCATTAGCGTCATTGACGGCAACACAAAAGTCTTGAAGAGGACTTGGATCGTAACAAGACACAAACGAAGATGCTATAGCCAACAAGATGGCTTTCGCTACAAGGAACCGAAGAAACCCTTCCATTACTGTTGTTTTTTTTTTTGTGTGTGTGTGTGTTTTTCTCTTTAGCTTTTGTGGTAAGGATTTGAGATATATTGCATGCTAATGATGCGATATATATAGCATAAGAAATTGCTGATTTTTGTTTTTATGATGGTAATGGGTTTTATTAATTTATGAGTCGTGCAAAATTGTAGTGGTTATATCTCACTGGCGATTATAATATTTAATTTTAAAATATCTAACTAGGTGAATGAGCAATTTTTGAATTTTAATTTGAAGGAAAAAAAAAACCTCTGGACCAACCTTTTAGTTTATGTAAGTGAATAATTTAAGTGAGAAGATGAAAATGCTTACGAGGACATACAAGCGTGTTTAACGAATTTTACAATTTCTAAAATCGATAGAGTTCCTAACGTTTTGGTGCGCTAGCTGTGTGTTTGCAAAATTACATATACTATTGTATACAAGTGTGTTACACTTACATCACACAGTGAAGTGTATATATGATTTATTAAAATGGGATTTTTTTGTATGAATATAATTCTAATTAAAGACTAAGAGTGAGTGATATATAAATGCAGTATTAGGTAGCTCATATTTGGCCGCAATAGAACAAAACTGATCTTATGCTGATGACATATTCACAAATTGGAGTTTGACATATGGTCTGAGTGCTCTCTATCCACATTTCTCACAGGTCAATAATATAATTATCCAAATGTTTTGAGTTATAATACCATATACTAATGGGATTACACGACATCTTGATATTTGAATTTAATTTTCAACCTTGGTATAACAAAAGAATAGGAACTGCGTTTCGAACCTGAAAATTAGTTTAAAATACAAAAGGAAATTAAGTAAGTGATGGCTACGTATACATCATATATGAGGAGAGTGACAAAAAGAGATTCTTGGTAAGTTGGAAGTTGGAAGATAAATTACAGAAACATGCATACAAGTGCAGTGTGCAGAGCCACTTCCATCATTTAAGTGCCCTAACCACTATAATACGGTCTTCCTTATATAAAAAAAATTACAATTTGTGAATATTTATTTTGAAAATACGTACCAAAAAAAATCACGTGCGCATTGCAACTTGTCGATTATAAATTGGAAGCTTTGAGCTCGCGGAGATGGTGACAACATTTTCACTTATCTCCAATATATCATTAATTATATTCTAATTTTTGTGGAGAAATGCCATTAATCTATGAGATCATGATCACCATTAGTTTGCTGTCATTTTCTCTAGGAGGCTGCTGCTGCAATTTGCAGATAAAAACGAGTTCTATGCATTGATATAAAATATACATATAATAGTAAATCACCTCAATTAGAATGTTATCTCATCAATTATCACTATATATGGACTATTTTTTGGTTTGTTTTACACTAATATCATGTATCTCATTAACGTAACATCGGGATGGATAAGTTTCACCAAAATTCGATACAACATTGATATATACACACACACATCGTATTGGATTTCACTGGATTTCGAGTTAAAAAGATTTAAAACAAAAACTACTTGTACCCTACCTAGTCGGGGACTTTTTACTATATTCTTAAAAATAATTTGAAAATTGAAAAAACAAAAAAAGCCCAGACAGCTTAGATGGGCTTTAATGGGCTCGATCATATTTAAATTACTGGGCTTTACAAACCTTTATAATTTTTTTTTTAAAAGTAACTGAGAGAGCCTAGAAAGAAGCGCATCTTTTGAATTTGCTCCGTCGCCGTTGCTGAATTTGCTCTGATTTTTTCCTTTTTTGCTCTTTGTTGATTGTGGTGCTTGCTTGTTTGAGGTCAAGAAAACAGGAGATGATATCTTTGCCTTTATTGTTTGTATATGTGTTTGTATATGCGTGTGTCTGTGTAAGCTAAAGATGAAACATAAGAAAGTTGAGGGAGACAGAGGCCCTACTTGAATTGACAGACCCTGTTGAATAGAAGAAGAAAGAGATCATGTACTTGTAAGAGATGAGTACATGACAGAGTCACAGACCAAAGTGAGATGAGATCCACACTTATCTAAAAATGGGACTGTGGGTCGAAATAGCATATGCGAGATACAGGGGTTATTGCATGGTCTGTGAATTGTGATTAGTATTTTGGATCACAATCTTCTTTTTTTCTTTCCTCTTTTATTTTTTTTGGGTTGCACAATCAAATCTTCTTGTACTGCCGCACATGCGGTATTAAACCAGGTTTAACCATAGTATTGTAACGAAAAAACCGAACTGAGTTTTAATTTGGTACTTTTAATCCTGATATGGTCAACCCCAATTTAAATAAGATCGTAAAATCTAGACCGAGCCAAAATATAACCTAAACTAAACCAGAGTATAATTTATGTTAATTTGGTTGTTCCATCACCAAAAGTCCTAAACCAAAAAACTCCAAAACGGTAAACCAAAGGACAATCTATTTGGATGTGTTAGTTTTTGGGAGTTTGATGATCATTGAGAGATTTATCATTCAAATAGATTGTTTGGGTAAAGCCAATCGAAGTGTTTTGCAATCAATCGAAGTGTTTTGCAATCACTAATCCTATTTATGAATCAGATATCTCAGCGAACGGGATAGTGAAGCAGTTGACCGAACAAATCCTATCTGAAGGTTATTAGATTTACAAATGGTGAATAAGATCGTCGTTTCGTGGTAGGACAAACAAATTAAACGAACTGGGGTATGTTTTGCATTCTTATTACACCATAATGTAGCACCTTTATTACCTTTACTAACAACATTCAATAAATATGTCGCAAGAAAACAACCAAAAAAAAAAAAATAATACAATTTGGGATGAACATTTAAAAACATTTCGAGTGGGGATTTTTTATTATTAATCACACGATTATACCATCATCACAAAGCTTTATTAGCGGTGGGATCAGAAGCACCAAGCTCCTTGTACATGTTTGTTATTGCTTCTCCGAAATATTCCTTTGCTTGTGGTCTCTTTATCTGCAATATCCAATCAACATCCTTTTTGCCTCATTCCATATTCACAATTTGTTTCCTAGATATCTCATCATCGAATCCAGATATGACTACTCATCTACTTGCTCAAACGAGTCTAGCTGAACTTACCTTGAATGTTGGAGTTAACAAACCATTTTCCAGTGTAAACGGCTCTAGCACCAACGTCACTGCCTTTGCAAACTCAAAACCTCTCAACTGCATCAAATGTTTGTGTTTGTATTTAAGTCAGTGATCGCGTCTTTGAGGTATATTAACCAAAAATGAAATAACTAATACGAAAACTGGTTTTTGAGATGCATTGCCTGAGCTTCTCTTCCAACAGTGTCCATGTCAGATAGTACTGCTGCTTTCACCCTCGGGTTATTGCACAATTCTCTCAGATCTCCTCCATACTACATTCAGCAAAGTTAGTTTCTATTGTTACATTGAGAGAATTAGGTGCAGATAAGTTATATTACCTTAATGCCTTCCGAAGCAGCCCAGCTTTTCAGCACATCAGGATCAACCGATACAACAGCGACCAATGATGAATTAAAGCTATCACCTGAAAAGACAAAAACTAGTGAGATAGGGAAAGAATAAAACAAAATACTATACAAAACTATTTACGAAATCTATTTATTATACCATATATGAAGCATTGGCCCACAAATTTGCATTTAGCATAGACGTTTTCAATTTTCTCAGGAGCTATATACTCCCCCTGCGCCAACTTGAAGATGTTCTTCTTCCTATTCACAGAAGAGGAAATTTTACTAATATGATTATTTGTTCAAAGATACTAACAAGTTTTAACAAATTTTTGAAAATAGAGCTTTGCATCCCCTAGAATTTTCCAGACGTTTCTTAGTGTTTATATCATCAGTAAGAAGTAACTTCAATGATGGGGTAAGAAAATACAAATGGAAAAGCAGGCTTATTCATTGTGAGCCAAGGTATTTGATTTTACTAATAAGACAATGGATACAATCAAGTGATTCAGAAGAACCTGTCAATAATTTTTAGACGTCCTCCTGGCAGCCATAGACCTATATCTCCAGTGTGAAGCCATCCATCTTCATCAATGACCTCTCTCCTGAAAATAAAACAGTTTACTGCAAGATTTAAATTTTGGTACAATTTAGCTAGTGAAAGAGGAATTCAACGCAAGAGGTGTACATACGTTTGAACTTCATCTTTGTAATAGCCTCTAAAAATGATAGGACCCCTAACACATATTTCGCCACGGGGATGGGGCTGATCCCCTGATGTATAGTTCATTTCCGGGACATCCACAAGCTTTACTTCTGAAAAAGGAAGGCGTATTAAATCCAAATAGCGATTTGAATTGTATACTTAGTTTCAAATTACTCTATTTATCTTATCGCCGAGTTAGTCAAAATCTCACCACAAGCTGGATTAGGAGAGCCAACATGTCCAGTGAGGTTATCACCCTCGTCCATTCCAGTTATAACACAGGATGTTTCAGTCATTCCATAACCCTCTGTAACTCTTCCTCCAAAGCATCTAAAGAAGAGTTATATCACAAGATTAAATCAAAAGATAGATGAAATCACAAGCTAAAGTCAAACAGAGTTATTAGAAACCAAAGCCACAGATATGCACGAGCATGAGCTAGGGAGAGAGAGGGCTGTTGGGACTTAAAAGTATTCTTTCTTGAGGATAACTTCTATCTTGTAATATTACAGAACACAATTTTTTAAAAGCAATAAACTTACATTTTCAAAAATTCCATCACTTCAGGAGACAGGGGTGAAGCACCAGACGTCATAAAACGAACCCGTCCTCCAAGTCTGTCCTTTATCTTATTAAATACCAATCTGTCCCATATGGGCGAAGCACTCTTTCCTGAACCAACAGTACCCATACAAAGGAAATCAATCCCAAAACCGTTTAAAGGAAATACTTTTATGATATATTAGAACTCAACAGTAATCAAAGTCCCCTAGCTGTGTCAGAACCAAAATAAAGCTACCGAATTTCACAGATTGTTTTCAATGTAAAAAAGTATGAACAGGACCTACCATTTAAGAGAGCCTGCTT